AGAACTGAAAACCACGACACCTCGGCAGTCCCCTAGTGTTCAATCATCATTTCAAGTGTAAGTTTCGCAGCAAATTCGTCGTGGATATGCCAGCTTGTTATGGCAGGATGCCTCGATGTCAGCCGCCATGGCAGCTTCTCGCTGGCATTCAATCTCCGCGCGCTCCTGAAGGCAACCATCCAGCTCCGCGCTTCATGCCCTCAAGAGCACAAAGGATCCTGCTTTTCCACCAGCTGCTTTGCTCGAACCTGCAAAGGACGGGTGAGATGCAAAGACGTAACAGCTGCCACCAATATAAGATGAATGGATAGTGTGTCTGTAGCCCAGCTTCCGCCTTCGAATGGATGATTTGGGAGATTCGTCTCATTGCGTCTACGACCCCGAAATTGCTAAACTTGCTGAAATTTTCGGGGTGGATCCAAAGGTCTTTTGCAAGGGATGACCATTTGGGGAAACCGCCAAAAACCTGAGATGTCCCACATGGGCAAAGTTGCCATGGTCGAACATAGCAGCCCTAAAGAGGGGCTTCAGAAGATCTCAACCAGATCAACTGTTGTTTTTGTTGACCGTTTCTAGCGGTTGTCAAAATCAGAAACTGGGATTGTTTCCCTTTGACCCATCACTTAGGGGGTGACTTTGATCATGGTAAAATAGTTAGGCCAGTTATGCGGCGCTTGCGCGACGCGTTCATAGCTACAGCTTGGCAGAGCCACGGCCGAATGCCAGACCTTGTTGATCTGCGCAGCATGGAGCTTCTCCTAGCCGACAATTCAGCGGTCACAAGGCGTCGAAATCGGGGGCCGAGTTGTATTGAAACCAGGTATTAAACGGTATTAAAACGGAATTAAACCAGAAATTGAAACCAGGGGGCATAATCAAAACCGATCGGTATTAAAACGGTCGCAAGCCCCAGAACCATGGTTCAAGAATTAAGACACCGGATATCCGAAGCTCTTTCTGGTTGGGATTGTCCCCTCCGAACCTTCATACAGCCGGGTTTTGATTGTGGCTCAGTTTGGATTTCTTGCAATCCACATCAAGAGCTCCTTGAGAATGCGCAACTCCTCAGACCCAGCAATAGCTCTTTGGCGTACCACCTCGTGTCGCGCCTGCCACGATTTCGGCGGCTGCCAAAAAAACATGCCTCGCAAGCACCACACAAGAACCTTCGAAACATCAAGTTCTATCCCACAACATGCAGAATCAGGCGCGTGTCTTTGACTCCGGCATGGGAACAAAGCGCAACTGAGTCAACATCAAGACCTGGTATTAAAATGGTCCACCCAGAACTATGCTTCAAGCATGCAAAAGGCGGAATTCCGCACCTCATTCTGGCAAGGGGATTGTCCATTACCCTCCAATTACCCGAATACAAGGTTTGGTTTGGTGGTTTGGACGTTAAGGGGCACCTTCCCCAGTTAATCCCCAGTTCCCGCCGGGCTCCAAACCACCAATTAGAAGGAAGCTGAAACAAAATCTGCGGCCTCTTGCGCCCTCTTGTTGGCAAGCTGTGTTGCCAATTGCCTCCGATGGCCGACGTTTCGAGTCATTCCATGCACCGCCCCACGAAATGAAAACTTGGGAAAGCACTGCTTGTTGCTAAACAAAAACAAAAACAAAAGAACCATTCCGGCAATTCTGGTTACGGTGGTGCACTGCGCATTTTAGTCACTAGTCGCTTGCTCCTCAACAGTCGCCCTGCCGAAAAAAAACGGGAAAACAAAAAAACAACCGAGGCGCTGGCTCTTCGAACTGGGTAAGGTGCTTGCGGTTCTCCTTCTCCTGCGCTGACTCCAGATTCCATTTAGGGCTTGAGACCCATCTTCCATCCATTTGGGGCCCCCAATTTCGAGCGGAACTTTCCCCCAAATTGTTCATGGGCAACTGTTCCATGTGGGAATTATCATCATTTGCGTGGCTTTTCCAAACGGTCATCAATGTAAACGATCTTCTGATCCACCCCCAGTTCTCAGCAGCAGCGACAATGCAATGCCCTGAAAAAACAACCTCTGCGGTCCTGCATCGACTTGACGTATATCAGGTCGGACAATTTCTCTTGCCTCCATCGCACCAGCGATCCGCCGATCCGCCCGATCCACCGATCCGCCCGATCGATCGGATCACGTTTTCGCAAATTCTGAAAGGTTTCGATAGCAAACATCAAGTCACATACCGGCACCTCTCCAATGCTTCTGCCCGCTGACGGCGCATAGCCTGCTCAAATCGCAAGGCAAGCGAGACAATTTTTTCAGCGCCTGCAGAACCAGATCTGCACAAGCCAGCAGTATGCATGCTGCCAATGTGAGCGGCTCTTTCATCATTCAATCAAAGACATCAACATAAGTCTGCCCAAAGCTACCATTTGGCAAGCAAGGGCCGGCGTGGAACCCCAAGGAACACATGCGCATCCGTCACGCCAAAGGAAGATGTGGCAAAACGAGCTGCATGGGCATGCCCCAAAGAGCGAATCCAGCTCACCCGAACTTCGATGAAACGAAGCAAAAATTGGGCAGGGATCACGAAACGTTTCGTGCATCGCTGGACACCGAAAAACAGATATCTTTCGCATCGCGTCCTTGGCAGAACCGTGGCTTGGCCTGTCTTGGCCTGCCGCAGACCTCGAAGATGCTCATCATATCAGGCCGAGCAAGCCAATAAATATAAATACAAATACAGTGTGCTGTGTAGCACCTGATTGAAGTACTGTAACTCCAGTCACTCCACCTCCTCCATAGCTAGACTCTGTTTCCTTGGTACAGCATGCAATTTGTGCACTCAACTAGTTTTAAGCTGTGCTACAAGCTGAACAATGCTTCACTCGGGAGAGAGTCATTCAAGGTTTCGGCTCTGGATGCCGAGGCTCGCCCTCCCCCTGACACCATGCCCAATCGCCATTCGCGCCCTGGCAGGGCAGGGATCGAAGACACGGCGTACGAAAATCTGCAAGGCTCGAGCTCTGGAAAAAGCTCGGCTGGAGGGCGAAGGATCCCCAGCCGACTTTCTCTGAAGCTCAAAAGCGCTGACGACACCGGGGCCTCTAGACGGCTTGGGCATCCGTATGCGACAAGGCACCACCTCAAGTTGCAAATCAACTGCTTGCAGCCTGCAAATGCACCTATAGCACAAGCACTCCGCCACAACTTCTGCTTTGGCCCAAAGCGGTTAGTTCAGGAAAGCCACGGTGGAGACACACCCTTGTGCTTGGCGCAGCCGTTGGTGATGCCTTCTCCGTGGACACATGCGCAGCCAGCAGGTGGGCTATATCCAGCCACAGGAGTGAGGAAAACCTAGCACCGCCCAAAGAAACTGTTACTTCGCAGGAGTCGTTTGCATTTCCAGCTCGTTGGAAGCCTGCTGACTGCAATCAAGGCACAGTGGCAGAGTTTGCTGACTGCTTCATCACGGACTGCAACTCTTCCTCAAGCTAGAATATCTAGATTTGCATGCCGTCTCATGCGCGTTGTCGTCAATGATAGGATGTTAGTGGCAGAATTGGACATACTGTGGATGGACAACATCCTGCACCACCTAATAAACCATGGAAAATGATGATTCCCGTGCAAATACCAACAAACCACGGATTCAACCATGGTTTCATTCCTGGTGGCGCGGTTGATGGAAATTCGCAACCATCCACAGTCTTTTTATCGATTTTCCAATGGCTGCCTTCATGGGCTGCGTGAGAGGTGTGCATGTACCCACGGTAGGCTGTGTGACGTGTGACGCGTACCAACCGTTGTAGCTGAGGGCCGGTCAGTATCCATCTCTCGTGCTGCAGAGGCCTCCACCGTGGTCCCCTCAGCCTGCGGGGATGGCTTCGAGTGAGTCTGCACGCGGGCACGAGGCCGCGCCCGGCGGCGATGCCGGGCGAGGCGGGGGGGAAGACATGGGAAGGTCTGCAAGGTTTGGATATGAGGAATCCAAAAACTGGAAATGCCAAATGCCAAGTGCAGCCATGGTGCCATGATGCTTTGCAGCGATGAAGGCCATACATGCGTCTGGTCAGACAGTTTGTCCTCAAACTCCTGTGCAGGAAACGGGTTTGTGCCCTTTGGCTGCTTGTTGATACTCCGAGGGGGCCCAGTCTCCCTTAAAGGGGAGGTGCCGGGAAGGGTGGCTGGCAATGGCCGTTCAGCCAATTCTAGCGACACCGCAGGTGAGTCACAATCAAAAACCGGAATCAAAATGGTCTACCCAGAACCATGTAAAGAATTAAGAAGGCGGATATCCGCAGCTACTTCTGGCTGGGACTGCCCCTTGCTAACCTTCATCTACCCGGGTTTTGAGCAAGTGGCTCAGGTCATATTGACATGATTGACTACAGCGCCACTGCTTTACACCGACCTCGGGAGGTACCAAGGCTGAGAATTTCTTATGGATGGCAGCTGTGGCGCTCGAATCCAGCGATTGCGAGTCCTTGAAAGCGATGGAGGCTGGCAGGAGCTCCGCATTTGCGGCGGCGGCGATTATGAAGTCAACCTCAAAGCTCAAAGAAGGCGTAGCAGAGCAATATCAGCCAGTGCAGACTGGCCCGTGTGACCACCTTTCAGAAGCCAACCTACCGGTACCAAACACGTATGCCCAAATTTGGATTCTTCTATTGGAGTATTCAGCTGCAAACCTGGTACAAAGTTCGGTCGTTCACAACACTTCTTAGGTGTCTAAGCTGAGCGACAATGATCGATCCCTTGGTGATGCTTCTGACCTTACTTGCAGGCTGTGCAACAACTGTTGTCTGGTATGTGTATGTGTGAGAATACTTGATGAGGTGGCACTCTAAGTGGCTAACAACAACACGATCCTCGGATATGCCGCCAGCTTCTGCAACTCCAGCCCTGAAGCTCTCTTTGAAGCCATCGATGTCGCTTCCTGCCTTGCTAAAATCGGAAGCCATTCTTACCCGCACCTCGACCACCGCTGTCGTGGGTCTGCTCAAATCTATGACACTGCCGCTTGTCTGAGAAGCTGCGGGCTGACTGACAGTATTGGAGCTGGAGACGCTAGTAGTGACTTCCGTCGTAGGTGAAGTGGTAGTTGTTGGCTGCGGAGTTGTCATCTGTGCGGTTGCAGTGGTTGCCGCGGGGCAGCTCGCGAGGCTGCAACTCGCAGACTCCACGAAGGGCTGGCAGCTGCCGCCGCGCGATCGCATCCGGCTGGCAGTGCCGCAGCTCGCGGTGCACGCGCTCCAGCTCTGCCAGACCCCGCAGGAGCTGGGCGCGGCAGCGGCTCCAGTTGTTGGCGCGGCAGGCGCGGCAGTTGTGGCTACCGGGCAAGCGCCCGAGTTGCAGGACTCTGAATCCTGCCCGCTTTCTGATAAAATGATCTGGGTATGGGTCAAAATTAAACCACCAGGGGACCGCAGGCTTTAGTCCTGTTTCCATTTACTAGGGTTCCATTTTGGGTACCTATTTTTGACCCACAGCCATCTGCTAAAAGCTGGGAACTTCTGGTTTAAAATTCGTTGAACCTACCACTAAACCAGCTAAAAGCCGAAGCGGATGGCTTGCCACCAAGAATCCTGGAAGGAGGAACACTGTCCGCTTCTTGACCTGGACCGCGTGCCTGCTCCACATGTGGCTGAACAGCTCGTCCACGATGTCCACGTGCCACAAGTGGCGCAAGCAGATTGACCGCATGCCTCCGACTCGGTCGAGGATGTACATTGTCCCGCGCGCGATCGCGACCTAGTGCCTCCACCGCAAGTCACTGGGCACGATGCCCAGCTCGACCACTGACCGCAGCACTCTCCCTGGTTACATGCCTCAGATTGAGAAAATGGAGAACAATTCGATGTTCTCGTCCGGCTACCTTGTCCACAGCTCACCGAGCACGCACCCCAGGCACCTTAACATGCAGTCACAAGTTAATACAGCTCTCTAATATTTAAGCGATTGCCGAATTGGCTTGACACTGCAAATCTTGCACGTCAGCAACACTAACAATACATACATATATATATATATATATGCATTGCTGCTACCTTCCAGTGGCGTGTGTGCCAAATTAGTGATTGGATGCTATTGGCACACGGAGCGGTTGTGCCTGGCCATGACAGTTGCCTGTGCTTGAAGCTCGCAACATGCAGCTAGCTTCATTTATGCATAAAGCAACATTCATTGCATGCAGGTCGACGATTTTTTGGTACCTGTCTACTGGCCTGTGATTCTCTTGTGCTGGCAAAGGATGATCAGGACGACAGCGATTTGTATGTGGTCGCTGCAAAGCAAGGCTTACTGCCGAATGTGCGGTCGCCATTCGCTCAGCCGAGCTTAGGCGGTAAGGACGGACAATTGCGGGTCTGGCAAAGGTAAAGGTCTAGCTTGGGCAAGCTCACAAAGATATGGGTATGGGTCAAAATCAAAGCACCAGGAATTGGACCTTAGGTTTTAGTCCTTGACCAGGGTTCCAAATGGATACCCATTTTTGACCCACAGCCATATTACATTCTTGCCGACTTGGGACCAAAAGGCTGAAGTGATTTGCCCGCGGTAGGATCCTGGAAGGCTCATCGTGAGCTGTATCTCCGTGTCGGGTGTTTGTCGGGGGCTTTCCCTTTGGTTTCCCGACATGTACAGCAAAGCGGAAGTGCAGCTCATGTGAATATGTGGATTTGTGTATATCCAGAATATTTTGCCAAAAAGGGTGTCAAGTAACAGTACGTGTCATCAAAGCACGCAAAGCAACTGTCCAAATCATCGCGAATTCCTGCAGGCCTCTGGCCAAAAATAAAGGCTCGCCTTTGTTTTTTTTTCCCGTAAACCAAAGGGCTCCAGGTGCTGGTACAACTCGGAGGAGGCGATGGCATTGGCGTCGGCATAGGCGACATAGGTGGAGATGGAGATGCAGACCATCCCCAAGCCGCGCGGGCCGCAAAGAAGCTGGACACCAAGCAACCGCTCTGCGCCAGCAGCGCTCCGGCGCTCGCCGCGAGTATGGCGCCCCGGGCCATCGGGGCGATGAAAATCGCAACACCAAAGCTTCAGCCAGGAGCGAGGCATGTGCATATTCACAAACCTCCAGTTTGTTGATGTGGGGGGTCCGAGGTCAACGTATCGCAGTCAAGCATCTGAATTTGCAGGCCACACCATAGAACTCATGTGGCAGTGAGTAAAACGAGTCGAGGCGTTTCCTGGCAGTGATCAGGCCTCCACACGAGCATCGCATTCTCCATAAGCTGCCTGGCGGCCTTGCCTAAGATACATGCTCCGGGTGGGCAATTCTGTGCTTGGTGGCCGTACAGGTAAGCTCTATTGATTGCTTTCCAGGGGTCCCCGTGCGTTCTCTCGCCGAAGCACCCCAAAAAGGAACCGAAAAGAAGACGCCGCAAGGCAAGGGAGGGAGGGCCTGTGCTTGCTGCTGCCAGAACGAAGCTAAGGCCGTCTCTCTTTCAGCATGACTTTAAGATCATCACAGCGCTCCTGCGATGGCCCGACTCAACTCAAGGGAAGTGCCCAATCCAAGCCTGGTTGTGACGCTCTCGGACCAGCCGCTGCTCGACATTCCTGGCCACATCCAGACCGCCCCAAAACATGGGCGAGGGCCGTGCGCTTCTTTTGAGGTAGAAAGAAGGAAGACACTGCCCAGGTCAGAATACCATGTCTTGACTCAATGAGGCTGTGCAAAGATTAAAGGTTCCTCCACTCTCGCGACGGCATGCTGGCGCAAGAGTGCGCACACTTGCAGCCTAACAAACTGCCAAGGTTGGTCTGAGGCGCTCGGTATTCTGCCTGTTTTCATCGGTTTTCCAGGTCTCTGAAAGTGATTGATGCAGGGTGTTATCTCAAAGTGCCCAATGTACCACGTCCTTCTTCCCGCTGTGGTGCTGGAGTCAAGCTGTGTCTCTGTGCGTGTGTTTGACCCACTCTGCTGGCACGAGAACTCGGCCAAAAGCCGCGCACAAGGCCCAATTTGGCCATGGGTCAAATCCAAATCGTACCCAGTGAACATCCCAATCCCCACTAAAATAGGTTCTAAAAGGGGTGGCACACCTACCCCAAAATGGAATCCCATTAGATTTGACCCACAGCCATTTGTCAAGAAACATTGCACTTGCCAAGGTCTTTTTCTCAAGCACGAGGTCACTCCTTACGCACATGAAGCAGGATTGCATAGCGGCTAGGGGCTCATGGCCCAGGCCATCCCATCTCCCGGACCTCATCTTGGCTCCACGGGCGCGCTGAAAACATCGGCGAGGCAAGCCGTGATCACGCCTCCAGCTCCTGCTTGTCGCAGGCAGAACACACCGCCGCCAAAGTCGCCGGTTTCTGCTCGGTACAGGTCGAAGAGCTGCCATCGTCTTCAAAAGAAACTGCCATCTGTCGTCACCATCGACCAGCGGACCTCTGCAGTGAGACCATGCTCGCTAACCATGCTCTCGTACTGACGTTTTATGAGCTTTTCCAGGTCATCATGCAGCAGGCGACGCGCATACTCTTGGTGAAAAGACGCCAGCCTCCGAGTCACTCGCAATGCATGATGCAAGGATATGCAAGGTGAATCTTGCACACTGTTATGCAACAGCCTCCTGAAATGGAATCACGAATGCGGTTGCATGTTCGTGACGTTATGTGCAAAAAACTCTTTGGCAACCAGGGCCAAATTGATGCCTTGCGCTTGCCGCGCCCACGAACACAATGACTGATGGATGGGGTCTCGATGAACGCAGATTGGCTGGCATGTTCCTGCCTGACTGCTGCTTGGCCGCCGTGGAGCTCGAACACAGCTTTTCTCTCCAGCTCAAAGAGGGCCTTGCAAAGCCGCGAGCAGCGCACGAACATAAGGATATGACGGCTGTCTGAAACTCCTCGTTCCGGAAAGCGCCATCTTCGCGAGAAAAAAAATAACTCTCGCGGACCCCATCGCGGACCCCATCGCGGAACTTGCGCGGGGCTGTTTTCAGAACATTCATCACACAAGTAGTACACGAAGCACACTTTTGCAGCCCCAGCTCGAAAGTCGCAGCTCTTCAGCGCGAAAGTAGTACTAGAGGTGAGCTTCCGCAGCTCAGCTTGAATACGAAAGTAGTACACGAACTAAACTTCCTCAGCCTCGAAAGTCCAAACTTTGCAATACGAAAGTCGTACGCAAAGTGAACTTCCGCAGCCCCAGCTCGAAAGTCGCAACCTTTCAGTTCCAAAGTAGAGCGCGAAGCGCGCTTCCGCAGCTCCAGCTCACAAGCCGTGAGCTACGCGCGAGAGGACCCGTTGGCCTCATGTCCGGAAACTGGCGGGGAGGTCCGTCGACTTTCGCGAAACTTTCGCGGATCTTACGCCAAACATTCGCGAAAATCCGGCTGGAAGTTGCGCTCAACTTGCCCCGACAGCTTCAAAGCTCCCAGAAGCTGGTTTCTGCTGGCTGGGGGTTGCTTTTGCAGCGGCGTATTCTTGCGGCGACCCTCAGGCTGCTCATTCTCCGATCAACATTAGTCTGAGGGCATTCTGCGCGCACTGCCAGAAAATACACATGGTTCATCACTCCAGCTTCCTGTTAGCAAGCCACACAAAACTTTCGCGGAAAAATAGTAATAATTTTCGCGACCCCCTTCGCGGAACTTTCGCGAAGGTCAACGCTAAGACAAAAAGGTCTTCCCCTTCATATCTCAATACAAGGACCTTTCGGACAACTCTCATATAGGCTATAGGCTATGAGCTATGGAAGAAGCGACGTGAACAGGAAAGCCAAACATCTGGCTGTGGCTCAAAAAACCGGTACCCAAAATGGAACCCTGGCAAGTGGAAACATGGACCAAAACCTGCGTAACCCCTCCTGTTTAATTTTGAGCCACACCCATCTTGAGAACTGAGGCGCTGCGATATGATTCAGCCTGAACTTCTGCACCGTGATGATCTCCATCTGACGCTGAGTTTCTTGGACCTGGTGACGCCGAGCCGGCCATGCTTTCAAGTCCCAACAGTGGCCTCGTGCGCATAGGTGTCCTTTTTGGAAAATAGATGGCCCTGGTAGATGATTGAGCCACCAGGTAAACCAGGGCCCTCTGTTTTTTCAGCAAACCAACCAAAAAGGACACGTATGCCCGTGCGCCTAGGCGAAATATGTTGCTCAGTAGTCCTCTCAGCTGCAAAGCCAGGAGAGAAGGAAGTCGTGTGCGTAAAGGAACTTTGCGGCACCTTTGACTTGATGGCATTCCGATCCCCAGATCATGACCCCTTTGCTCGCCGTTCTTTTGTAAGGCATCGACTTCTGGTACATTCCTACTGATCACACCCTGTTCTAGCAAAGCTGTTAGCTCACATTCTGTTGAAACGCCTGGCCAGTCGCAAACTTAGCTCAATACTGTTTTACTGTTCACAGCACTGGTTGATCCTCAACCGGTTTGCACTATCGAGGGCTCCCAATTATTAAAGTCCAACATGACTTATTTGGCTGTGGTCAAAATTGGTTACGCAACATGGAACCCTGGAAAATGGAACCAAGAACCAAAACCTGTGGTCCAATTCCTGGTGGTTTAATTTTGAGCCATACCCATTTTGCGCCGAGAAAGAAAGCAAATCCTCACTCACTCACCTGGCCTGGTGCTCCCGGCGCTGGAATGGATGCCAGAAGGCTTCATGTTCTCGGAATGGGCCACTCGCGTCCCGCAGAAAGAAGGCTCCAAGCATCTTGTAGTCATTTCGGGCGCTGCATCCGGCATGGATGGTCCGCACATCATCCTCACCGTTTTGGAGGTAGTTGAACCTGAGCCGCGAAATGGCCATGGGTCAAAATCCAAATCGTACCCCCCAGTGAACATCCCAATCCCCACTAAAATGGGTTCTGAAACGGGTGGTGCACCACCCCAAAATGGATCCCATTGGTTTCGACCCACAGCCAAATCTTGCAGCTGCGTGAGAAACTCAGCTCGCCAGGGTGCCATAGATACATAGTGCCCTTCCTCACAGAACCAACACGCGAACAGAATGCCTACATTCACACAGCTTAGCAAACACACAGCCAAACTCAAGTCTGATTGACTCGCTAGAACAAAGTGGATGCCGTGGCTGTGAACTAAACTCAACAAACTCAACCCAAAAGAAAACTCAACTCCAAGCATTCAAATCCAAACAAGTGTCTCTGGAAGGACCGGCATCTGGGCAGCTCTTCCGTGCCTGCACAGCATGTCCCATCTGCACAGCATGTCACATCTAGATTGGACAGGCATCCTTACATTATGCACCTGAATATTGCCTTGTAAATGGTGGTGTCCCTTTATTTTGGTGGAAACGCCGTGTTTCCAATGGGCAAAATGGAGATCTTTTAAGGAGCCCTGGAGGAAAGAGCGATGGCTCGAAACGTCTTGCAGGGGTCCCTTTCCTAGACTAACCTGCAGGCTCCCCTTCTAAAAGCTTCCATGTTGGCTTGAGGGAATGTAACCATCACCTACACAGCATCGGCTCTTCATATACGGCTATGAAATTTAATGGGGGACTGTCTGAAAAATGGCTTGTGGACATAAATCCCCACCTAAATTTGACCTTCACCATTTCGGCTCCCGAATTTTCCAAACCCAACCATAGCCCATACTTCTCTTTCTCCTTTTCTGTAACTCTCCACGTGTCGTCAGTCCTGCACATCTCTTGGGCAGCCTGCAGAAGCTGCTGCCGGAAAAAGACGGGCTCCGAGGCATCGATCCGGCGGTGCGCCTGTGGCGATCAAAAATCGGGTAAGCCCAAAATGTCGTAAGCCCTAAATGGAACCAAGTTGACTAAAACCTGGGTCCAATTCCTGGTGGGTTCATTTTGACCTTCAGCCACATCGATGCAGTCAGGATGCATAGGCGTCATTGTCACTGGCAACCTTGCAAGGAGTTGTTAGCCAATGCAAGCACTCTGTCCAAAAACCTTTGGCTAATGTGACTAAGCAACCCTCACGAGGCGCTCTTCGTTCAGAATGTGTTGCCACGCATCCACCTCTCTGGATTCTAAAGCTAAGCTGGTAGTCCCAGCAGAATCTCCTCAGCAATGTGTTTTCCACCCTTGCATCAGCTGCTCCTCTGAGACTGCGTCCAAAGGTGTTCAGAAGTAGCGGAAACACTGTACCTGACTGGCACTTGAAAGGAAGCCCCCCCTTGTACCAGCCCTGCCGCTCTATTGACATTTGGAAAAACTGAGTAGCGCTTGCGTTAAGATGTCTGCACGCGGAAAACAATTAAAACGAGAAAACTGAGTTTTACATAATCATCTGCTTTGATGTTTACTTTACCGCCCCCTCCCAAAAAATAAAATAAAATGAAATAAACCATGTTGGCTTGACGTGGCCGAGTTATATCCGTTTAAGCAGCTCGGGAGAAGGAGGGCCGACGGCTAGTACATGGCACAGGTGGCTTGTCTTTCACTGTCATGTCTATCTGTGTCTTCGTGCATGCATGTAACCAGTGGATGGGTGGCGTGCATTCGTGCGTGTTTCTTTTCTTGCATGCATGTGTACTCGTCTATGATTCCAAATCTGTGCTTGTGGTGTGTGTGTGTGTGTGTGTGTGTGTGTGTGTGTGTGTGTGTGTGTGTGTGTGTGTGTGTGTGTGTGTGTGTGTGTGTGTGTGTGTGTGTGTGTGTGTGTGTGTGTGTGTGTGTGTGTGTGTGTGTGTGTGTGTGTGTGTGTGAGTGTGTGTGTGTGTGTGTGTGTGTGTGTGTGTGTGTGTGTGTGTGTGTGTGTGTGTGTGTGTGTGTGTGTGTGAGTGTGTGTGTGTGTGTGTGTGTGTGTGTGTGTGTGTGTGTGTGTGTGTGTGTGTGTGTGTGTGTGTGTGTGTGTGTGTGTGTGTGTGTGTGTGTGTGTGTGTGTGTGTGTGTGTGTGTGTGTGTGTGTGTGTGTGTGTGTGTGTGTGTGTGTGTGTGTGTGTGTGTGTGTGTGTGTGTGTGTGTGTGTGTGTGTGTGTGTGTGTGTGTGTGTGTGTGTGTGTGTGTGTGTGTGTGTGTGTGTGTGTGTGTGTGTGTGTGTGTGTGTGTGTGTGTGTGTGTGTGTGTGTGTGTGTGTGTGTGTGTGTGTGTGTGTGTGTGTGTGTGTGTGTGTGTGTGTGTGTGTGTGTGTGTGTGTGTGTGTGTGTGTGTGTGTGTGTGTGGTGTGTGTGTGTGTGTGTGTGTGTGTGTGTGTGTGTGTGTGTGTGTGTGTGTGTGTGTGTGTGTGTGTGTGTGTGTGTGTGTGTGTGTGTGTGTGTGTGTGTGTGTGTGTGTGTGTGTGTGTGTGTGTGTGTGTGTGTGTGTGTGTGTGTGTGTGTGTGTGTGTGTGTGTGTGGTGTGTGTGTGTGTGTGTGTGTGTGTTGTGTGTGTGTGTGTGTGTGTGTGTGTGTGTGTGTGTGTGTGTGTGTGTGTGTGTGTGTGTGTGTGTGTGTGTGTGTGTGTGTGTGTGTGTGTATGTGCGCCTCTCTGACTGCAAGTGCGCATGCAGGCGCACCAGCAAGTAGGTGCTAAATCCGCTGCCGGATGCATTATGTGACATCAAATGTCTTGTTGCTTGCTGTTGGCTCAGGAGTACAACCACACCAGTACACTGTTCTTAGATGTTCTTAGATTCTTGGATTGTCCTGTTGCATCGGCTGAACTGGACTCAACCACATACGGAACGGTTCGATTTCGACCGTGAATGCAAGGAAGAGTCTTCTGCAGAGCTACCTCCATCCGCATAGTCGTCAAGGAAGAGCGATACCGAGAAGTGGCGGTGAGGCCAAAGGTACTTGTTGAAGTTGTCCAGGTGTAAGTTCGGCGGCATGGATCCTGGGATGTACAAGTGGTAGATGGGCTCCACGTTGTTGGGGTGCAGCCCCGCCAGCTTGGCCACTCGTTCGATCAGGTTCCTCACGAAGTTTGGAGGCTGGGCGAAGTGGAAGGAGATGTGGTCCGAGTCCTGTGCCCTCAGAAGCGGCCGCTCGAAGGGGCCGAAGCCGGAGCTTTCGTTCGCACCGGGCCGCGAGGCAACGTGCCCAGAGCTGTCTCCGAAGTAAATGATCGCTTCCAGCCTCACTTCTTGCGCACCAGTTGCCCTCCCCACAAAAATTCACCTGGAACCGGGGCCCGGCCCCCTTCTTGCCCTCTGAAAATGGTTAAAAAAAAAAAAAACGCGACCCCCCGGACCTCAGGTCAAAAGTGTGTGTGTGAATTGGTGGGAGGCTATGTGCCCATGACATGCAAAGGATGGATGCCCCTGGGCTAAACCAAGGGGCATGAGAAGGCGCAAGAGGCTGCATTCCTGCAGGGACAATGTATATATATATATCTTATACATATGTGTCTGTCTTCTTTGGGGGGAACCCGTTTTTCTTCCTTTTTTTTTTTGGGGGGGGGGGGGGGAAGGGGGGGGCATACATACATACATATGTGTCTGTCTTTTTGGGGGAACCCATTTTTCTTTTCGTTCTTTCGTTTCTTTTCTCTCTCTTTTTTTTTTTGGGGGGGGGGGTGTTTTTCAGGAACACGCACATATCATGCTCCGATCATCATCCTGCCTGATCTATGCATGGAAATCACCTGCTTTCTTCAAGATCCGGCCTGGTGGCTCAACATGCCCCGAACGCGCATAATCTTTGGAGTCAAGCTGAGCACATCCACATCTAGCGCAGGATCATCAACAGCCCATGGCTGCTTGGACGCCATCATTGATTCTCACAAATATGCTGCCCTCTGTTCAGAGTCTATTGTAATGACTCAAGCAGGCTCACAAGAAGGGGCAATGATTGGGCATGGGTGATGAGAACTGCTACCCACCCTTCTCCTCTGCTCATGTTGCAATAGTATGAATTCAAATGCTGCGGCGGTTTGATCCTGGGTGATGTATTTGAAGGCATGGCAGTTGCCTTTATCGCAAAAAAAAAAAAACGGTGCGGGCAGCCTCTTTTTGGAGCTAAAAGGCGGCTTCACGTGTCGCCAGCTGGCCGTTGCTGCGGCTGCGCTTGCGGGGCCTGCGGCGTTCGGCTCGTGCTAAGAGCGGCCCTTGCGAACCGATGGACCGATCGCGCCTCCGCGAATGCCATCGAGGCTCGCGCCTTGGCCCGAGACGAGGGCTCACGGCCCTCCCATTTTTTTAGATTTCTTTTACATGGAACCGTTCGACGTAAAAAGAGGGGGGCCTGGTTTGCCCCACTGAACCTTGTAAAGGGACCGGGTCCCAGACGTCAGGCTCCATGTTGATCGGAGAGAGAGAGAGAGAGAGAGAGAGAGAGAAAGAGAGAGAGAGAGAGAGACAGAGACAGAGACAGAGACAGAGACAGAGACAGAGGGAGAGGGGGAGGGAGATGGAGACATGTTAGCAAACTGCATGAGCATAGAGTACAACTGCGTGGCGCGATTCAGCATCAGTACACGCAGCGCCGCTTTTTAAGATCTTGCAATTCCGCTCGGAAACTCAGCATCAACATCTGTCTTGTGCGTGGGGGTCCTGACGACAAAGCGGACCTTGAGGTACTCTGCCATCAAAAGCTTGCCTGGTGATGGTCTCAAGCGGCTAGCATGACCCATGGACAATGTTGCTTGTTCCCCCAACAGGACATGCACATTCAGTTGTTCCCCTGCGGTTTGTAAGAAACTAGGGTTTCCCACATCCTCCCCCAACCAAGAATAGACCAACTATCAACAATTCTGTCAGTTGCTCACACTTTTTCGATTTCAGCTGACCATTCTGATCACATCCCTTGCAAACCCTCAATTTGGATGCCGCCTGCCGCAGCCAAACTTGCTGTGGTTGCCAACAGTGCAGCACAGCCCATAACCCCCACTTCTCCGTTGCGAAATCTGGCCATGAGCAGAAGGAGAAACCTGCCGGGCCAAGTCGGGTACAATCACCAACTGGCACATCTCCAAGCCCCGACATCCTGTCTGCGCCACAAGCTACCGACTTACTTTTTTTCAAGCTGCTCGCCAGTCCCAAATCTCATCCTCGCCTGTAGATCATCTTGCCAAAGTTGGGGAACTCCAGGATCCGCATGTTGACGAGGTGCAGCCACCACAGCAAGCTGCTCAGCCTGAGATCGCAAAGCTTCAAGAGCCTACGTCCATCCACAAGGCTCGTGCAGCGTTCTGTCTGGTTGAGGTCCGTCTATATGGCCGTGGCTCGAAAAAACACGGAATTCCGAAATTCCAAAATGGCGCAAGCCCTGGCAAGTGGACACATGGACAGAAACCTGCAGTTTGCCCCTCCTGTTCAATTTTGATAGCCACACCCATGTGCCAGGTAGCATCATGCCAGCAACCACCATGCACAAGTCCGGCTCTCGGGGCAGGACCCCCTTGCCATAGCTGAAGACCTGGGAGCGAGGCGTCTGAACCCGACACAATGTGCACTTGCCTTCCACATTTGGCTGTGGCTCAAATAAACCAAAAGGGGCACCTTGGCAAATGACCAAAAAGACGAAAACCTGCGTAAACCTGGCGTGTGAATTTAGAGCCACACCCATTAGTACAGTTGCGCGATTGTCGAGCTGGAGCTACCAAAGTGTGTTTCGCGCACTGTGCTTGTACTGGAAAATATGCCTGGCGAGCCGCCAGAAAAAGGTGACAACAGATGTGCCCGAAGTTTACACTTGGCTTCAATTCTAAACCAACAAACAGGCTGTGAGCTTATGTAGTGCGATGAACTTGCTGCGCGAAGCTTTCGGCTTTGACAACTTGCTGGCTGGAGGTGCCGCAACTCCCTAGGCCGTTTGACGCTGCTGGTGCCTTGCTGTGCGTCGGGCCAGGTGCCCAAAAACCCAGGGGCCAGCAATACCAAGAGAGAAATGGCCCTGCCAGCTTGGCGCATGAGCAGAATCATGACCTGAGTGAAGTGTCCAGGTGTGGATGGTGCAGCTGGCCATTGAAGATGAGCACGGGCAGAGCAGACCTGTTCCACTTTACAGCCAAGAGCGAACCAGCTGCCCGCAATCAGAGGGCCATCCCATACCAAGAATCCACCGACAACAAACGGCGTGTTGGACAGAAGAAACGTTCCTTGCCTCTTACCTCTCCCTTACCCTTTCTTTTCAGGGGCACGAATCCGGATTTTCGAGGGGGAAGGGGGGAGGGGGGTGGCCGTACCACTGGGTGACGGTCCCTTTTCGCAGACTAAATCCTGCATATTGCGCACAATCATCTTGGGTGTTCGATCCCCCCTGGGCCACTGTCCAAGATCCCACCAACAGCTCAGCATCACCAACATCATGCCAGCATCATTTGAATGAATGACATTCCTGGAAGAAGGAGCAAACAGGGTCAAACAAAATGTCCATACACGTGTCTTGCAGGGACCCTTCCCGCATGACCGAGGAAATTGCAAACAAAAATCAGCGGGCACCCCAAGCTAAAGAAAACTCATGGGAAACAGGGAGCACAGGGGTCGAACGGAAGGTTCCTGCCGTGTCTTTCGGGACCCTTCCCAAATAAGCGATGAAATGGCAAACAAAAACCTACAGGCACCTCTAGCTCGGGACAAGACCATGAAGAAACAAAGGCAAACCAAAGGTCCTTACTCAGTTGCTCAAGTCCAGCAGGGGCCTGTCTACATTCCTGGAATACCAGGAGCAAACAGGGTCATCGCTCTTGCATCGTCAGCATCAGCTAGGGAAAACAACAGGAACAAACGACGGCAAACCAAAGGTCCCTGTCGGGATCTTTCCAAAGGAAAGAGGCAGGAATCCAAACACACACACACACAAAAGAAAAGAAGCATCAGCGGGACAGAGCTGGATTGCCTCAGTCGCACTCCCGTCATCACTTTCTGGGGACTTGTCCAAAAGAAAACGAAAGCTGGGACAAGAACTTGAGAAAACGATGCCAAACCAAAGGCCACTCAAGTCCCTTGAAAGGGAGAGAGAGAGAGGTAGAAGCATCATGAAAGAGCTTCCACGCAGTTGCTAGCACCCCCACCCATCACTTGTAGGGACCTTTTCAATCAAAGAAGCCGCAGGCAAAACTGGCAGCTTCTCGCGTCTTCTCGCGTCGCGTCTTGGTTTCGATCTGACTGTGGATGGACGAAATCCTGCACCACCTAAGAAACCCTGGTTTCTGATGCTTCCCTTGTAAATACCAGCAAACAGTGGTTTCAACCATGGATTCATTTCGTGGTGCGAACGGATTTCGCAACCACCCACAGTATGAAGCCGTGCGGGCCCGGCTTCATCTTCATCCGAGCCATGCGTCGCTGGCCCCCTTGGCGCAGTGCCGCGCTGGGCCTTCCTTCTGGGCTCTACAGCCGTCGAAGATCGGGACTCAAACGCTGGTCCTTCAAGATGTCTGGCCAAATTGTTGCAAGAACCTGCACTTCACGGCTGTCACTTATGGCTTCCTGGGAGGTCACGAAGACAGGGAGCCACAGTCTACTTTTGTGAGTCGTCTCAATTGCGCTGCTTTCGTCCGGGCGTCTGGTGGTTGAACAGGCATTCAAGCGGGCTCTTTATGGGCTTCTCCCCAAAATCACACCAGTTCTCTGACAGTTCTACCAGGGTTCAAGCCTTGCGAAACCTTTGGTCGCCCTTCCGTGAATCTTAGGCGACCATCCCGTGCTATCGCGTTCAGGTCTTCCCAAAAAAGCCGCAAGGTAAACGATCCTCTATGCTTCCAAGTGACAACCAGCACGCGGGAAAGGGTCGCCAATATGAAGCACACGACGCCCCCCAAGAAGCTCAGGCTACACACCTCACTTCCGCACTTTTCGAGTGGATGGCCCAAAAAGAGTCACCAAACTTTTGGTTCACCAAAAAGGCCCAGACCATCCAGACAAAAAAAAGAATGGTCCACCAAAAAGGCCCAGACCATCTAGACAACAAAAGAAGAAGTAAGCCCATGCACCCAAGTGAGACACCAAGTACTCGAACTCCAAGTTGGCCATGATCAAATCCATGGCTGTGGGCTCCAGTGCCAATCCATGTCTGCCCAGCTCCAGCAACTGGACGTGTGCGTTGGAAGTTTCCAGCACCGTGGTCAGCTCCATGCAGAGAGCCGCAGAGGTAAAAATGACGTATGCCTGCGGCACACGGCATTCGAGGTAGTGAGCATTCAGACATGTGAGTCACAATCAAACCCGGTATTAAAATGGTCGTAATCCCAGAACCATGTAAAGAATTAAGAAGGCGGCCGAAACTATTTCTCGCTGGGACTGCCCCTTACTAACTACATCTACCCGGGTTTTGATTGATTCAAAGCGAATGCATTGCATTGAAATAGTGTGCCCAATGCTCCCTAGCTACACTCAGAAAAAGTGCGAAAAAGGGTGAAGAAAGCAATAAAATACCAAGGCACGCGATAAAGGAAATCAAACATCTGATAATGATGATACTCCTCTTTTGACCAAGCAAACTTGGTAGGAGGCAAGAATAGCATACCCAGTGCTGCGGAACCAATCAGCGCAGCCGGCACTCGCATGGTGTCACTGAAGAAGCGCACTGCATCATCCTTGGTCCGCTATTGACACACAGTGCAGAATCTCTCTCGCTCGCGATGCCTGCTGATTTCATGGCCTTTATTTTTTGTGGAACTCCCTGAACAAGGCTAAGCTTGGGTTGTGCGCTGTCACATGGGCCTTTGCATTCAATCACGAGTCCTCAGTGCCTGGCGAGTTGTGCTTTCACCTCCGGCTTCAAAGGTTTGGCCCAGTCTTCCTTCTGTGTCGGCAGCTCCAGCTGAGTCCATCCTCCCAGAATTTCAGAGCGCGCCTGGCATCTGTTTGCACTGATCAGCCACAAACTAAATGCACACTCGTACAAACGCAGTATCGCCATCGCTGAAAGCACTGTTTGTTTCTACCTATCTGCAAGTTTCTCCATCGGTGTGGTGTAATCCTTGACGGAATCTGACTGTGAGTCAAGTGAGAGTCTACACGAGCAATGTGCTGTCACACTTGTAGGAGCCGCCCCATAGTGACATTGCAAAGCATGCTGCGCGCACAGCAAGTCAATTGCCTAATTCCACTCGTTTACTGCAAATTACTCTGATAGTACAATCTAACAACACAATCAGCGCATGGCAACGTGCAAGCAAAACTCGCACACTATGCACTGCACCCGCCTGTCGTCGCACTCGCCGCTCTTCAAATGAATTCAGCGGACGCCCTGCTTCTTTGCGAGCTCTCTTCACAGCATCAGTTTCTGCTTCTGCCAGCTCCTTCAACTTTCGCTTTCGCTCCTCCTCCTGCTCCGCTTGTTTCTGCTTGATCCTTTCTTCTTCCTCTTTCTCGCGCTGCTTCTCCTTCTGCTTCTCCTCTTCTTCTCGCTTCTTGGCTTCAAGCTCCTCCGCCCTCTGCTCCTTCTCGCGGCTCGGCAATGACAGGCTCAATGGGGGAATCTCCCAAAGAGCACCAAGAAGGACCAGCAAGGTCAATCTCCGCATCCACCGCATCGACCAGCTGGCAACATGGCAAGCCATGGCAACATGGGAACTCGAAGGATGCGAAGCCACAGGGCGCAGGACAAGCACGCACACCCTGCAAACTGCTTCGCCTCAACTAAGATGGCTGTGGCTCAAAAAAGCCATACCCAAAATGGCTTAAGCCCTGGTAAGTGGAAACGTGGAAACCAAAACCTGCGGTTTGCCCCGATCGAATTTAATTTTGATTGCCACACCCAGCTGAGAGGCAGACGAAGAAGCCACTGGCAGATTCAGCTGCGGAGCTGAATCTGCAGAGCGCCAAAGAGATAGCGCTCGATCGCGCGAGCGTGCGCATGCCCAGATCCCGGGATCCGGATGCATACACCAAAAAGCATTGCAACTTGTAAATGGAGTTGTTTCCAACTCTATTCTGATGTTGAAAAAGCAACATGGATTTCAAATGGTTGCAAAAAATGGAGATATCTTTTAAGGAGCCCTGCCAAAGAAAAGCTTCTCTGGTGTGTCCCTTCACCCTTCACGACACGAAATTCGATCGCCTTGCCGCGGCGCTTCCAACCTGTTCGTCCGCTTTCGATCAGCTGGAATGCACGAGCCACTGCATTCAACTTATATGTTCAACATCAGCTCCAGTTCTGAGGCGCGAACCGTTTCAGAAGTCGCTGCCTCTGAGGCAAACCTGACATTTCACTTCACAACCCTTGGTGTGGGCTTGCAAAAAGCCTTGTTTCTTGCCCGCCCCCAAACCTAAAAGAATGAACAGAACCCAAAGATTATCCAAGGACCGTAAAGTATTTCAAGCGGGGGTCAACGCTCAACTCAAGTAGCCGGAAAAAACATGGCCGGTGCACTGCTGGCCCTTGGTTCGGACAGAGCTCCATAACCTGCACCCGGCTCGTGGCTCGTCGTTTTGGGGGTGCCTGATTTTGGTTGGTGTAAAAGGGAAACCGAAAGGGACATGGTGACATGCTTATTCTTTTCTTCTTCATTTTTTTGGGGGGGCGTCCCTAAAAGGGAAGCCACTTTTGTTGTGTTTGTTCTTTTTTTGGGGGGGAGGGTCCCCCTAAAAAAGACACACCCGGGTATGTTGGTGCCAAAACAATGCCTTCGCGCAGAACTTTCTCTGAGCTGGGAACGATGACAATTGCGTCTGCGCCTCACTCGAGTTTGAGTCTGATGGAGTTTTTGACAATCAGCTAGTACAGCTGGAAAAAAAATGCTTGGAGCAGTCTGCTACCGCATGGTAGCTGCTCACATATTCTAAGCCAGTGGCTTGCTCCAGAGCCTCTCGTCTCGCAGGCGCTGTGTCATGCAGCCAGCTTTGCAGTGCTTGAGCTTTGTCCTGCATGGTTTGCTTGGAACTCAGGATTGCAACTCTCTCTTCCCTCTCTGAATCCGTGTCTGCATCCTGCACCACCTCCGACGCCTGTCCGGCGCGCTCCAAGACCACAGGTGCCAGCTTCTCCTGCTCGAAATCCCATTCAGCTTGCACGATTTCTTGTCCAGTGATGACACGGCTCCATGAAGCCGTGTGGCGAAAGAATGAACCACAGTCAGCGCGAGGCAAGCATTTTCCCGTAACTGTGCAACATTGAGAGCTACACAAACATCCAGGGAATGGATATTCAAACAAGGCCGTAACACATGCAAATTCCCTGGGGCCGCTAATGCCGGCGTGAGCTCAAGCAAGACACGGCCAGCTCTCCTGGATATTCTTTGACACTTCAGCACCCACTCCACTGGCAACTGCGGCTGCCTGGCACGCTGCGATACTGTCAAGCTGCGGCTCCGGAATCTGAAAGCCCTTTTTGGGGGTGGTGTAGAGGGAAGCCAAAGGGAAGCCCACCATTTTGGGGGGTCCAACCTTAAAAAAGACACATCCAAATGGTTTGCTTTGGAGAAGCATTGCTTCTCCCAAGTCTGCCTCAGAAGCTGCGACAGCCGCTGTGTGGGCCTGAGCCATCTAAGCCAGGAATGCCTCACAAGCCCAGAGGTACTTGAGGTCTCAAAATCGGGAGCCCTTTTTGGATAATGTTTGAAAGCAAACCAAAAGGACACCACCCCTCCAAAAGGGTCTCCGTTTTTGAGACAAACCCACTGGGGCGGAGGCCCATTCATTGAGATCATCCATAACCTGGAGCCTGTCACGCGAGCTGAGCCAACCCCAACCTTTCGACCGCCTTTGCTGCGCCTTTTGGGAGGAAAGATCGGCGGCTGAGAACCTCTTCGTTCGAACGCACAAATCGCGTTGGCCTGCAATCGCTTGCTGGGATTCTCGAATCTGGATCTCTCCTTTCTTTAGGCATCGGACCCCCTCAACATGTCAAAACGGCTTGCCAGTTGCTTCCATCTTGAAGCACCGGACAAAAAATGGCCAACTCCACACACACACACACACACAAAAAAAAAAGACGTCTTCAACCACCGAAAGCGGCTGTACCAACTCCACCAAACACGACGCCGACGCCGACGACGCCCGCGCGACTTGCTGAGACTTGCTCGAGGCAAGGCGCCCGTCTCAGCAACTCGTCGAAGTCCGTGCCGCGCGGTCCGGCTTGGATGATCTGCCAGGTGCAGAAAGGCAGGTTGGACATAGGAAAACAAGCCCAGGTGGGGTGGGGGGGATTTCGGCTGGGGTGGGGTTTTGTGGGGTGGGGTCCCCACACGAGGATTCCATGGAAGTGCACAGGTGTTGGTGGGACAAACCGCTTTTCCTCCGGGAAAGGGGCCAACAGTGCACTTCCATGTTAGTTGGGGGAATAAGCACCATAGAAAACCAAGCCCAGGGGTGGTATCCCCATCCGGAAACCCCAAATAATCCGCAATGAATGCCCCAAACCCTGAACGAGCCGATTTCTGGGCAGAGACAGCTGTTGCGGGAAGAAACATCCACAGGCTTCAATACTCTTGCTGGTTCTCTAGGGAATGAGTTGACCCCAACAGAAACCATCCATGTTCTATGGTTTCCTTTAAGGGAATCCCCAAACGGCTCATTCCCAAACGGCTCATTCCCAACACCCGGAAGGGTCATTCCCTACGGAGCAAGTACTCTGTTGCCCTAATAGTACAACCTGTGCTGGGCGAGGAGCAACTTTGAGACATGCAAGACCTGCGCTGCAGTGAACATCTTAGCCTCTGCAAGAGAGAACTGCTTGTCAGTGGACAGCAGCATGTCTCTCTTTCCAAGGATGACTGCCACACATGTGTGAACCACAAACCTCAGCTGGCACCCATTACAATTGTGCATTGTGCGCATGCTGCCACCACAAAGACTTGGGCACGAACCCATATCTTTCTGGGTCAGCAATGAAAGAGTCCCATAAACGAAGAACATCAGGAAGTGTGGCATCCTGCACTGATGAAACAAGAGCATGCATGAACAAAACAGCAATCACAGTGAAAGGAACACGACATCGGCGTCCTGTGCAAAAAGGACCTGCGCTGCAAGTACTCCAGGCGGGTGCAACGCTTCACATGCACACTAATGCTTGCTTCCACTGCACTAAGTTGCTTGCCGAGTCGCGGTACACCAGCGAAGCACGAAGACAAAGAGCGACAACTCGGCCTTCTGCAAGTGCCTGCCAAGCGATGGTACACCCTGCGCCGGAAACGCGGTGACATGAGTCACAATCAAAGCCCGGTATTCAATTGGTGGATCCCCGGAGCCATGTAAGGAAATACAAAGGCGGATATCCGCAACAATTTCTGGCTGGGATTGGGATTGTCCCTTTCTAACCTTCAATCCCCCGGGATTGATTGTGGCTCACATGATCCTCCCAAAGCTGGCACCTGGCAAGCACTGGATCGTAGCCTTGCACGTCACAGCCCAATCGCATGCTTCGGCAAATCGGTTTCGAAACTCAGCCGCCGGCTTCGAAGCAGCCGGGTGATCTCATCCACCATGCCGTAAACACCTAAAAACTTGCTTTGGTGAACGCCATTGGGCTGTTCATTCTTGCTAAAACACCAAGAAATTGCACCAAGCACCACAAATTGCACCTTCCCCGCTGTGATCCAGAGCTTGCATGAATCCATCCTTTATTTCCTGGGCTGCGCTCTCAAGGTTTAAAAAAAGAGGAAAAAGTAAGAAGGAAAAATCAAAAAACATCCAAGGCCTCATTCTTGAGGCAAAGCGACAATTGCTGCTGACGTCCGAACCCACATGTTGTGCAAACGAATGTAATATTGAACCAAGATCTACTGCCAGAAGTGTAGCTTGCTCGTGCTCAGTAGAAAATGAAGCAATGCCCTTAAAGGAAACCATAAAACATGGACGGTTTTTCCAGAGTCAGTCCATTTCTCATTCCTGCCAATCGCACCGGCAAGGTAAAACCAGTCTCCAGCAAGGCAGAACCCGAAGCGGTCGAAGAAAGACGTCGGTCGTCACAACCAAAGCCCTCGTGCAAAGCCTGAAATGACGTCAAAATGGGTGTCTTCTTGTAGGGGACCCCCCAAAAATGGTGGTTCTCCTGTTGGTTTCCCGTTTAAAGCCAACCAAAAAAGGGGTTCCTCAAAGAAAGACACACCTAGATGTATGCAAGAGGACTTCAGCGCAACAATTGAAGCACGCACAGCATGCACTCAGACTGGGCTCGACCATCATCTCGCTGAAACACCAGAATGCATCTGCCTCTGCACACTCCAAGTCCACTGACATGACATAGAGCAGCACTGCCGCAATCTCGTTCATGCCTACATAGTAGAGTCCCAGTCATGCAATCAGTTAATCAATGGTTGCTCCTATGGGCCCCCCCAATCCCAATAGGGGCTAAGAGAGACTAAAATCCCTAGAGGCTAATAGGGTTTGTGTGGGGGGGTCCCCTCTTTGGGGGGGCCCTGACCATGAGAGTTGCTCTAGTCTTCCCATACAGGCCAACAAAGACTGGTGCTAGTAGATGGTCCAGAACCCTCTCAGAAAAGGAGGGGTGCAACCAAGACTGAGGTTCTGCCTTGTACATATCGCACACCAGGATTTAGCTTGGCATAGACAAAGAGCATGGCCACTAGGGCCGCTTTCGTCGATGGTCTTCTGAAGTATTCAAAGTCCCTTCGAGTTCTTTCCACATCCTTGGACGGACCCGGAGCAATGAATCGACGTACAGAAGTGTGTAATCTACAAACAGATCTTAGTATTGAATATATCATCAAAGACAGAAAAAAGACATATCTTCGCAAACATGACAACAAACCAAACAATGGCGTACAAACGTGTGATCTACAAACAGAACTGATTCCAGAAAGAGACACCTTCGCAACCACAGCAACAAAACACATGATGGCATGCACTGATGTTGGTTCTAAGAATCATTCTTGATTTCTTGCAGCAGTTCCTCATCTTCAATCTCACTGCCTGCGGTACGAGTACAAATCATCCAAGAAGGATGTTCCGTCTCTTGTGCAACCACTGTGCCTGGGCTTTGAGGGCGGTTGCTCACAGACACCTCGTACGCGGAGTTCACCGCGAGAAGTTCGCTTCTGTAACTGGCATACAAAGCTCTCTTTTCGCCTTATCCGGCGCTGCTCTAGAAAACGGTTTGGGTGCTGCTTTTGCCCTGGTCCGTTTTAGTACTATCTTAGTGTTTTAAATCCTATAAAGATCCACAACAGCCACATCCAAACCGTTTTCTAGATCTCAGCTGCAAGATGCACACAGTCTGACCAGTTTATGGATGCTTGATGCTCATGCCAAGGCACCCTGAATAGCATTCCACTCATCGTGACGCTTCATCGGCAGATATCCCAATAGCACCTACCAATCATGCAGGTGACATAGTGAACCCGCGTGTCATTGACAACGCCTCAAAAACCTCTTGCGATATCTTGCTTGCAATGGGTGAGGAATCTTGAGAATGGATCCTGCGTCTGCAAGTCCCATGTCTATCAAAGGCCTGCCTTCCACACTTGCGCGCGCAAGTTCGCATCATCTGGCAACCCGCGAAAGGTGAGCAATCGGAGCAAGTGGTCGCGGCCGTCCTGGCCAGTTTTCAGCTCCGCGTTTTCTCGACCAGGAGAAATGCAGCAGATTGGCCAGGTCCAGTTGTGGCCAAGGACAACTTTCAATTGTCCACGCTCCGCGCGAAAGATGAACAAGCGGCACGTACACTCCCGACTAACATGGAAGCTTTTTCAAGTTTTTCCGTACACTCCCGACTAACATTGAAGTTCTTCGAGTACACTCCCGACTAACAGTTTGAAGTTTTTTCGAGTACACTCCCGACTAAACATTGAACTTTTTCGAGTACACTCCCGACTAACAGTTTGAAGTTTTTCGAGTACACTCCCGACTAACAGTTTGAAGCTTTTTCGAGTGGCCGGATCCCGCAAACGAACCTTCAAGTCTTCCATTTGGCTGTGGCTCACAAAGATGTACCCAAAATAGCCCCTAGGTAAATGGAAACAGAGACCAAAACGTGCGTAACCCTAGCTGTTAAACTTTGAGCCACAGCCATTTCGTTCTCCCGGGACCTTCCATGGACTCGACTGGAGGGGGCTCCGTGTATGGCGCGCATGGCGCGCGCCAAGCGCGTCCTTGGCACCACGTGAGATGGCGCGGCCCAACAGCTCCGCCCGGCTCGGAGAGAGGCCTTCGGCGAGCGCTTCTTTCCTGACCTGCGCGAAAGCGACACTTTCCAGGGGTACCTTCCATGTCCATTCTTTCCAGGGATCCATTTTTTGTTGAGGAAACCATCAAAAACCCAGGGGAAACGGATCCGGTTTTTGAAAGGAACGATGGTTGAAAAGAATGGAATCGGAATCAACCGCTAGAAACTTAGGTTGCTCAGCACATTCTCAGAGGCCTAGTGGATTTGCATCCGAATTTCCGGGGTTGGAGTTTACAAGGCAACCCTTCCCCCCCAAAAAAAGAAGGGGCGCCACCGGGCTGGACCTCTCTTCCATTCTTGCCTTTCTCGCCTTTCACCCCTTTCTTGCCTTCCTTGTGTTTGGTGCAACCATACTTTGGATCTTTTTGGTGCAAGAAATGGGGGTGGTTGATCAAAAGGTCCGATGAACATAGGATGACCGTTGGTTGGAAAGCCACTAAAAATGATATTGCTCACTAAATGGGAAAAGTTACCCGTGGTCATTTGGGGGGCCAGGAATACTCATCAACCCCCCGCATCATACGGGTGTGTCTTTTGTTGAGCAGGGATCATTACATTATACACCTGAACATGGCCTTGTAAATGGTGGTTTCCCTTTATTTTGGTGGAAAAAGCCATGTTTCAAATGGTTGCACAATGTATCTTGTAAGGAGCCCTGTTGAGGCTACCCACTTTTCCCCACATCTTTGTGTGGAGTTCCACGTCGTCCGCTGAGCTCTCTTCTTCTCCTTCGCCGGCTCCTCTTCACTCTTACACACTCACCGAACTCGCACTCACTGACATACAACCGTGTTCACTCTCACTCACTCAACTCCACAGATACTCTCACTCACTCAACTTGCGCATGCTTACTCTCACTCACCGAACTTAGACTCACTCACTCATCTTACGCATCTTACACATAGTTTCTCACGTAGCTTACACACGCTGGCGTTCAATTTAACCACTCGCACTCACTCCATTCACACAGGCGTACTCCCCCTCACCTAACTTTGGACAGCTTTGCGCGGAGCGGTCGGCTTGGGGCGGGGTGTTCGCGTGGCAGGCACAGTACTTTGTGCGTGCTGATGCTGGCTTGCATGGAGGGCGCCTGACTTTGACGCCTTTGTTGCGGGCACACATCCTCTCGCATGCTCAACTTACACTCTCTAACTTAAGCATGTCCTTCACTCGCTCAACTTCCACCCACTGGCTTACACATGCTTACTCTCACTCTTCAGCTTGCACTCACTGACTTTCAACCACTCTCACTCGCACTCACTCACTCAACTTACATGTACTTACTCGACTCTTGCTCACTGAACTTACAGTCACTAACTTACGCATGTTTGCTCAACTTGCACTCACTACCTTATGCATACTTTGTTTCACTCACTCAGACTTACACATACTTGCTCTCACTCACTCAACTTTGTAAGTTGAGTCACTTTGCAAAAAGCTAGGCATGAGCGATGATCCGGTCCATTAATTGGTCTGTTTGTTTTAAAGGAACGCCAAAAGGAACCACCATTTTGGGGGAGTCCTCTAGAAAAAGCCCCACCCATACTACAACATCATACTGCATCTCGCTCCCTCTCTGCTAAGCGCGCTTGTGCATGCCTGCGACACTGCTTCATCCAGCTCCAAGCGAAGCTCCTGCCGAATCTGGCCAGGAACTCTATAAATTTGAGTGCGCTTTCTCTCATTCCTCGTATCTTCAGGGGGAGTGGGGGGGGTCCCCAATTCCATTTTTCCAGTCTTCCCCACAGAAAAGTTCCATGGAACTATAAATGGAGATCCCCAGGAATCAGCCCCCTCCCCGATCCACCATTTTGGGGGGTTGGGGATTCTCTCTCTCTCTCCTTCTCTCTCTCTCTCTCTCTCTCTCTCTCTCTCTCTCTCTCTCTCTCTTTCTCTCTCTCTCTCTCTCTCTCTCTCTGTCCCTCTATCTCCCTCCATTTGCTTAAGTCCACTGCAAAAAATATACATATTTCCAGTAGTGATAGATTCCCTTTGAAACCCACAGGGGATTATGTAAAAATATTCTCAACCCAATGGAAGTCTCTCTTTCTCCCTCCAGCCCTCCTTTCCGCTGTACTCGAAGGGAGCGCTTTGGTAGAGGGTTCTGCCGAGGAACTCCACGCCCTCCACCGGAGGGACGTTGTACCTTGGCTCCGACTCCAGCAGGGCGCATGGCTGGCGACCAAAATGCGAGCTGACATGCACGAGGCAGCAGCCATCCGGGGGGTGAGACCAATGGGTTGATTCCCCATTCTGTTCTCGGTTGCTTTCTGCTCCCCTGCTAAAGGTTTAACTTTCAGTGGTTTAATGGAAAACCCATTAGTTGGCAAACAGTTAAAGTCCTAACATCCAAGCAAAATGCATCAATGTTTTCAACCATCGTTCTTTTCAAAAACCGGATCCGTTTCCCCTGGGTTTTGATGGTTTCCTGAAAAGATTTGGATCCCTGGAAAGAATGGAAATGGAAGGTACCCTAGAAATATTCCATTTATTTTTGGCCCCCAGTTTTGACCATGGGTGACCTTTTCCCATTGAGTGGGGAAATATCAAATCTTGTTGGTGGTTTTCCAAAACAATGGTCATCCCATGTATTTGGGACCTTTTGATCAACACCCAAACGTAAAGCATGCAAGCATTTTTTTTCAGTCGAGTTGCTTGAGCGCGAGCTGCGCCCACAGATGAGGCACGTTGGCGCCCCGGTATTTCACCACGATGCTGTTGATGTTGGACAGATTGGTTGCCCTGCAAGCGGAAAAAGTGAAAGAAACTTCAGCGGCCCTTTGGAGTTGGATGTCCCATAAAATTCCTCAAGCATCTTGTTTATTTTGTGTGCAACCTAAGCACCGTCAATCCAGCCGTATGACATTCATGTGAGTCACTTGCTCAAAACCCGGTATTAAAATGGTCAATCCCCATGCTTCAAGAATTAAGAAGGCGGAGATCCGCAACTATTTCTCACTGGGACTGCCCCTAACCTTCACCAATCCCCGGGTTTTGATTGTGTCAAAAAAAAAATCCTCAAGAACCGCAAGCTCAAATCCCCAATCCAAGCCAATGACCCTCCCACCAAATCGGTCCCTTTGAAAGGAAATTGGTCCAAACCAGGACCCTCCTTATACGTCGAACGGTTCCATGTTAATTGGTGGGGTAGGGGCCTTAGGGGTTACCTGATTCCAGTGCTCATCCGACCGCACCAAGTGCTTCTCGCGTCTCGCGTCGCCTGTTTCTCCAGTAGAAGTCCTCAAGCGCCTCGTGTAGAGCACGGTCCTCTGAGGAAAAGTCTGCCGGAGGCAAAGGAGCCATCTGAAGATGCTCCTGGGCAACACGTCTTCAACGCAAACCCAGGGTTCCACTTTTCGACCCCAAAATAGACGCAGAAACCCAGGGCTAGCTCATCCGCCCCAAAAGGAGAACAAAAGGAGGGTTTACGTCTATCTTTGGGTAGTGCAAAGTGGAAGCCTAGGCAAACCATGCTTCCAAAACAACAGTTCTGAAGCGCCGCGGTTCTCGGACTTCCTGGTTGTTCATATCTGATCAAGGTCGTGTCCACAAGTTCTTGGCACATCTTAGGCACCAAGACATACTGTGGATGGTTGCGAAATCCATCCAACGCACCACCGAAAAGAGACCCTGGTCTCGGATTCCATTCCCCAACGTAAATACCAACAAACGTTCTGGTTTCATTTCGCTGTGCAAAAAACATGTTGCACCGCAGTACCAACTCCCAACCTCCAAACTGCCCCGTCCTGTGCCAGGTCGCTCGGTGGGCCTTCTGCAGGTTCGTCCGAGCCATCGCTGTCGATTCGAAACCGAGCCTTGCGTCCGCATCTCAAGCGCGTGACTGAGGGTGGACGCAGAAACCAGGGGTGGATCATTCCCCCCTTTCGGGGGAACCCCGGACTTTAAGTCCATCTTGGGGCCGATCTCAAGCGAGATCGGCACGTGGATGCATACAGCGACAGGGGTCGCACCATGGCGCGCCAATTTGCCAAGCAGCAGCACTCTCACTGCCCTCCTGTGTACTTGTTGCTTTGGAGCCCTCTTCGTCAAACTTGTGATCGATGCTGGCCTAACGAGTCGAGTCGCGTCCCGGCCCCCCATCCACAACCAATTGCCATGGTGAAAGCAGCCCACACTGCGGAGTGGGGGATCCATCAAGGTCCATCAGCGCGCCTCAGTACTCGCTGGCTTGGCCTCACAGGACATGCTCCCTCAGTACGGCGGCTGCAAAAGTGCTCGTGGGAAAATGATTGGAAGCTGGCCAACCTGTGGATCTGTCTCTTTTGAGAGCAGCCCATTGTCGGTGGTTTAACACACCCACGTGCCGCCTCTGTCCGCGCAGGCGGATCGAACGCGGCGGTGGGCTCGGGAGCGGCCGCCGGGCCTGCCATGGGTTTGTCTTTCGTGGCTCGGGGCCAAAAACCACTCCTTGCATGCCGTTGTTCCTTTCTGTGTGAATCCGTTCATTTGAGGAAGAACTGCTGCTCAACTGAAGCCGTCCACTTCATTCATTCGGAATTGCACATATCCCCCATAGGACCAGGCACCGGAGCAATGCTGGTAGTGCAATTCGGCACCGTCTCCGCTCCTTCGCTCATCAAGGAGTCGAAGAACGCGTCCGTCTCCTCGTCAAACGCTTTGAAAATGTCCTGCGTTGTGCGAGAGGCTCGAAGGCTGTATGCAAGCACCCTCACACCACTCATAGCCTGATGTGAGGGAGCTAAGGCGGACTGTCCTGGTCATGTTTGGCTGCCATGGTTGGACTGCACTCATCTGCGCGCGGCCCGGCCAATCTTCCTGCCAATTATTTAGGTCGATTTTGCTGCTTGTTGGAATTGCTCCAAGCGCCACTCCATCTTGTCGATCTGTGCCCAGTGTGGTGAAAGCCAAACGTGGCGTTCAAGTCAGAGAGTCGGCTGATATGCATGGCTTGTGCGGGTTCGTTTGCATGTCCTTTCCCGATGCTCGAATTGAACACCACATTCAAAGACTTCGCTGTAATAAGCTAAAGTGCACAAAGGCAGTCAAACACAAGGCGATGCTTCTTCTTTGTCAGCAATCATCCCCAATACAAGATGAAACAACAACTGCGTGTGAGCGTGAGCTTCCCTCGCTGCATTTGCGGACGCAAATAACCAGAGCCAAATTCAGCCCTTGGATAACTTGCAGGGTGAAACAAACGATCTACCTTCGGGAAGCTACAGAAAGAACAGAGGAGGGAGCAGCGGTTGAGATCCATGCTACTCCTCCTCTATTTTACATGCATGCAATATGTCATTCAGAAGCCAAAGTAATCACATCGTCACATCCTTGGTAGGCTCGCGTCAGGATGTAGAAAAAAACAAAAACAGTTGCTTCAAGATTCTAGAGCAACGTCAACATCAATGCAACGGATGCCAACATTGAAACGAGGCATGCTGCAGAACTTCTGGACCCACTTTTCGAATGGCATAAGCTGTGCCAACAACTGCGCGCGCAGTTTTCATCCGAGTGTGACATTTTTTTAACAGGGCGAGCTTAGCAAGAGCTCTTTGGCTCAATGCGGATTCAGAGGTCTCTCAAAGCTCCTGGTGGGGCTTCGGAAGCTTGTACCGCTGTGAGGCCTTCTCCAATCGCCAAACCTGGGCCAACAGTCAACGGCGGTTCCTAAAACGCGCTTGGAACTAAGACTGGGGCGTCCTGATGATAGCCTCCGCCACCATACCTACGCAAGAGGCATGTCATGGGATAATTGAGACTCAGGAAAGAGGCTGTGTTCGATTCCATCTGCCAAGACGCATTGTTCCCCCGCCGAAAATGAGAATGGTGTCATCCACTGTAACGCCTGGTCATCAAAGATGTGTCAGGTGAGCGTATTATAGCTCCGGAAAAATGCCGGCGATGCATCAAAGTGACGGTTGGTGATGGTCGAGGTATGTCAAGGTATGGCTGTGGGTCAAACATAGGTACCCAAAATGGCACCCTGGCAAAAAAGGAAACATGCACTAACATCTGCGGGCCAATTCCTGGTGGTGACTAATTTTGACCCACAGCCATATCTTTGCATGCTTCTAAGGGGTGATTCCTTTTTCTTTTCAACCATCGTTCTTTTCAAAAAACGGATCCGTTTTCTGGGTTTTTGAGAGGGTGTCCTGAAAAGATTCGGACTAGGGTTCAAACATGGATACCCATTTTTGACCCACAGCCAAGTCTTCTCGAGCAATGCAATGTGCCTACAGCCACATCATCCCGCGAGGGCCACGGGGCCTGCCACTGACGCTTCAAGGAGCGCTCTCACCGGTTCGCATCCTATCCATTTGGCCGTGGCGCCAAAAAAATCAGAGCTGGGGGTTACGCAGGTTTTAGTCTTTGGTTCCATTTGCCAAAGCGCCATCTTGGTGCTAGTGCTTGTTTTTTGGAGCCACAGCCATTTGTGAAACCTCCTTCAGGCGATTGTCCACGCCTCTTTCTCCAAGATTGTCCATGCTTTGCTGGCAGTGTTGAGATCCAGCGCTACTACATCCTTGCCATCCAACGAGTCAGCAGAAATGCGCATGCCTGTAAATTGCAAGCTGCGACATATGCAAGATGCCCGCAAACGGGTTGAAGCCAAGGATCATTGTACGATTTGAACTCAGTCTCCTGCGCCAACCCATGCCCAACCAACCCATGTCCAAAGCCTTCGGCTCTCTCATGCCAAGCCCATGCCTCGTGGTGCTTTTCCATAGCCTCACGGTCGGCCTTGGATTGAGCAAGGCCGTCAAAGCCCCGAAAAAAGCCCTCGTTGTGGGGTGCGTGTCTGCGTGTGTCTGTCTCTGTGTGCCTGTGTCTCTGTGTATCTGCGTCTCAGCTGTGTCTGTGTCTGTGTCTGTGTCTGTGTCTGTGTCTCTCTGTCTGTCTGTCCGTCCGTCTGTGCGTCTGTCCGTCTGTCTGTCTGCCTGTCTGCGTGTCCGTCTCTATGTCACAATGCGTGTGCGCGCGCGTGCCGAGCCTGGTTCTTGGCGTTGATCTTCTCCGTGGGAGGTGTCCAATGTCCGCCCAGCGTAATCAGCCAGCCGCTTCGAAGCACCTCAGCTCGTTCAGTTTCTCCTGCGCTTCGCAACACTTGGTATGGGCTTGCAAAGAAACAACTTGTTGTTTTGCAGCCCCCAAACCCAAAAATGAACATAACCAAAAAACAAAAGAGAAAAACAAAAGAAAAGAAAAAAAAAAAAAATGCCAGAACCAAAATACAAAAAAAAGACATGCCAAGAACCATGTTCCCTGGCTAGCATGACCTCTTGGCTGAGTGCGCAGCCATCACACCAGGAGAACTGCGAGCCGAGGGCAGGTCGCCAATGCGCTGCCACTCGGATGCCAAACCACCTCAGCGACCCTCCCTCCCACGTTGTGGCCATGGCGCCTCACAGGTTCTTCTTCACAGAGGAAGTTGTTCCGTGCGACGAATTGCCTTTTCCACTAAAATGGGGGGCTTCTTCACTATCAGGGGGGCTGCTTCTTTATCAACCGCAAGCAGTGGAAAAGGCAAACCATGGTTCCAGGCACCCTCCAAGTGCCTTCGGTTTGTGGGAAGGGCAACTGGTATGCAGATGCTCTCTGCACAAGTGAGGCTTGAGGCTCGGACTTGGCAAAGGAACACGCCATGTGTCTTCACATCGCTTCCACTGCCTCCAGCATGGCTGACTGGGGCACTGCTGAAATACACGTGCGTCATGCCTTCCCTCGTCTTTTGCATGCTGCCCTCCGAACATCACCTGAGCAAAGGGCTCAGGTGACACATGTCGAATCACATCCAACAATTTGAAGTGCAAACTAGTGGCCAGCCAAGCGCCGTCTGGTGAAATGGCGGTGGCATGGTCTGCCTTCCGACATGTCTGGTGAACATGTCACAATGTCCGCGCTATCATTCTGCCGGCGCACCCGAGAATCCCATGGCGCTTCTCCCTCTTTGCTCTTGACAATCCACTTCAACCTTGACGACTCAACAACTGCAATGTGTTGCAATGAGAACGAGCCGCTGCTTGCAAGCAAGACACGTGTCCAGATCAAATACAACCACCTGCAGAATCATCCAAGGTCACAAGCAGCTTGGCTGTTCCCAGATCTGCAAAAAGTCCAACTTTTTTTGTCGCTGAGTGGAAAAGCCGCCACTAAGCCAACACAAACCTCTGGGAACCTGGACACCTGCCACTAAGCCAACACAAACCTAAAAACCAAAGGCGAACCTCTGGGAACCGACACGGAGGGGTGATCTGATCCAGCCTGAGAAAGAGTCCCGCGGAACTGTGACCAGCCGCCAACGAACCAAATGTGGCTTCCTGCAGGCTCCCAGGATTGATGAAAGTGACGTGTTCGATGCGGCTGTGGGTCAAAACCCATGGGATCCCATTTTGGAATTTTCGGTGCACCACCCATTTTAGGCTTTCGATTTTAGTGGTTGGATTGGGATGTTCACTGGGGGTACGATTTGGGTTTTGACCCATGGCCATTTGTTCGATCCCAAATCCTGTCAAGGCCGCAGAGGTTGCCTGGATTCCCTCAAATGGAGGCTGTGTCTCCATCTTGCTCCATCCAAGCCCCTTCCTTGGCTGTCAAAGGAAGCGAAGAATTCACGAGGAGTCCCAGTTGAGCTCATGGCAACGGATTGAATGACCAAACGTCGCGCAGCATGACGGTGGGCTTGCCTGGGAGGTAGTGCTGACTCCGGATTAACAAACCCCTGGCGATATGAAGGGTGTTCCCTCCCAGTGGTCTGATTCCAACCACCAAACCCAGGGAAAAGCACCCTCTTAATAAGCCTGGGTTCCGGGTTCCCACGGCATATAAAACGTTGTCAATGAAATCCACAGGGGACGCCCTGCCTCTCTCGCAGCATCCAAAGAAGAGCATCACCGTGTCATCCGCCTAAGTAACCCCGCGATGGAGCGCGGCGCGAAGCTGGGCAAAAGGAGAAGAGCTGAAGCCCCAGATTAGCCACAATCAAAACCCGGTACTAAAATGGTGAACCCAGAACCATGTAAAGCATTAAGAAGGCGGATATCCGAAGCTATTTGGGCTGGGTTTGGCCCTTGCAGATCTTCATCAATCCCCGGGTTTTGATTGTGGCTCAGATGGACGTGGGTTGGACGCATCGCCTGCCTTGGTGATAACAGAATGCCCCCAGCGAGGGTCCCAGGGTACATCCTTCCAGGGCGGTCTGGCAGGTCCAGCTCCATGCAACGACATGCCGAAGCAAAGAACGCGCGTTGTTGTGGAAGTCGAATCAAATCCAAAAACTGACAACAAGTCCTCAGTAAGGTTCTTCCATTCTGCAGTCTGATGCTTGAAGTGCCACACTTCATTTGTGCAGTTGAAGCAGTCGAAGTTTGCACCGCCATGCCTAACAGGGACAGGTTGGGAAGCAGCTCGGCCCACACAGGAAAGGCATCTGCCGAGCGCGGTTTTCCTCTGAACATGCTAAATACGTGTATGTCACTCCGCTGGAACACGCAACATGAACGCTCGCCTTCCTGCTTGCCCTCCGATCCTTGGAAAAGATCCAAGCGATGAACAGGTCAGACTGCCCGAACTGATAGCTCTTTTTCAGAACTGTGCTAAAGGTGCAACTTTTAGCAGGTTAAATGGACACCTCGACTAGACCAACTAAAATCATAAAACGCTAAGGAACCAAATGGCTGGGAACCACCCAGAGAAACCAATGGTTGCAATCCAAGCTTCAGAAGCATGCTGCCATCCGACAGCGGTGCTGCAATGCCTCGGCTTGATGCTCAAACGCAAAGAAGCTTCAGCCATTGCCAACTGGGTGTGACATTTTTCAGTGGACCCCCTTCCCCCCCCCAAAAAAAAACACTGGCATTCAGGTGTTCCCTTTCAACCTCCCCCCAACAAGGCGGTGCCAACCGAAACAAGAAAAAAAAGGAAGAAGAAACGACCCCAGCGACCATCGACTCGCCCCCGCGCGGCTGAGGCCCCCGGCTGCCTGTGTGGGGCTGCCATGGCGGCAGCCCCTCCATTTGTTGCCATCCGACGCCCGCGGGGTCGAGCCTCGGCACAGCTGAGCTGCCGGAAGTTCTATCACTTGAGATAGCTGGTCCATGTGCGGGCAACATGTTTGGTGACACAAAAAACAGCGCGGGCAACATGTTTGGTGAGACTCGACCAAAGAAGGCACCAGTTCAAGGAGTTATCACAGGCAGAATCAAAACCCGTCCCCGATCCCACGCCTTGACTCCAACCCCTTCGAAGGCAGTGACAGGGAGTCAAAAATCAAACCCGGTATTGAAATGGTCGACCCAGAACCATGCTTCAAGAATTAAGAAGCCGGAGATCCGCAGCTAGTTGTGGCAAGAGGATTGTCCCTTACTAGCATTCATCTACCCGGGTTTTGATTGTGGCTCACTTGAGGCATAAGCAAAACCACGGTTCATTGGTTCATACTGTGGATGGGTGCGAAATCCATCCAACGCACCACGAAATGAAACCAGGGTTGAGAACCATAACGTTTGTTAGTATTTGCAGGGGAATCATCCGATTCCAGGGTTTCTCAAGTGGTGCAGGATTTCGTCCATCCACAGCTTGCAGGATGGCACGCAGACAGCATTTGAGTCGTCAAAACCCATCGGTATTAAAATGGTCGCGAGTCCCAGTACCATGCTTCAAGATTTACAAAGGCGGAACTCTGCTGCTGCAAGGGGATTCTCCCCTAACCTTAGATGGTTCCCAAAATGGCACCTTGGTACATGGAACCAAAGACGAAAACCTGCGGTAACCCCTGGCTCTTTACTTTTGAGCACACCCGTCTGGGTGTTGAGCCAGCTCACTTGCGACCAAAGCACCACTGGCTCGCCAGCAGACTGGCTTGCAACGGCAGCAGGAGCTTCTTCATGGCGGGCAAGTGCAGGTACCAAACAGCTCTGATCCACAAAGAGCTACGGATCAAAGCGGCGTAAGCGAGAATCAATGCAACTGGACTGGCATCACGCGAGTCCAAGCGCAGCTTGGTCCATGACGTCAAGCCTTGGCAGAGGTGCTTGCATTTTCGTGGCAAATTCAGTGTGTCCTTGCCATCTTTGCGGGTCGGATGTTGCACACTCGGTCCCGTACCTCTTGCAGACGTTGCTCTCTACCTTGGACAGAAGCTGCCAAAACAATCTCAGCAAAAGCATTGACAAACATGTGGACTTCAGGCGTCACAACTGCTGAAAAAACACGCTTGATGCATTGAAGGCACGCTCCATGACACGACGCATGGCATCGTTTCGCTTGGTGCTCCTCAAAGCGACAACTTCAGTTGGAACGAGATGCTTTTGGTTGCAGATTGATCGCTCCTCTCTGCGGTGCGCAGCTTCTCTTCTTGTTCTTGCACTTGTTGAACCTTTCACTTAGCTGCTTGGCAAACTATCACCGGCGTAGGCTCAAAATCAACTGCAGTAAGATCTGCATTCAATGCAATTGTTGTTGCCGCTCTTGTCAGGGCTGGTGGTGGTGGTAGTGGTGGTGCTGGTGGTGGTGCTGGTGGTGGTGCTGGTGGTGGTGCTGGTGGTGGAGGTAGTGGTGATGTGGGTGGTGGTGGTGGTGGTGGTGGTGGTGGTGCTGCTGCTGCTGCCGCCGCCGCCGCCGCCGCTGCTGCTGCTGCTGTTGTCGCAGCTCTGCCTGTCTGTCTGTCTATCTGTGTGCCTGCTGGTCTGGTCTGGTCTAGCCTGGGCTTGTCTGTTTAGTTTGCGTTTGTGAGATAGTACTTAGTACTTAGCACTCAGTTGGTTGGTTGGTTGGTTGGCTGGCTGGCTGGCTGGCTGGCTGGTTTGGTTGGTTGGTTGGGTTGGTTGGTTGGTTAGTTGGTTAGTTGGTTGGGCGGGCGGACGGGCGGTTGGATACTTAATAAGCTGGTGATTCAAATAGATAGTTGGTTGTTTGTGATTCTTGTTTCTGCTGGCTGCTGTTGATTGCCGTCGTTTGTGGTTGTGTTTCGCTGTGCGCTGTCCCTTGCAGTTGACTGGTGTGTACTCTTGTGTGTCTTATCAGGTGCTGCAGTTTGCCTTGTTGATAGTTTGTGAATTGTCTTTCTGATGTGTTCCTCAATCTTATCTTATTATTTATGTTCTTTCTTTCTTGATTGCTTTCCGGCGTTCTCGCTTGCTTGTTTCTATGTGTGTTTCTGTGTTTTGTGTTTCTGTTGCTGGTGGGAGTGAATGCTTTTCCCGGCGCTGGCCCCGTCGCCGTAGTTGCTGCTGAGTTGATGCTGCTCTTGCGGCGTGGTTGCTGCTGGTGATTGGCGCTGGCAATGTGGGTGTGTCTTGCTTTGAGGCTGCCCCCATGTTTGTGGTTCTCAAAGGAATCCAAAAGGAATCCACTATTTTGGGTTGGGGGTCCCCTAGAAAAGACACACCCACGTGGCAGTAGTGGCACTGTTGGCAATCAGAGCTTGAATGGGCGTGGCTCAAATTAAACAGGTGGGGCAAACCGCAGGTTTTAGTCTTGCTTCCACCAAGGTGCCATTTTGGGGGTTCCCCTATTTGGCTGTGGGTCAAACATGGGTACCCAAAATGGAATTTCTGGTTAATGGAAACATGGACCAAAACCTGCGGTCCAATTCCTGGTGGTGACTGATTTTGAGCTATACCCGTGTCTGGCCGCATTTAAGCGAAACCAGGGCTTAAAAGATGTGGGCTGTGGGCTGTGGGCTGTGGGTCCATTTTGAGCCACACCCGAATTTTGAGTCCAGCGAGTGCATTGCTTGTCCCACCTCTGTCTCTTTGTGTCTCATCTCAATCCGCTCCTTGCAGCAAACGGCAAAAATGCATCGTGACCCACACATTCATCAACCCTAGTTTAATGGGGTGCTTCTCCCTGGGTGAAACGTGTTTGGAATCACACCACTTTGGGAGGGGCCCACACCCCCCTATTAATAAACAGGAGTTGATGTCTGTGGGGTCAACATTACTCCGATGTGGCCTGCCTTTTCCTCGGATGCTGCTCGAGAGTCACCGGGCAACCAAGAGAAACCATGTGTGACATACAGTCGGAAGGCCGCGCCACATCTGAGTCAAGCAAAACCCGGTACTCAAATGATTCACAACCAGAACCATGTAAGGAAATACCGGCCTCATTATTTTATGATCAAAGTCACCCCCTAAGTGATGGGTTAAAGGGAAACACTTCCATTTTCTGACTTTGATGACCCCTAACGGTCAAAATCATGACCCACAAAGGCGGATCTCCGCAGCTGGCTGGCAGTGTCAACCTCCGATCCCCCGGCTTTGAGAAACCAGCGGAGAGATCCGACGCCGCTCCACGAGGCGTCGAACCCATGGATTTGAAACTGCGAGAGAAGGAAATGGCTGCACAGACTATGAAGTTGTTCAAACCCAAAATCACCACCTAAATCGTACAAAACAGAGAGAACATCTTCTGGGGAGCTGTGTTTATATCAAAAAGTAAAATAAAAAATCGAGCATGCGACTTCCCGCAGCGCCTCTCGCCCGGTATCGAATCCAGTCCTCCGCCCGAAAACGACCCGGGCCGCTCCTTCCAGTGCACCTGGGCCGCGCCAGCCTCTGGCAAGGGCCGAGGCGTCCTGCGCTGCGCGAGGCGCGAGGCGCGAGGCGCGGGCCGTGGGAAGTTCACCCGGAAAAAAAAAAGTACGGCTGATGTGGCCAGGGGTTGCATAACCTATGGCTCCATTTCAGTCACTTGCTCAAAACCCGGTAGCAAAAGGGTTTACCTAGAACCATGCTTCAAGAACTTAGAAGGCGGATATCCGCAGCTATTTATGGCTGGGGTCGTCCCTTACTAACCTTCATCTACCCAGGTTTTGATTGTGACTCACCTGATGTGGCCATGGGGCATAACCTATTGCTCCATTTTGGGGTTGAACATTCGTTTGCCACCTATTTTGACGTTCACCAGGGGTAAAAAGAAATTTTGACCCACAGCCATGTGGCAGAGAGCTGTTTGAGCCAGAGAGAGATGATGAATAGCTGGTTCTTGCTGGTTCTCAGGGAATGAGAAATGGAATGACCCCCAGAAACCATCCAAAACCTTGTGGCTCCTTCGAGGGGTCACCTGGGAGGGTCATTCCCTACCTGTCGCACCAGCAAGGTCGTTGGACCCAGAGATGATTGGTAGCTGTTCTTGGTTGCTGCAACGACCCCCCTGCAAAACGTGAATAACTTTTTGGGGGTTTAGTGGAAATCCCCTTCATTTCAACCAAAAGTTGAAGTCGGCAGGCGTAGCATATTAGACGGTTTAAGGTTTAGGTTTAGGGTTTTGGTCTTGGTTTAGTCTTGGTTTAGGGTTGGTTTAGGGTTGTTGACCGTCTAGTACATCACGCCCGGCTTCAAGTCGAAAGATCCAACTCAATAGCCGTCAAGTTCAAGCCAATTTGCCGAAGCTCCTGTCGCTCTTCCCGCCAGAGCCTTCGCGCCTTGCACTTCCAAATCGGATAGATCCAGGGAACAAACCCGGCACGGTGGCAGGGTTCCACCGTTTGAACCCAAGAAAAAACAAAGAGGAAAAAACAAAAAACGACTTGTCCTCCTTTTGGTGGAATGAAATTGCTCAAGTCCCCAGGAAAAGATGAGAACATATGTCCAGTAGTAATAAATCGATTCCCTGTAAAATCAACAGGGGGCAGAAAAAAGAAGAAAAAAAACACATTTCGTTTCACATGGAACCCTCTGCTGAGATCTGGGCTTGCGCAATCTGTCTCGCAGCCGCTCCGTGGCGGCGACCGACCTCGAAGATTGGTCACTAGGGCTTGAGACCAAGAGTCCAATAAACGGCCCCCAGGTTCGACCGGCTAAACTGGTAAACGTTTTGCCCATGTGGTTGATTGTTAAACAATTTTTTCCCCCATGTGGCTAATTGTAAAAAACAAGTGGTTAAAAAAAAAAATGGTGGTGTTCCAAGCAATGGAGCTGAGGCAGCATTCTGCTGAGAACCCGGCGGCAGCGTGGCTTGACCGTAACCTACGTGGGGTATATCTTAAAATAGGGAACCCCAATAAAATGGGTGGTGTCCCTTTTGCTTCCCTCTCAAAACCAACCAAAAGAGGGTCCCCCAAAAAGACGACAAACCCCCGTCAAACTCGACTACCGCATTGGGACACCCGTCTCAGAGAGTATCGGTTCCGCCCGAAAAGATCCGGCCTCCAAAAGGATCCAATGCCTTCCTTGGCGATGGAGGCGCCTGAAACGGATGAGTGTCCTCACAACCCTTGGTATGGGCTGGCAAAAACTGACTGTTTCTTGCAGCCCCCGAACCTAAAAATGAGCAGAACCAAAGAACTAAAAACCGAAAAAAGAAAAAAGAAAAAAAGAAAAAAAGGAAGAAAAGAAGAGAACAAAGGAAAACGAGAGAGGAAAAAAAACAACATGCGCTGAAATGGGTGTGGCTCAAAATGAAACTGCTGGAGCAAACCGCAGGTTTTAGTCTACCTTTCTATTTGCTAGGGTTGGAGCCCTATTTTTGAGCCACCCCCCCGAATGTGCGTCCTTCTTTTTTGGGGAGGGGGAGAACCCCTTTTTGGTTGGTTGTGAAGGGAAACCGTCGCCTAAAAAAGACACCCTCAAATGGATGACACTGGATGGCAGTGGAAACTGCAAGCGCCCGGCCGCAAGTTCTGCTTCCTGCCGAAGCTGACGTCTTTCTAGAGGAGTTGGCATGTGTTCGCCTTACGAAAGGCTCGGATTGCGGTGTCTCCGATTCATCAATCTCGCCCCCCCGTCTCTCCCTTCTTTCCGCCTGCAAGTCCTGCAAACTCGGATGGCCCATCTGGCTTTGGCGTTGAATCGGTGGTGGAATCCTGACTACCATCGCAAGCTTTCAACCAAGCATTTTGTGTGCAACCTAAGCACCGTCAATCCAACTGCATGACATTCATGTGAGTCACAATCAAACCCGGTACTAAAATGGTCTACCCAGAACCATGTAAGGAACTAAGAAGGCGGCCGCAGCTATTTATGGTTGGGATTGCCCATTACCAACCTTCATCTACCCGGGTTTTGATTGTGGCTCATATTAGCAGTAAAGATGGGGGAATGTATGCCACTTCCGGCCCCTTCTACAATGACAGTGGCTCACATCGACAAGGATGCGTAGGCCTGCATCTCTGGCACCTCTCTGTCTTGTGATTGCGATGGCGCTGGCAATGCGACAGGGAGTGCCTGCCGTAGCGAACCAACTGCTCACCTTTCACATCAGCATCTTTCCACATGCGAGGAATGTCCGACACAAGTCCTCTGACAGAGCAACGCAGCAACGCCTCAAATCTTTGCCAAGGGGAAGCAGAGCGCCGCCGATCAATGTCCTGTGACTTTGACTTTGAGAGTGGCCCTACCCGCTTGCCTGACTTGTTCTCTCCCCTCTCTTTGTGAACGGCAGAACACAAGCAACCCATATTGCAGAACTGTTCAATGCTCCCAACAGCCACGGGCCAAGTCTTAGCTGGCTTGCCTCCGACTGGAAGGAGTGCTGGGAGGAGGACATCTGCGAGCCCTGGCCTGACGTCAAGACTTAAGATCGGGTACAGGAGATGCATCACAGGACGGCAAGGAGGCACAGCTTTTTGTCCACGTTACTTGCGTCAGTCTATGACTCATCGTGTGTCAGCACTTTGGCATGGCTGGTTGAGAGCACGAGTGCAAAGGTGAGCCAAGACGAGTTTCCAGGCAAGCGGCATGGCCAAGCAACCAACCTTCTTGCATCCATGCAGCTTCGGTCATAATTAGAGCTACTGGCATGACTTGCACTGGCATCCGGCATTGTACATCACTCCTGGCAGATCCAACAAAGGCATGTCCGACATTCTTGGCATTTTAGGCTATCAGCTTTGATGGTCAATCTGCAGGTGGCCTACGGATGGCTTTCGGTAAATGAATACCCGACACTTTTGCCACTGGAAGCCGGGAACCACCCAAAACCGATGCCCATAAACCTGCAAAACCGAAAAGAGGCCCACCCAAAACCGATATCCAGGATACAATATCCACTCAAATCGCTTCGCCTATGCTTTCTGTTCTCTCGCCAAAAAGCGACCAGTTGCTCCTGGGCATCTGCCTCTGCGGTGCGTAGAGTACGAAACTGACCGGGGAACCTGGCGGCGATAGCTCCGAAGCCGGGAGCTACAGCCGTGGTTGGGGACCCCAGTGTGCCATGAATGCAACCAAAGAGACTGTCATATCATACTGTCGATGGACAAAATCCTGCACCTGTTGGAAACCATGGGAAACCACTGTTTGTTGGTATTTATAGGGGAATCATACCTCCAGGGCTTCTTAGGTGGTGCAGGATTCCGTCCATCCACAGTATGGCTGTGGTTGTCAAAAAATATGTACCCAATATGGAATCCTGGTAAATGGAAAAATCCTGCGGTCCAATTCCCGGTGGTTTGATTTTGACCCCATATGTCCCAAGCATGGAGACCAGCTGCCATGGCACGCATGGCCCTATGCAACGCATCATCTGGCCCGAAGAAAAAATTGAACGCACTGCCCTGCAATCTATCTGGCCATCGCTCTGCATCTCTTTGCAGCTGAAGCGCGCCAATCAAGTCCTCTTCCTCCACGCAAATCCCGTTCCCGGAGGACTCCTGCGCATCCCAGATGTCCGGCAAGCAAAGCAAAGCAAGCTAGCAAGCCTCACCAGATTTTCCTGCAATTGCAAAAACATCCATGAAAGCCTCACCATTTGTTTGTTTATTTCTCGCTTCAACGGCGGACACAAAACATCGAGCGAGTCGCGAGTCCTGGTAGAGTTCACTTCCCTCCTCTGGGCAGACAGGCACTTGGACGGTTTCTCCAGGGCAGGGCCCCTGCCTGCAAAACCTCGCGCGCTCAGTTCTGACAGCTCACGGGAGCCCTTTGGACGTGGTTCAAAAACTGGTACCCCAACATGGCGCCTTGGGAAATGGAACCAAAGACGAGAAAACCTGCGGTTTGCCCTAGCTCTTTAATTGTTTGAGCCACACCCGTTTGGAAGTGATCGTCTTTATTCTGCCAAGGGGCGCTTTGTACGTCGCCGGGCCAAGCCCGTTGCTGTGGCAAGCAAATCGGCGACTGGTATATGTCACAACCTAGCAGCAAACCGTTTGCTCCCCTCGGCTCCCCCAAATCGCTGCTGCACGGCACAAACTGAGCTGCAAGCGGAGGTGTTCCCTTTGAGTTCAGTTCCACTAGCAACCTGATCAAGGGCAAACCAAACTGTGCTGTCCTCAGATCCCCCGGAATAAGTCTCACTTTTAGTGGGTTAAATGGAAAACCCAACCACTAAACCAACTAAAAGTTGCTCAACAAACTAAGGACAAACGAAAAAATGTCCCCAGCCCACGCATGAAGTTCGCCGAGCGCCTGCATGTTGTAGGTCCTGTCAGAAGGGCTGCAGCGAAACTTTGTCGTTGCCTGAAAGCTGCAGGCCACGGCAAAAAGGCCACGCTGGCGAAAAATGCCCCACAAACCCCTGGAGCCGTGCGAAAGAGAAATGGGTGTGGCTCAAAAACATAACATTGAAGAGCTAGGGCAAAACACAGGTGTTCTCGTCTTTGGCTCCATTTACCAAGGTGCAATCATGTTGGTTACATGTTTTTGAGCCACAGCCAAATGTGTCTCATGGTCTCATGAGCCTGTTGCTCATTTGGCAGCCGCTCCCACAATTGACCTCTGTGATCGGTGAGGATAGTCTCACCTAGGCGCACACGCACGAATGCTCCAGAAGGCTCCACATCCTTGAGCCTTGTCCTGAAGTCAAGTCGTAAAGTCCTGAAGTCAAGTCCTCAAGTCCTGAAGTCAAGTCCTCAAGTCCTCAAGTCGCAGCTCCTGAAATGATTAAGGCCCAAAGGCCCCAAGCCAAAAATTGGATTTAAGTCCAAGTAGCCCTCCGCCTTGAAGCATTGAGTTTCAAGGCGGTGCTGGGCAGTGCAGCAGCACAATGGCGGTCCGACGTTCTCAGAAAAGCCCATGTCATCGCCTGGGTACTTGCCAGTCGCTATCAAGGAATGGACCACCCTTTTGAGCAAATACAGGCGTTGACATCACTGACCGCAATGTTCCAACTGGCAATTTGCATGAATTCAAGCTTCCTGACCCAACCCGTGCTACCACTGACTGCCTCTCGTAAACGAATCTGCCAAGAAACGTATGGCCACAGCTGCCTGTATAGCTGCCCACCATGGCCACAACATTATGAAAGTGGGCAAAATTCCCACGGTGATTTGGGCAAACCAACTTAAAATGGCTGCAACGACCCAAACCAAAAGATATCTCGAGTCAAACGCCAAAACTCGCAATCGACCGCTTCAAACAGCGGAGACAAGCTGAGAAAAGATACTGCCTAGAGGAGCTTTGCCGTCAGGCTCTCGAGTTTGGCCTCGCTTCGAAACTTAGAAACCGGTTTTTTGTTGGGCGGGGTCCCCTAAAAAGACAAAACCGCACACAATCACTTGAACGAGGTTCTCCAGTTAGTCAAGTGCAAATCCGAAAGCCGAAAGCCCGCGACGAGCTTGCTCTGCTGGCCGCCGCTGCAAGCGCCTCTCCTCAACCTCTTGCCTGAGCAAAGCGCATCTGTTGTCCTTTGCTAGGCCGACTCGTTGCTAAGTCCTGCACTGCTGCTGTGCTCGTTGCTTCAGCGCCTGTAGTGGGTTCAGCCTGAGCAACGAGCCCAGGATAACCAATGGCAATGGCATGCGCACTGGGAGCACTGGGACTGGGAGCCATGCGGGACTGCGCGGCTTTGCGTCGGTCGAGGGTTTGACTTCCGCAGAACCGCAGGTTGCAGCGGCTGGGAGGCAGTATCTGCAGAGACCTTTCGTGTCAGAGGTGAGCTTGTTGGCGCTTCGGATTCAGATCGAACACCACTGGTTCGGTCCCTTTGTGCCAAGGGCAGACCATGAAAACCGCAGTGCGTAGATGTTTTGGTCGGATCGTGTTCGGTTGCTCCAGATTGACGCGCAGCTTTGTCCACAGACCGAGCAGTCTGTCGCCAAAAGCCCTGCAGGACTTTGGCTGCCTCGGTGGCAACAGTCCAGAAGGCACCCACCAAGGTGCGCTTTGGATCGCGGCTCCAGCTCGGAAGCCCAGCTGCCATGAAGATCAAGCCAGCCACGAATTCTTCCCCGCCACATCTGGCCAGCCGTCGCTTTGATTTCCAAAGAACTGGATTCTTCGAAGCTAAGGAAGCGATGGAAGCACACATTGACCCTGCTGTTGCACAGGGCACAGTTCTCCGGCGAACACTCTCTGCCTGAAGTCCAGGCAGGGCTCGCTCGCGTTCTGCGCCCTCTCTGCAGACATGACGCTGTCCTTTCTGTGGCTCTTCACCACAATTGGGGCACACAATTCGCATCATGGCACTGAAGTGAGGCGCGATGAGGCTGATGTTTCAATGATGTGGGCTGAGTGCCGGAAGTTGCTTCTTAAAATGTAATTCAAAGCAAGGAAGGAGCCTCGCCTGTTCCTCCAGTAGTCCTACTAAAATGTGTATTGGTGGAACAGCAAGGAAGTGCAAGCTTTTGGGGGACTTGAAGCAACAAGCAGTACCTATGTTGCACATCCACTTCTCTAAGTAAGTCGTGGCGACCTTATGTCATGTCCTGAGCCTTGAAGAACAGCCTCTTGCATTCGTTGCATGCTCAAGGCTATGTTGAGCCTTCGCTATGCAGGGCAGGCAACCCAAAAAACCAAGCTCAGATTGCTTGTCTCAAGCTTGGCCCAGGCACGCACCAAGCGCGGCGCTCCTTTTCACGCTGCTCCAGCTTTTGGGTTTCGGCCATTCCGGCGGCCTTCAGCGTGCCGAGCACCATTGACGGCCTCGCACGTGATTGCAGGGCCTTTTTTTGCCATGACATGCCATGACGGCGACTGGATTTTGGCACTAAATTGAGCTAGATGGCGCCAGTCGCCTGGTGTCAAGCCTACAAGCGCCAAAACACATGTTGCTCACACGTTGTTACGAGAGCGACCCAACTACTTATTACTTCTTGCGCAGCTCTGCTGCCAATGCCCCAGGAAGCGCGTTTGGGCGACGCCACGCTGAGGCTCCGCCTCCACGCGAGTGGATAGTTCTTTGCTTCAGACGCACATTGACATCTGACCCTTGCGGTGTTAAATCCTTGCGGCGCAGCTGCTTAGGGGAGCCTTCAGGCTTAGCCGCTCACGGGCAACTTTCTGGATGCTGTGACATCGCCATGCGCCTTACGCGCCTTGCGAGCTCTTTTCGTCGACAATTGACTTCAAAGCTGCGAATAGCGGCCAGAGTTGGGCCCGTCGCCGGAATGCCTGTTCCTGACTCCACATAGGGTCCAAGTGTTCCCTTGAACAACAATCTCCAGTCCAGCGAGGGGCTCTATCCAAAAGTCCACATCATGAGTGCTCAGTCCCGTTTTCTTCATGAGCATCCCTAACACGAGGAATCGTGTTGAAAGCACGTAGACGCCGGCCTTCTTGTGCATGCGGTCCATCAAGCTGGCGGATTTTGACATCATCCCCGGACTCAACTGGTGGACAAGAGCCAGGGCGGCCAAAGAGCAAGGGGGAAATCTCAAGTGAACATCAAATGAGAGTCTCGCGATCTTTGCGCATGGCCGGGATGATCCAAAGGTCTTGTAGCAGGCATCACAAGCACGAACTCTGTGGGGCCACGGCAGCTGCGCGACCCCACCTGCATAAAGGCCAGGGTGTCGTAACCCGCCGCCGCAGTCAATGCACTGCAGGTTTGCGGCTCAGCCGAGAATGCGGGCGCAAGGCAGCTCAAAAGGACATAGCTCACGGACAAAGCTATGGCCGAGGGGTCAGCCAGCCAATCGGTTTTGCCCTTCCCCCTATCCCCTCCCCTCCCCCGCAGCGTGAGTTAAGCTCGATACCAGGCGGCTAGCCGCAACCGTTACATTACCAACCAGATTGCCGATTGTAGGCTGCGAGTTGTGAAGCAATGGCCTCGACCCACTGTTCAGCTCGTCGTTCCGACACACAACGAAAGCGCTCCGTCTTGTCCGGCCAGGCTACCTGGACAACTGAGCCCAGTCTCTGCTTCTGAAAGCGATGAGATGAAGAAAGATACATATAGGTGTGTCTATTTATAGGAGACCCCCCGCCCAAATTGCTGGTTTTCCTTGTGGTTTCCCCTTAAAACCACTAACAAAGGGGGTGCCCTCAAAACAACGCATACCCATACCTCGTGGCGTCAAAATGCCCCCCACGGCGCTCCTCAAAGGATCGGGCGCATCTGCTGGTTAGGCAGGCAGGACCATTCAGAGAGATCAAGGAACTCCTCAGCATGCAATCGCACAATGGAATCCGATGTGGCCATGGGTCAAAACACCGTACCCCCAGTGAATATCCCAATCACCACTAAAATAGCCTAAAATGGGTGGTGCACCTATCCCAAAATGGCAGTATTGGTTTTGACCCACAGCCATGTGAGTCATACCCTCCCAATTAACATGGAACCTGACGTTCGAGGGCTCCTGGTTTGGACCATTTTCCTCTTAAAGGGACGGGGTCCCGAACGTAAGGTTCCGGCTGTTCATTGGTGGGAGGAGTATCAACACCGATCGGTATTTAAATGGTCGATCCCCAAAACCATGCTTGAAGAATGAAAAAAGGCGGAATTCCGCACCCAATGTATGGCTGGGATTGTCTCTATTACTATCCTCAATCTACCCGGGTTTTGATTGTGGCTCATGTGATTCGCATGTTTGAGCATCTGGGCCCCAAGCTCGCTTAGAGTGCTGGGCGAGCTTTTATTGCTCTTTACTCTGAACCTGAGTCGATCGCATGCCAAGCCGCGGAATCTATGCCCTGAATCCCAAGGTTTCTACAGGCTTAGCACTCGAACTCTTGTCCCAAGGTCGACGCTGCCCGTCGCGGATGTCGACGAAGACCTAAGATTCAATCGACTGGAGAGACTTTGTTGCTTAGCCTTGCTTGAAACAGAGGTTGTGGGCTGTTCCGCCTCTAAAATGATCAAACTCTGATGGGTGATGGCTTGAAGATTGAATCTGGTTCGCAGGCAAGGACGCCTTCTCGTAGCTGCCATCGACTGGACGCTCGAGGTACCCCTCCATGCCATAATCCTAGGGGCAAAGAATGCTGATGAATACTGTTGCCTGTTGCCATGCGAACTGCGCAGATCTTTCAATCCAAAATCCCTTGCCTGTCCTCAGATCCCCTGCTAGAAGTCTAACTTCTAGGTTAAATGGAAACTACCACTAAACCCCCAAAAACTAAAGGCCAAAAGAAATGGCTGGGTACCACCAAGATCCATGGAGCACAAGTCGACAGAATCCATCCTCGTCGTCAGTGATCATCACGCTTCGCGGAGTTTCAGTCACCGGCCTGCCGATGAACACATGAGAGTCGAGTCATAGTCAAAACCCGGTAGTAAAATGGTCGACCCATAACCATGTAAAGGATTAAGAAGGCGGATATCCGCAGCTATTTGTGGCAAGGGGATTGTCCCTTACCAACCTTCATCTACCCGAGGGGTTTTGAGCAAGTGGCTCACATGAGCCAATTCAGGTGACACACGTTGAAGCGTGGCATGCGCCCAAACGGCGGGCCTTGTCTGACTTGGCATGGCTGGCACCTTGCGGTCGCAAACGGGTTTCTTTTTTGGACGGTGCTTGTTTCTTTGGGGAGGGTGAAAAGAGAAGACAAACGGCAAACCACCATTCTGGGGGGGTCCCCTAAAAAAGACACGAAGAGCGCTTCAAGATTCATGGCAACGCGAGAGTTTCTCCAGCCTTGTCAGGCAGGCTGTAGCGCTCCAACCTAGGAATGTAAACAAGGCCGTGTCTTGAGACTGGAGGCATCGCGACATGAACACACAGGGAACATCCCCCTTGAGAGGGAGAAAAGTGAAAAGCCCGCGCGAAAGCGCCCAAGAAAACGTTTTTGCACGATCCTTCGCCCAGGCAAATAGGCGAGCTTAAGATCCTACCCCGGGATGGCGCGCGATGGCGTGCTTTCTTCCTCATGGGCCATCCAGAGCACGTGGACTTCGCTGATAGCTGACTTGGCTGTTCTTTGCGCAGGCCAAAAACCGTTCCAGTTCGGCTCCTGCGAAGGCAGCTGCAATTGCAGCAAGGCTGCGGTGCGCATGCCAGTTGACTTGGTGCTCAAGGGTTGCCTCTATGTGTTGCTGAACAGAGCTACTCAGTGCAGTCGCTTGGCAAGCCTTTCTGCAGGCTCGCTTAGTATGAGAGAGGAAAGCGAAGCTCTCTCATCATCAAGGCAAAGCCCGCTGCAATACGGCGATGCCTTTGCTAGTGGGAACCCAGTTGTATGGCTATGGGTCAAAACTAAAATGAGTGGTGCACGTACCATCGGTGTGACCCACCTGGTGGAAGTGAAGGATTGATTCCTCTTGTGGGACACCCTCTGCCTGGTCTTTAAGCTTGGTCGCCCCTGCGTCCACAAGAACTGGGAAACAACATGCCCTGGCACAGAAAGGCAGTTTCAGAAGACCACATGGGCAGCAGACGCGCAAAAAGACACCTACGCAAATGTACAAAGGCATGTCTTCCAAGAGCAGGGACAACCAAATTGGAGGGCATCACCATGAAGAAGGAACAAACGTTCTAGCATAAGCTCAAAACTTGGAACAAGACAAACGCAGGCAAGCACGCCACCCATGCGTGCAGACATTCACCAATCAACAAAAGTCCGGCAGCGGGTGGGAAACTAGCATTGCCTCATGTTGCAAAAAGGTCTGGAGAAAATCATGTCCAGAGCAGCAAGCCACAGTGGAGGGTTGCAAGGCACTTGAACGCCCCACATCAGGTCTCCTCAAATCGTCTATGAGAGCTGTTCGCTTTTGCGACCAGCTGACAGATCCCAGGTGTTGAGTGCGACATAGGTTCAGTTCCTACACGTTGTACACAGGTCACAAGCAATAACAAAATGCACACGTCAGACTCATTGCTGAGGTTCAGCCGTTTGCCATCGCTCAAGCATACACCTGAATGCATCCAACCACTTCTCAACAAGGCCCGTTCAAGCCGAAGCTACGGCCGCAACAAGGAGTTGGAAATTTGAGGGGATGTTCCAACCATTCAAATCTGTTTAAGAGCGTCCATGGTTTTAAAACTGATTTGGCTGTGGCCTTTGTTCATGGAGCTTGCGTTGATGCCGGTGACATATGAGTATGGGTCAAAACGAGACCGCCAGGAATTGAACCGCAGGGGTTGTAGTCAACTTGCTTCCATTTTTGGCACATCGGCAGACTGCACCAAAATAAGCAAAATATGCGGGTTCATCAAAAGGTCCTTTGCCTGAAATGACCATTAGGCAAACCACCAAATGGTCACCTCATCAAAGATAATTTTCACCGCTCGATGGAGAATTGCCCGTGGTTGAAACTGGGGGCCTTAAACGGAATATTGGTCTCAACCTTCATACGCTTTTGATCTCTAAGATCGCTGAGGAGCAAGGACCGCCGATGGTCATGGACCTTTCGCTCCATCTCCATCTGCTGAGTAAAAGCCTGCACCTCACGCTCTGGAGCCGAGGAGCGAGCGAACAAGAAATCATGGGCGCGTCTCTCGCAAAAAAAAAAACGGGGGGGGGTCTGTTTTAAGGTTGGACCCACCAGAAGGGATTTGTTGGATCTCCTTTTTGGCTTCCCCGTTAAAACCAACCCAAAAAAGGGAATACCTTCCAAAACAGACAGACCCACGCAGCCACGGTTTGCCTCTTCCTTCAGAGGAGAGCGTGCAGGACCGTCACTTTGGATGTCCATGGGCTTGTCCTTGGGCCCTAGGCGTTGGACATCAGCACAAACCAAACTTGCAACCGGCGCCTGTTCAGCAAGTCCGGGATTCAAGCATGCACGCACACTCATAAGTAAAAGCGTACACACGCAAACACACGCACAAAAAAAACACTCAAACACATTGCCTTCAACTATATCAAGAGAAAGCAGCAAACACTCCATCAAGAGAAGTGAATCAGCAAAACATCGTCTACTACCATTTCTCCGCAGAGAAAGCAAATTGCACGATGCGCCCTCGCATTTCAAAGGTGAAGCAGAACGTCGTCTATTCAAAACAGAAAGTTGCATGCATGCAAGCTGGATTGGCCTTGCCAAGCTGCATGTAACTGCACTTTGAGAGCGAGCTTCTGCCAGCTCCTTACAGATGTGGTGTCTTTTTTTGAGTTGGTTTTCCTTTTTTGGCGGTTTTATTGGGAAACCGAGAGGAACCCCGTTTTGTCATTTTGGAGGGTCCAACCATAAAGACTCGTGTGAGTCAAAATGAAAACCGATCGGTACTAAAATCGCCGACCCAGAACCATGTAAAGAATTATTCCAAGGCGGATATCTGCACCCGTTTTGTGGTTGGGATGATTCCCTACCTACCATGTCCCTAAGAACTCCTTTAGCTGCCTAGGCAAATGTTGGATACCCCTAGCTCCCTAACGGCTCCCTTCCAACCACTAGTAGCTTTCTGGATGTTGGCAGGCCATTTTCTTTCAAAGTGGACCCCCTGGTGTGTCTTACTAACCTTCATCTACCCGTGGCTCATGTGGGTTTGTCTATTTTTGGGGAGCTCTCCGAAATGTTTCTTTTTGTTGTTTTTCGTTGTCCTTTTTGCTGAACCCCCGCAAAGGCACCTTCCCCACAAAAAAAGAGGGACACGCCACCGCCAAGAAGCTGGCAACTTCTCAAAAAAAGAAAGAAAGCCAACTTTTTTGTTTTCCTTTGGCTTTCCCTGCAAAACCGCCAAAAAGCTGGCACCTTCTCACAAAGAAAGACAGAAAACGTGACACCGACACGCCCATGAACAAAAAGAAGGACATGGCCTTCCCCGATGGCCTCGATGCCAAGGCTCCGCCTCAAGCCTTGCCACAGCATCCCGGCACCGGCGCTCCACCAAAGCACAGCGTGTTTCGGCCAGCTCCCGACTGCGCGCCTCCTGCGTGCTGCCCTCTCCGGTTTTTTCTTAGCCCAGTTTGGGCGCCCGCAAAATACATGTGGGTCGACCCCCAGCCGGGTTTTTGGCCCAGTTTGGGCGCCCGAAAATCGGTCTGTCAAAATCGATGGGAAAAAATGGTTGAGACATGTGGGTATGACGGTATGAGGCTTAAAATCAAACCATCAGGAACTGGACCTGAGGTTTTGGTCTTTGATTCCATCCAGGGCAAGCCATTTGGAAGTTACCACTCTTTTTCTTGCGGGTGCTCATGTGGGGTTCATTCCCAGGCTTTGCTCCCCAAGGAAACGGGTTGGAGGGGTCTTTCTCAGGGTTCCTGTTCTCAAACCCCCCGCATCTCTCGCAGCGAGCTTTGACGACACATGTCCTGAGCTCTGGCCTTCTCTGCGCCACGCACCTTGGCAATCAAAGCTGCCCTGCCCATCTCGTCGTCGATCTCCGACCTAATTGGGTGTGGTTGGCAGTAACATAGCCCCAAAATGGCGAAACGCCCCGGCAAATGGACAAATGGAAACAAGGCAATTGGGTGTGGTTGTCAAACATGAGGGTAGCCCCAAAATGGCTAAAAGCCCCGGCAAATGGAAAGAAGTCGACTAAATCCTGCGGTCCAATTCCTAGTGGTTTAACTTTGCCAATGCCCAATTCAGTGGCCTCGCCAACAAGGCTTCATCACCCCATGTCCATCTGCCAAAAGGCAGATCATGATCCTTTGCAATCCAAGAGGGGCACTCTTGCGAGGGGCACTCACGAAAAAGGCACGTAGTGCCGTAGTGTTGCTCAAATTCAAGCTGGTGAACGTTATTGTGTATCCTCCTTTTTTACTATCTTGTAGTTTGACTCGCCAAGACTACTCGTGTGATGCTTCATCCTTCCTAAATTTTGTCGTGATCTGTTGCTGGCCGCCATCATGCGTAAGACCCTTCTCACTTGAAGCGTGCTAAAACAACTACTATCCTTCACTTTGGGCTGGCGCGACTACTTGCAAAAGCATCTGCTTCTCAACATTCTGTCTCGAGGCAAGCTTGGCTGTTCATCGAATGGACAGCAGTCATCAAAGCACCTTTCTCACACAAATCATTCGTCAGTATTATGTTTGCCCCACCATCTAGGAACGGTTTCCTGGTCACGTTGAACATGTTGAACCTCTGAAACAATTCGCGTTGCGTGGTCCTTCTTATTGCTTGAAAGTATATTGGGGCGACTCGCCAATGTTGGGGCCATGCGTGATGGCTTACTACTGCAAGTCAATGCTTTCCAAAATCGGAGCTCCGCATTGCCCAATCATATGAGCTTCGTCGAGAATAAGCATAATGTTTGAAATGGGTGCGAATCTAGATGTACGCGCTGACAAGCTAATTGTGGCGTCTCGTGGAAATCAAATGGCTTGCTTCTGTGCTTGGAATGCAGTAGCAAGCTTGATCATTCTGCATCCATCCAAGCCAAAATAAAGCCTGTAGAATAGGGTGAATCATTCTGCCTCTCTGCAATTCTGCCAGCTTTTGCAACTGCACCAAATGATCATTCAAGCATGCCTTCCGGATTCCGGATTCCTTTTTCAAGCCCTCCTTGAGGCACCGACTCCTCGAACGGGGCCGCTCCGTTCTCCTGAAGCATCGCTTCCAGCCGTCTTTGCAGCTGCTTGGATCCCATCTCCTCCTGGCTTTGCGCCCACCGCGGCTTGGAGCTTCCGAGCTTCCAGGGCCCGAAAATGGGGAGCCTCCAACTTCGCGCTGAGGGGCCGCTTTTGAATCTCTCCTGGGGTTCTAAACAGGGATCCGGATGCATGAAAAACACATTGCGACTTGTAAATGCTGGTTTCCCAAATGTTATTTTGCATACACCTGAACATTGCAACTTGTAAATGCGGGTTTCCCAAGATTCATTTTGGTGTTGAAAAAGCCACATGTTTCAAATGGTTGCAAAATGGAGATCTTTTAAGGAGCCCTGCTAAAATAGGGGGGAATCCCCAGAGATTTCCAGACAAACAGGGGCATTTGAGTCACTTGCTCAAAACCGATCGGTATTAAAATGGTAGGTCCCAGAACCATGCTTCAAGAAGAATTCCAAGGCGGAAATCCGCGCACCCATTTATGGCAAGGGGACTATCCCCTTCCCTCCAATTACCCGAATCGGTTACCCGAGCCAGCTCAACTGGCACGCGCGAAAACTTCTCCTCGCAGAGCCGTTTCTGCAGCGACACCTGGGAGGAACTGCGCGGTGCGGTTTGCACTGGGCTGTTGCATCCCCTGCCGGAAGCTTCACTTTCAGTGGGTCAATGGAAACCCGACCACTAAGCCAACTAAGATCCAAGCGGAACCGGATGGCGAGTTCCACCGGAAAAATAAGCTCAGGTGATATCCCCAGCACGCGGTCTCGCAGAACCTCGTGGAACCCTGCTGGAACCCGGTGGAACCTTGGTGGAACCCTCGTGGAACCTTTTGGAACCTTACCTCCAGGCCGCCCCGGACCACCCCGAAGCCTATCTGGGCTGAGACCCCAAAGCTTTCAGCTGTTGGGGAAAAAAGGGGAGCTCCTCCGAGCGAAAATGAAGAGTCTCCTGCCGAGGTGCCCTGTCCTGCTGCGCTTCTCGCGCTTGCAAAGCCTCCCGCTGCAGCTCCTCCAGGCGCTGGCTGAGCTGCGCGGTGATCTTTCCAGCCGCCGCCGCCGCGTCAGGTCCTTCCTGACTTGCGGCGAACCCCCTAGGGGGGAGAGGGTAGGGGGTCCCCCGATTCCATTCATCTAGTTGTCCCCATGAAAGGGAAAACGGAACTATAAATGGAATTCCAGGCTTTAGCAAGCCCTGCAAAATCCGACTTGCTCTGCTGAGTCAACAGCTGGGCATCCATGTTCTTGCCTTTACGGCTCAGGTGATAACAGCAACATGGGGGCAGCAAGCTCTTTGGAGTGCCCGAAATTACAACGATGCCAGTGCGCAGTGGATGTCTAAGATGACGGTGGATAGTTAGCAAATTACTTATGCACCGATGGTATTGGTGCTGACAGCGTTGACGACAGCTGCAAAGCCGGAAATATATGCGGTCTACTTCTCAACTCAGAAGGGAACCTGCGCAATTTTGTGGACTGCCCTCGACAGTTTTCAGTGGAACACAAGCTGTGGGCAAAGATCGAGCGGGATCAGTTTCTGAGTTGGCAACGAGTCAGACCTACGAGTAGCATATGGTTGCCCACCAAGTCGGCCGCGGCAAAGACTTAGCTAATTACTGGATTCGACCGTGTCTCCAGGAACCAAGAGTGGCCGTTGTAAAGGGCTCAGATATGCTGAAGTCGGCATGGTGTCTGCATACAGGACAAATGCGCTAGTCTGAACAAGTGGTTCTCAGCAACGAACAAGGTGGCCACAATGTTTTTACGGGCGGTTCTCGATGGTGTCTGGCAGGGGTCAGGCAGAGAATGATTTGAGGCCTCCACCAACTGCAGAAACTGAATGGGAATGTTCAAGCATTGCCCTTTCCCTGGGCCTTGGAGCAGAGCTTTTCTCGCAAAGGCCAAAGCTTCCTACCCAAGCTGCTAACTCCTTGCCCGGGTAGTTGGAAGCCAGATTGTCCAAGTGATGTGCCATAAGGCTCAGCAAATCCTGCAAAAGGAGAGGTTGCGAGTGTGCTTGCACATTGGCTCAGGGCGCGGGAGGTGGGGGGTTGTTGCTGACATCGCATGCGCAATCCTCCAGCTGTTTGTTCTCCGCAAGCAGGCTGTCTACCATCCCCGTGTAATCTTTCTCCTCAGCAATTGACACTGCTGTACGACGGCGCTTGACGTCACACGCTGGCTGCATGACATTGAGCTGGCATCCAAGACTCGACGTCTTCCAGCAGTCTACGAACCCATGAAACCTCCAAGGCCATGTCGTTCTCCATCACGACGTGACGTGTCGTTCTCCGTGTGACAAAAACCTCTCTCCCCAAATACGCTACATATGTGCGAGCCAAGCAAGACACGGCCATGCATTGGGCTTCAACAAAAATAAATAAATAAATAAATAAATAAATAAATAAAAGTATGCGCTGTGTGAGCAAAACGAGACATGGCCATGTCCCTTTACTTCATTTCTCATGGCGAGTGACTGTGAGCCAAAGCCTTCCATGGCAAATGGATGAGAAAAAAAATAGGGGGGGGGGGGAAAAAAAACGCATGTCGACGGCAAGAGTAAAGTGCAACCGACTCCAGCTCCAAGCAGGGGAGTCTTTTTGCCACCTTTGGTGGTAAAATGATCGACCCCCTTGCAGTGAAGCGTTCCTTGTTGAGGGGGTCGCTAACTTTCTCACAAAAGGTGGCAAAAAGACCCCCTTGTCTCCAAGATGAACTTTTGTTCTGCGCATCATTGAGGCTCATCTCCTGCAACCTTGGCTTTGGCTTTATACTACTAGATCTCATCGCTTAGACTCTTTGTCTAGCTCATGCTCAAACTCAGTACTGCTGACTTGAGCAAAAGGTTCTTTACATAGGATGGTCATTGGGGGAAATCACTAAAATGATTATATGCCCCACTACGTGGGAAAAGTTAGCCATGGTCAAAAAGTGGAATATTGGTCTCAACCCCCACACAACATTCTGCAACTAGGTAGACCCGGCCAGGGGCCCGGCATTCCTCGGAGCTTTGGCAGGTTGCCCCTCTGGCCTGAATCACCCGCGACGGTTTTTGTCGGCACCAGATGTGTGCATATTCTGAGGACACAGCTCATCACCAGCTCTTTTCTGCGCCTCAGAAGTGTACCCTTCCTCCCACAAACAGAAGGCATCTGTGGGGTACCCTGGAAGATCAGTTTCGAAGGGGACCCCCTGTCAGGTGCCATGGCAATGTGGGGAGGGTATCAAAGAGCTTCACTCTACACAACGCGCAATAGTCCAGCATGTAATGTTGACCCCGGATGAATAAACCCCTGTATATTAGTATGCGGGTGTTCCCCTCCAAACGCGCTAAATCCCCACTAAAACCAGGAACAACCCCAGATTAATCAACAGGTGTTTAGTAATCTGGGGTCAACATTACACTGGAATTGTCAGAAGATGTCAAGCAATCCATGCATCACTGGCTCATACTGGCTGCCCGAGCCGTCAATGCAGCACCGAGCCTTTTCCGGCTGGCGATTGCGCACGTGGAAAAAAGTTGCGCAAGCGAACCCAACGGGACCCAACAGGGACCCAGGCGCGGCCCGTCATTGACGGCTTCTTTGCTCAACCTGTGAGACTAACTGTGTCAATCGCCAGTCTTCGCCGATTGTTTCAGGCAAAGCCGGCAATGGGGATTGCAGCGATAATTCGCACGCATGCGCATTAAAAGGAGATGAGGCATTGCAATTCAGCAATCGCACCTGCGCTCGTGCATGTTAGGATGCAAGGATGTCATACTGCCCTACAAAGATGAATCAAAATCGTCAACCTAGATTGCTTGGTGTGAGATCTGGTTCCAACAGGGGGCACTGATACCATGCAAAGACACCTGACCACTTGCCGCCCCCAGGCCGTTGACTGCAAAACCAACTTAATCCAAGAGACTGTCACACCTTAGCTGCCACCTTGGTTTGCATTTTGCAGCTGGCACAACACATATTCGCAAGTCGCTTTGCTTTCCAATTGCACAAATTGGACATGAAGCACTTTTCCTAGCTCCAAGATGGTGTCCACTGTTACTTTTCACTCCAAGCAACCGTTGGGTGAATAACCACGATATAGCCACTATGTAAGGAGTACATACCCAATTCCCCTCTGAAACAGCAGTGGGACGGTGGAAAGTGAGGCCGGGATATGTGTCATCAGAGCATGATGTGTGTTGGCCGTTCCAATTCCTCTCAGCAAATGTCAGCCATGCCCCAAACAACTGTCCAACCCCGAACCCCCTGTCCAGCTGCGATCAAGAATATTCTAAACTGTTCTTTTGCCCCTCAGCCCTTGTGGCACCAGCAGTCACCAGCATGTCAACTGGTTGAATAGAGGGGCCTGTGCGCGTGGTGATACAAATAAAAAAATAAAAATACAAAAAAATGGGAGGAAATGCTTTGCTGTATCAGCCCTGCGAGGTCCGCTGGGCCACGGGCCGCAATTTGCAATGCGCTTGTTGGTTTCTCAGGTCGCGCGGGCCGGCGCTTTGGTGGACACTATAGGTGGGATTTATGCCCACTAACCACTTGGGGCTTCCGACCAAAGCTCAGAGAAGAAAGAAAAAACACTGCGTTGCAGTGACCAACAAATGCAAAGACGGTCCTGACGTCATGTCGGCTGAAGCCTGCACCCTTCCTGTGCTTCTTCCATGTGTCAACTACGAGCTTCCGCGGTGCAAGAGGTTTGAACGTGCTGATTCAGGCCGAGAAGCCTTCTTGATCCTCTGGCGCTTGTTCTTCACCCGTCGCTTTCGGGAGAGGACGATCCTGCGAGGCTGGAGGCTGAATACGCCCTGCCTCTCATCATGACAGTGTGGGATGCAAGGAATGCGTTGTACATGCATGAGCATGTCAGAAATATCCACACAGCTCCTCATTGATCTGCGTTGTGGGGGATGTCTTCTCCCCAGCAATGTTCTTCTCTGGCAGCAGCTTCTCAGCATTTCCCTGGCTGATACTTGCTAACGAAGGGAACACATTGGTGTAGTGGCCGGCCACAACGGCTTGCATCGTCTGCTTTGCATTGCTTTCGTGAGTTTGACTCTACAGAAAGCATTTCCGGCCTTGGCAGTTTGACTCTACAGAAAGCATTTCCGGCCTTGGCCTCTTCTTTGCCTTTCACGAGGCCCTGCTCTGTAGCCCGCTGGTGGTGCCAAATCAGCTTGCAGGTTTTGTAGACTGTCCTGTAAAAGCAGCCGTGTGCGCATGCGCATCAATGCCCCGTACATTGATCCCCACTCATCTTGCTGTACCACTGCTAGTTTTCTGTTTGTATTTAATTGTGAAACAACTACATATTTTGCTGTGCAAACGCTACATGTAATTAAGCGTGCACGTGCGGTTCTCAAACACCACGCAAAACAGCACCCTTAAAATGTTTCTGTGCAGTCCTGTCACATGAATTCAGTTTCATCATTTGTTGTTTTAATACTTCAGCCGTGTTTATTTTGAATTCCTCATTTTGGATTCTCATGTTTGTTTGTTTTTTCCACAGACGAAGCGAGCAAGCAAGTGAGTAAGCGACTGGTGATTCCAAAGAAAAGGCACCTCGGTCCCGCGTGTGTTTTTGTTTCAAATCACGCCTAGGGGGTCCTGGAGTTTTATTTCGAAATCCCGCCGGCACTGTCAGTGCTTTTCGTTTTGGAACCACAGGGGGAGAGATTCATTGCCCAATTGCAAACAACACTTCAGCAGCTCGCACTAGGCCATCCTTGTGCCAAGGCAGCACATGAGGATCTGACAGAACGCATACGCGTTGCCTCGATGACAGCTCTGATGCATCGAACGCACGACGGGTTACATGATTGCTTGTTTTTGGGTGTCAGAACGATGCTGCTAGACTGCCCATCACAAAGTAGGTTGGACATTGGCAGCTGTGCTATTGCTGCGTAGCGGCGTCCGCAGTAATCCACGAGGAAGCGTCCGCAGATCGGCCCTCGAAGCCAGGTGTGCTTCGCAACACCATGAAAACTGCAACCGCCAGCATAAGCCTGGCAAAAAATACGAGCCATAGCAAAAACTCCGATTTCATCCTACCTGAAGATTCATTCTCTGGCCTTTTCCTGGGCGTTTTGGTTTCCTGGTAGTTTTGGGCGTGTTGGACGTTCTAAATGGTTTCTAGGAGTTGTGGGCGACCCCCGAACCCAAAAAACTTTCTGACTTGCGGGCGTTTGCGTTGTTTTGCGGGCGTTTGCGGGCGTTTGCGGGCTTGAGGGCGTTTTGTGGGCAATTCCGGGCGGGGAAAACGTAAAAAGGGACCAATTCTGCAATCTCACGAACATATAGGAGTTTTAGTAGTTTTAGGCGACTTCATGGAAAAAAACGATATTTAGGAAAAGCAAGTTAAAGACGAGAACTACGAGGAAATTCATGGAGAATGAATCTCCAGGTACCTTCGACACCGTCTGTGTTGACCGGCCATGTAGGCGTTGGTCGCAGGGAAATCAAAGGCAACTGTGTGAGCCAACTGCTTGCCGCCCCTGGGAGGGGTGTGGGCCACGTGGCTGGTCAAAACTTCAAAACTCCTTACATGGCCCATGGTCATAGTTCCCTTAATAGGAATCGTTCTAACGGTCATTGAGGATCCTTACTGCCAGGTGGACAACCATGCCTGTTAACCCCAAATCAACTTGGGGGTCTTTTGACCATGGCACGTGTCTTCAATCTTGCCTTTGCGAGTACATCTAATTACGCTGCGTATTTTGTCCCCCACATCACATGCAGACAAGTTTCCCATGAACCTGCTGGCAGTGACCTGGGTTGCATTGGTTATCGGTGACAGAATCTGAGCGTGTGGACAAGCAAGCGGATGGCGCAGTGTTGGAGCAAACAGCATTGGTTTTTCGTTTTTCAGGGTCCAAGAAATGATGCTCAGACTTCAACTGAGTTGTCCTTCGTTTCCAGAATGCTTTGCTCAAGGTACCAGGAGACCGTCAGTGCTTTTCCGGGAACGGCCATGGTATTGAGACGATTGATTAACCGCGGGTCCTGTTCAGCTGATAACTTTGATTCGTGAATTCGCGACAGAAAACGTCTCTCCCAGTTCTTGCTTGGTTGCTGATTCTCGGGTTTCGGGGGCTACGAAACAGCCAAGCCTTCGTTTCAGGGTATGTCCTGCAGTTTTCGCTGATTCTGCTCATCCCCATTTAATGATTTGAGGGATCCCGGCAAACACTGCCAAGGCCAAGTGTATGCCATGGCCGAGGTGTTTGTAGCAACACCTCAAGAATTTGTGGAAAGTCAAGTCTGCCATACTGGTCTCTGCAAACCGTGAACAAAGAAAAGCTGCATGCCGCATTCTGACTGAAGCGAAGCTGCTGCAGTCAGCTGCCGAAGACGATATTCTGCATTGCTGAAGCCTGAGAGCAGTCCAAATCACTGGAAGCGAGTCCCAGACTCGCGAAGGCACGCTAACCCTCCCACGTTGCCATGTGGAAGAATACTTAAATCAAAAATTCCTCTAAGGACCCTCTCAGGTGGTCTCCCTTTCGGTTCCTTTTCTTAGGGCACCCAACCGAAAAAACCGGCACCAACTACATATTCCCGTTGAACCCGCCAAAAAACCGGCACCAACTACAAATATTCCCGTCGAACCCACCGAAAAACCGGCACCAACTACAAATATTCCCGTTGAACCCCCGTTAAACCCACCGAAAAACCGGCACCAACTACAAATATTCCCGTTGAACCCACCGAAAAACCGGCACCAACTACAAATATTCCCGTTGAACCCCCGTTAAATCCACCGAAAAACCGGCACCAACTACAAATATTCCCGTTGAACCCACCGAAAAACCGACACCAACTACAAATATGCCCGTTGAACCCACCGAAAAACCGGCACCAACTACAAATATTCCCGTTAAACTCACCGAAAAACCGGCACCAAGTACAAATATTTCCGTTCAACCCACCGAAAAACCGGCACCAACTACAAATATTCCCGTTGAACCCACCGAAAAACCGGCGGCACCAACTACAAATATTCCCGTCGAACCCACTGAAAAACCGGCACCAACTAGAAATAGTCCCGTTGAACCCACCGAAAAACCGGCACCAACTTCAAATATTCCCGTTGAACCCACCAAAAAACCGGCACCAACTACAAATATTCCCGTTGAACCCACCAAAAAACCGGCACCAACTACAAATATTCCCGTTGAACCCACCGAAAAAACGGCACCAACTACAAATATTCCCGTTGAACCCCCGTTAAACCCACCGAAAAACCGGCACCAACTACAAATATTCCCGTTGAACCCACCGAAAAACCGGCACACACTACAAATATTCCCGTTGAACCCCCGTTAAATCCACCGAAAAACCGGCACCAACTACAAATATTCCCGTTGAACCCACCGAAAAACCGACACCAACTACAAATATTCCCGTTGAACCCACCGAAAAACCGGCACCAACTACAAATATTCCCGTTGAACCCCCGTTAAATCCACCGAAAAACCGGCACCAACTACAAATATTCCCGTTGAACCCACCGAAAAACCGGCACCAAGTACAAATATTGCCGTTCAACCCACCGAAAAACCGGCACCAACTACAAATATTCCCGGTTAAACCCACCGAAAAACCGGCACCAACTACAATATTCCCGTTGAACCCACCGAAAACCGGCACCAACTACAAATATTCCCGTTGAACCCACCGAAAAACCGGCACCAACTACAAATATTCCCGTTGAACCCCCGTTAAATCCACCAAAAAACCGGCACCAACTACAAACCGTTGAACCCACCGAAAAACCGGCACACACTACAAATATTCCGTTGAACCCACCGAAAAACCGGCACCAACTAGAAATAGTCCCGTTGAACCCACCGAAAAACCGGCACCAACTTCAAATATTCCCGTTGAACCCACCGAAAAACCGGCACCAACTACAAATATTCCCGTTGAACCCACCAAAAAACCGGCACCAACTACAAATATTCCCGTTGAACCCACCGAAAAAACGGCACCAACTACAAATATTCCCGTTGAACCCCCGTGGAACCCATCGAAAAACCGGCACCAACTACAAATATTCCCGTTGAACCCACCGAAAAACCGGCATCAACTACAAATAGTCCCGTTGAACCCACCGAAAAACCGACACACACTACAGATATTCCCGTTGAACCCACCGAAAAACCGGCACCAACTACAAATATTCCCGTTGAACCCACCGAAAAACCGGCACCAAACTACAAATACTCCCGTTGAACCCACCGAAAAACCGGCACCAACTACAAATATTCCCGTTAAACCCACCGAAAACCGGCACCAACTACAAATATTCCCGTTGAACCAGCCAAAAAACCGGCACCAACTACAAATATTCCCGTTGAACCCACCGAAAAACCGGCACACACTACAAATATTCCCGTTGAACCCACCGAAAAACCGGCACCAACTACAAATATTCCCGTTGAACCCACCGAAAAACCGGACCAACTACAAATACTCCCGTTGAACCCACCGAAAAACCGGCACCAACTACAGAAAAGAACAAATAATTCCAATGCGGTCGCAGAAGCTGGTACCCTCCTTCGCAGCTCGGCTGGCCCAACCCTCCGCAAAGCCATTCGCCACCTGAGGCACTCGCGACTCGCGACTCGCAACTCGAAACCCTACGTACGGAAATGGGCGAAGCGGCCCCAAAAGACCGGGCTCCCGAGTTCTTTCCCCTGAAAACATCACCCACCCAAAAACACTTTCATGGGCCAAAAAGATGATGTTTGAAACCGGCAAAAAGGGAAACACAGGGACCCCTGAAAGATGTACCCGGAATGACACCTTAGGGCAGCTGTTTAGCTTTGAGCCACACCCAATTGAAGAGACACTTGGCGGTAAAACGAAAAGGCGAAGACACTCCCACCAACTGCCATGGGTCAGTGCACAAGGCCCCTTTCCAAGAAGAAAGTAGAGTCTTTCTACAAAAGTCGGTGCACTTCCAAGTTAGTCGGAAGGAGGGTTTGTATTTCACATAGTCAAGGTCAAAGCAATGCAAAAATCGTCCGCATTTCCCAGCACCGCTTCAGTACAAGTGTACACAAAGTATGCTTTCGCAACTGCTTTAACTGTCTGCGGGGATATCAACCCCAGGTCCGTGGACGTTCACAAATTCTCGGATCTTGCGCCATAAATGTGCCAGACATGTGCGCATTGAGGCTCTCATGTTTGGTTCAGTGAGTGAGTCAAAGCATCACTGCTTGATGCGGAAACAACTTCAACCACACGCACACAGTGGTGAAAGCTGGGCAGAGAAACTGGTGCACGAAGTCCATTGCGGAGCTTACCCGGGCCTAATGCCTAAACCATCCTAAACCAAATGTTCATCCCTTCATATCTCATCTTTGAGCCAACTCCCACATCTGAGCGTGCCAAGACATGCGTCACCTCGCACTGCGGCTACTGGCAGGCCGCTTCTTGACAGATCAAATCATGCAAGCTGCAGTTGCACCGGTGTAGATGATGCCATCCGCCAGGAGCAACATCCAGCCGGGCGTTGGAACTGCAAGCACACCCACACACACACACACAGACACAGCATGCCATGCAGTCATAGGAGCTGCCTGTTGTGTTGCGTGCATGTGGCTCCGTGTCCCTCTACATTCATCCAGAAGTACCTCCGTCGCGCCTATTTCGAAGAGGAAAAGGCATCCGAGAATGGAGGATGCTGCCGAAATCATGAACACATAGGACTCCTGCCGAGCAAAGCTCACATCTCTCGGCAAGTGTGGGTGTTCCCCCTCTAATTCCATGGACCTGCGCATACTGCGAGCTCACGGCGCAAGTTCATAGCTGTCCTTGAAGATGCCCTTGTTCAGCATCACCTGAGTTCATCCAAGCTGCGACTCGTGCCAAAAAAGTTGTTCTTGGTGTTCGCAAGCTCAAGCTTGGATCAAGCTGCTGTAGTGAAACCAGACATCACAATGCCAAGGGAGCAAACTGCAGTGAAGCTCAGTCCTTACGACGCTCGGCGCTCAGATGAATCTAACCACTTTGGGAGTCTTAACTTTGGGTTGGCACCCGTTTTGGCTTGCTTTAAAGGGAAACCAAGTCTAACTGGGGTTGGTACCCGTTTTGGCTTGGTTTAAAGGAAAACCAAAGGGAAACCCACCTATCTGGTGGTCTAAACCAAGAAAAGCCAAAGGGAAACCCACCATGTTGAGGTCTAAACCAAGAAAAGCCACCAGAGCGAAACCCACCATCTTGGGGTCACCAGGAAAGCCCAAACAAAAACCCCTATCTGGTGGTCCAGGGAAACACACCATTTTGGGGTCTAAACCAAGAAAAGCCACCAGAGGGAAACCCACCATCTTGGGGTCACTTGAAAACCCAAAGGGAAACCCACCTATCTGGTGGTCTAAACCAAGAAAAGCCAAAAGAAAACCCACCATTTTGGGGTCTAAACCAAGAAAAGCCACCAGAGGGAAACCCACCATCTTGGGGTCACCAGGAAAACCCAAAGGGAAACCCACTATGTGCCGAGCCGCCAGTCCAATATGGATCCCAACCTCATTGCACGGCACAGCAGCAAAAACCCACCCGAGTCGACTTGTTGAAGCCATCGGGGCGTTGAAACGGTCCGGTTTTAGCCCCAGAACCAGGGTGGGCTCGTCTTTTTGAAGGGGAACCCAACAAAGTTACGGTGTTCCTTTGGCTTCCGTTTAAAAACCTCCCAAAAACAAGGAAGTTGCTAGAATTGTGTGGGGGTTGATCAATAAACCCCCCCCTTTGGAAAGCCCCAAGATGACCCTGGGTAGCTTTGCCCATGTGCTGAAAGTCAGGCCTTTTGGTGGTCTCCCTAACGGGAGAAGGCGCCTCTTTTGTCGGGGTTGCAACCCCCCAACAAAGCTGCGGTCTTCGTGTGGCTTCCCCTGAGGTTCCCAGAAAGGCGCTGAGGCCAAAAAACGAAAAGAGACAAGGCGGCGCAGGCGGCGCCTTGTATGGCAAGGGCACCATTTCTGAACCTTCATCTACCCCGGGTGTTGAGCCAGTGGCTCATTTGCGGCTCGAAAGACCGGAACTCCAAAACTGGAACCCTGGGAAGTGGAAGCATGGAAACCAAAACCGGTTTGCCCCTCCTGTTTCATTTTGAGCCACACCCATTTCTTTCTTGACGCCTTGCTTCAATTGGTGCCTGCCTTTGTATCTGGCTACACTTGTCTCAGGGAACCAAGCAGCTGAACTGGAGCACGTGTCAGCTTGGCATCTTTGCAGCTATGGGGCCGTAAAACACCTCGAGCATCATCAGGGTCGACACTTCAACAGCCGCCAGAGTAAGGGGCCGCTCCTTGGCACCGGCGGTTTGACAACTGGCCATGGGTCAAAACCCAAATCGTACCCCCAGTGAACATCCCAATCCCCACTAAAACAGACTAAAATGGGTAATGCACCTATCCCAAAATGGGATCCCATTGGTTTTGAACCATGGCCAACTCTTGCTCATCTCTTCCCGACAAAAGCAAGGCAAGGCACAAATGCGTACCAAATCATGTTCCACACCATCGCCTTGCGGTCTGCATCGCACAGGTCTTCCGGCTTGACCTCACCAGTGGCATGGAAATCGATGTCGTCCTGGCAGAAAAGGCAAAGCTCTGTAGCTCGAGGGCAAAGGAGCAAACAACCAATCAAGGAGTTGTTCTTCATTGATGTTAGCCATGCATCAAAGCAGTACATGCACCTGGCTCGATATCAGGTCGTTTGCTGTCCTTGCCCTCTGATTTAGGTATGGAGTCCGGAATGGTCGTGGGCATGAGGAAGCAGCCAGTTGCGGCGCTAATCAGGGATAGGAACAACATAAACCTCGGGCGCTTCTCTGTCTTGCTCACCAGTGCTTTAAAGGTACCGCACGTGAATCAGAATCAAAACCGAAAATGATGAACCGCAAAACAAATAACAAAAGGTCATCTGAGTCATAATCAAAAGCAATCGATATTAAACATGGGCAAACCAAATGTAAAGAACCACAAAGGCGGCCGCACCTAGTTCTGGAAGGGACTGTCCCATGCGCTCACTTGTCCAGCGCATTGCAGTACTGCACATGTGCTAACAAACCAAATCCTCCAAGAAGCAAGTTGACCCAGCCCATCATACTGCGTGGGTTAACCTAAGAGTGGCCAAACATCGGCTGAAACGATGTCACCTTGCACGGCACTTGGGCAGGCTGTCGTAGTTGCTGCCCAAGACTCTCGGTCTCCATCACCAGTAACGAAAGTGCGCAGGAGAGCAAAGAAGAGCGGGCCAACGACAAGACCGCCGTTTCTAGCGCATTGTGTGAGAATCCTGGGCTACAGTGGCAGCTCACTCCGAAATTCTTCAAGCCGGCAACCATGACTTTTAGGCAGATGCAGCTGGCCACTCGTCGATTGTTCCAACAGGAAAAGGAGAATGCGTCTCAAGTGGCAAACGTGCGTAAGCAGAGGTAAGCCCTCTCATCTCACCCTAATCTCATCTTTCTCTCTCACTCAAGCTTAGATTCATCCAGTAGGTACGATGCTCGTCAGATGTGATCTTCGTCCAGAAAATGATTCCAGGGATCATGGTGAGCGGTCCAACGAAGGCTTGGATTTGTACAAATCCCAGCATGATCCACCTTAGGGCCACATGATCCCCTGACAGCGGCCAGCGATGATAGACCGTCAAACATATGTTGGCCATGGGGTGAACATCCCAATCCCCACCAAAATCGACGAACATGACATGGGTGGTGCACCTACCCCAAAATGGTAACAATCATTGGTTTTGACCCACAGCCATGTATTGTGTACAGCAAACAGGGCGTGTGCTGACGATCAACCATTGCTCTGCCACCGGTTCTTGAGGACGGCACCAGATCAAGTAAACTTGATTGCTGTTCGCCGTCTCGTTGATGAATATTGCGCAAATAAAACCCAATATCATGTTGATCATCGGAATGATGATCATCAGCCTTCTCACACGGAACCTGAACTGAGCTTTGCCAAAGTGGGAGAGTTCGTACACTGCCTGTGAAAAGAAACTGCCTCCGTGCGCGGTGTTTTTTTCGTCTTTCCAAGTTGCTGGTTCCAATTATTCTCATCAACCAGCAACTTTCCAGCCTCAACCATTTGCGCTTTGCCTACCCGGGTTACCGAAAGCTTCCACGCATTGGCCACTCGGCTTCTCAAATAGAATGAACTCTTGCACAGCTTTTCTTTTTACACTAAACAGCACAAGCACTGGCTTCCTGCAAATGGAAACATGGTTGTGCGCTCGGTCCCCACAAATCATTGGCTGGTATGGCTGGTTCAAGAAATGCCTGTCAAAATGAATGCCAGTATTGAGACCCTGATTGCTCCCTCACCAACAACTTTGCCCTCCACTGTGACATGTCCTGAGCTTCAGACTCCCATAGCCAACCTGGTCAAGCAAGCAACTTGATGTTTGACTTTTTGCTGCAGAGGCATGTGGTACATGTTCATAATATACTGTTAGAGCTGGCATAGCCGGGGGGCAAAAGTTGCAAACCAATGAGCAACGAGAGTTTGAGGGGCGCGGGCCTGGGGCTGGCTGGCTGTTGAACAACCCTGGGCTTGGTGAGTTTCGAGCTCAGTCTTGGCTGGGTTAAGCTGAAGTCTAAATGAGCCCCAACCCAAGACCACCTCAATTGGCCATGGCTCAAAAGCCCGATTACCCCCCAGTGAATATCCGATTCAATCCAACCACTTTTCATAGATGTTCTAAAATGGGTGGTAAATTCACCAATCCCAACCAAAATGGGATCCCAAAACTGTTTTGACCACCACAGCCAAGTTAGCTTCAGGCCGCCTAAGAAGCGACGCAAAATTCTGCGGCTCGCTGTGACGGATAGCACCAAACAACCTATAAGCCCGAGCAACCAGCCACCAGTCCGAAGAAAAAACTAGATGCCGACCGATCGAGCGCATGTTGTGGGAAAACGAACTTCAGCCTTTTCCCATCAGCGACATGCTTCTGGGTTCTGCAGCTCAAGCAAAGCTGCGAAGCCAGACGAAAGAGCAGAGCTGCGTAACCCAAGCTGGGGGGGGGGGGAAAGCGCGGTGCGTTCGGTCAGGGGGAGCATGGAACAGGGGCCCACATTGAAGGAACGCCCTGTGCGACCTTGACGGGTTTCTTGAGTCTCATGACGGTGACAACCGCATGCATAGATCTGATTCTTCGTTTCGCATGGGTTTCGAGCATCGGCCCAGCCGATCCACGCAGAGGCTTCACGCCCACCCTCAGCCCCCGGAGAGCAAACATGTTTGAAAGAAAGAAGAGCTGCGCGTGCCGGCCGAGCTGCAGCAAGCAGGCAGAGCTGAGCAAGCAGACTTGCGCAAGCAACGACTTTCCAAGAGCCGCAGCGCCTTTGCAGAGATTACAGCTATCGCTGCACAAGCAAAGCTGCGCAAAAAGATGCGAAAATGTGTTGAAAGAACCCTTTGCGGAAAGAACCCTTTGCGGCGCTTTCGGTACACTTAAAGAGAACCTCAACCGCACCGACCTCCGATGTGGCACTTTGCCAAGCCAGCTGGCTGGCTACCGAGCTGGTTCACTGACCAATTAGGTGAGGAGTTTGCTAGTTCAACAGTGAGTTGGTGAGTTGTAGCAATCAGTGAGTTGCGCTTTGTAGTCACTTAGTCACTGAGTTGCTTGGTGAGTGAGCTGGTCAGCCAGTCAGGTAGCTCGTCAGCCACTTCGGAGATTAGCTAGTTTGCCAGCAACTTAGCCAAGGAGGGCTTAGAAGAAACTGCCATGACATTGAAACTAGTTCACTTGCCGCGTCTTTGTGGAAAACATCATTTGTGCAGGGGAGGGACGCAAGCAGCGTCCCTTAAGCACGGGATTTGGGCGAAATGACACGCAGAAAAACGCGCTGCTAACGAGCCAACAAACGAACGAACAAACAAACGAACAAGCCAACCAACCTACCTACCAAGCTGCCAACCTACCAACCTACCAAGCTAGCAACCAACCAACCAACCAACCAACCAGCCAGCCAGCCAACCAACCAAGCAAGCAAGCAAGCAAGCAAGCAAGCAACCAAGCAACCAAGCAACCAAGCAACCAAGCAACCGAGCAACCGAGCAAGCCAGCAAGCAAGCAAGCAACCAGGCAAGCAACATACCCATCTACCCACCTACCCGCCTAGCCAAGCAAATTTGACGAATCAAGCGGCAAAAGCTAACCAGCCAACTAACCAACCAATCAACTGGCCAACTAGACAACAAGCCAACTGATGAATTCAGAAAGTAACTGTGCAACTAAGTGGAACTAGCCGGCTGGTTGCCTGGTTGCCTGGCTGGCTGGCTGGCTGGCTGGCTGGCTAACAGCTTGACGAACCAAGAAACTGCGAGACTGGCGGCTTAATTATGTAGCTAAATATGTAAACTGACAATTATTACACTAGCAAGAGCTAGCTAACAACTTAACTAGCTTGCCAACCAACCAGCCACCCAGGCAAGCTGACTGACTATATAGCCAGCTGGCCATTCAGCCGAATTGCCAACTAGATGGCAAATTTAGCAAGCTGAGAAACTGACAAACTGACGAGCTAACTGATCATCCAACTGGAGAAGTGACCAAATAGCAAACCCCAACTAACTGGTTAACACAGAGTGTACCCTGGGGGGGGGGGTTCGGGTTCAGGTTCGGGTTCTGGGCCAGGTGTCTGGTCGGGGGGGGGGGAGGAAGGTTCGGGTTCGGGTTCGGGTTCGAGTTCGGGTTCGTGTCCGCGGGGGGTCAGGTTCGGGTTCGGGTTCGGGTTCGGGGTTCGGGGTTCGGGGGGGTTGGGTTTGGAGTTGGGGTTGGGGTTGGGGTTCGGATTGTTTTCTTCCTCTTTTTTGTGGCGGGGGGGGGGGGGGTGCGGGTTCGGGCTCGGGTTCGGGTTCGGGCTTTTTCTTCTTGCTTCAGGTTCGGGTTCGGGTGGGGTACCTAATGGGTTACCACTAACAAACTACCTAGCCAACTAAGTAACAAGTGAACTAGCTATCCACTTGACCGGCTAACTAGCTAGCTAACTAACTACCCAACTAGCTAACTAACTAAGCAAGTAACCAGGTGACTCACTGACTGACTCACTGACTGACTCACTGACTGACTCACTGACTGACTGACTGACTGACTGACTCACTGACTGACTGGCTGGCTGGCTGGCTGGCTGGCTGGCTGGTTGGCTGGCTGGTTGGCTGGCTAGCTAGCTGACCAACTAACACCAACAGACTACCTCACTATTTGGTTGACCAACAAATCGGTGAACTACCTGGCTTGTAAACCCACCAATTTGTCAAGCAGCTAAATCGCAGCTGCATTGGCAGTCAGCAGTCAAGTGAATTTTGCAGGCAGCTAGCTTTGTAATTGGGCAACTCATTTGCTTTGGCTAGTCACGCAACCGGTTGGTCAGTAAGGCCAGTGATAGTTAGTTAGGTAGGTAGTTGGTTAAGTGACCACCAAGTGTCGATACCATCATTTTGGCCCTATGGATTCATCTTCAAACAGCTGCCCGTTGCCGTGGATACCATCCTTTTTGTCTATAGTGAGTTCATCCCCAAACCTGCTTTGGTGCACGTGTTCACCGGCTTCCGACTCCTTGGTCTTGGTTGCCAGCGCTAGTAGCCTGGTACTTTTCTGCAAGCACAAACGTGTGGTTGCTAACGCTGCTCGAAGCAAGTCTTGCTCCGAGACGCTAGTCTACTTGGTTTGGTCCAACGCGCAATAATTTTGTCGCCAACAGCACAAGCCGGAGCATCTACTGGAGTTCGACCTTCACTTCGGAGCTGTTACGTCAAACATGTCCAGCGCAAACCATCGAAGGCTTTGATTCCGGGTCAAGATGGCCCAGTGGCCCAGCCGGGCCGTCCAAGAGGGCAAACAGACACAACCGAGTCAGCCCCAAAAAACGTCCTCGCAAATGCTTCACCCAAATGACGGCTGTTGTCTGTTTCCAGCATTTGCAAAGGAAAGACGGAACTTTCCAGGGGTCCGAAAATATTTAAGCACTGATGTTGGCAATGCAGCAATCTGATCAAACACAAGAAATGACACAAAAGTCGCGCGCGCATTTGCTTCCTTCTCTTCTACGTGCTTGATGCTTGCGCAAGGATCACCGAGAAACAGCCCTGACGTTATCCAAGCAGCACTCCAGTAATCACGCCGCAGCTGAGAAAGAAGCCCGAAGAAGTGGCTCCTGTTGCCACAGCTTACTGCAGTGTCCCGCCGTATCCCGCCGTGACGTGAGAAAAATGCGGTGCCTTGGTGGCTTCATTTGGACCCATTCCCAAATGATCGGAGGGGAAAACTGCACTATAAAACTCGCAGCTTCTGCTCCAATGTCCCAGCAAGCGCATGACATGCTCGCAACGTCACACATCGGCAGCACGCGAAACGCTCGGCAAATTCCTTGATTGAGGGACAGCGCAAAGTCCAAGGAGATGGGGATCTGCATTGACATGTTGATGAAGCCAGAGGCAGAGTTCCAAAGACCTGAGACTGGTCATCAAATGAAGGAGAATCAAAACCGATCGGTGCCAAAATGGTCGATACCCGAAACAATGTGGAGGTTTTGCTCAGCCCCGAAATGACACTGGGTAACTTTTCCCTTTCAGTGGTGAAAGTCATTGTTTGAGTGATTTCCCTACTGGTCATCCCACACAAAGGACCTTTTTGATCAACCCCCAAGGCAGCTGCACCCATTTCTAGTTGGGATTGTCCCTTACTAACCTTCAACTACCCGAGTGTTGACTGTGGACAGTCAAATTGGCTGTACCCTTCTCTGACGCTTAGGGCAGTCCGAGCTGCTCATGTACTGACAACCCATGGACTTGTGCACCGGTCCCGATACGAAAAGGGGAGTCATGCCGTTAGACACAAACCTCAGCTGATGCAGAACTGATTGTCGTCTTGCTGGCTCAATCCCATGGCATATTGCAGTGGTTGCCAGGTCGTGGACATGTACCTCAAGAAGTGAATGGAGCAGGAGCCGCGTCCAGCGACATTGCCAAGAAGCGCTTCATGAATGAAGATGAGCACATAAAACCCAACAAATCCTTCAGGGCTGCATGTGATGCTGAAAATTATCACAGTGTCCCTCGTCCACCCAAGCACAAAGCCATGTGTGACAAATAGCTCAGCTTATGCAGTGTACAGCCCTGCCTGCGTAGACCCAAAGAGGAAAGTGGACAATACGAGACCCAAATAGACTTCTGTCCAGGAGCTCCCAAGATGCTGGTTCAATGCCATCTGCGTTCTCGGCCTTTGGTGGATCAAGCGGGCAATTGAGAGGCATACATGTACAAATTGGCACACTCTTCGTGTGGCCTCAAGATTGACTACAATTCAAGCATTCGAACTTGTGAATATCAACATGTTCCAGGAGGGCTGCCGTGTTTGCAAACAGTGACAGCCTGCCAAGCTGAGGTTGTTGCAGAGCTTGACACAGCTGCGAGGCTGACATCTTTCGCAGGCTCAAAGCGCTGCATCACCTGTACAGAAGGCCCTGTTGAAATGCCATGGTCACCGGTGCTTCATAGGCGAACCATCAATACCAAGCCAAGCATGCAAGGGTGTCGCTATTTTAGGGGGCCCCAAACAAATTGTGTGTGTGTTTCCTTTTGGTTTCCCTTTAAAACCAAAAAGAAGCACCCTCAAAAAAACCAGAGCCACAAGGCTTTGCTGTGCTGCGCTGAACGTGTGCAACCTTACACTTTGGCACCGAAGAAAGGTGCCACGCGCAATGGCCACAGTGCGGGTGCGCTGGTTTGCACGCATCTGCGTAAAGGCGAATATGCGCATGCCATGTCTGCGGGGATGTCTCTTCCAGGGCATCCCATGTCGTAGGTTCACGCATCACATGGTACATCTGCAAGGCGAAGGCTCGCGCACAAAAAGGATTCTGGAAGGGTGGCAATCTTCAAGCTCATCTGCTCCCTTTTGGTTCATGTACTGACATCTGAGTCTGTCTCAACAGGTGGCGCTGACGATCTGCCGTTGGCGAAACAGCTTCGCGCGCGTGGTCACGGGGTCATGTGCACAAGCAAAAAGTATGGTTCGACGCGCGCTTCGTTCATGATTCGGGGTATGGTTTGGCAGGAAGGTGTTCTGCAGTCGTAGTAGTAGTAGTAGTAGTAGTAGCAGTAGTAGTAGTCGTACTAGTAGTAGTAGTAGTAGTAGTAGCAGGAGGAGTAGTAGTGGTTCTGGTAGTGATAGTGGAAGAAGCAGTAGTAGTAGCAGTAGTGGAAGTAGTAGCTGTAGCAGTAGCGGTAGCAGCAGCAGCAAGTAAGTAGTAGAAGCAGTAGCAGCAGCAGTAAGAGTAGTAGTAGTCGTACTCGTAGTGACAGCACTAGCCGTAGCCGTAGCAATTCAGTAGCAGCAGCATCAGTGCAGTAGTAGCAGTAGTAGCAATAGTAGCAGTAGTAGCAGTAGTAGCAGTAGTAGCAGTAGCAGTAGCAGTAGCAGTAGCAGTAGCAGTAGCAGTAGCAGTAGTAGTAGTAGTACTAGTAGTAGCAGCCAAAGGAAACTAAATGAAAGGTAGCTTGCGCAGATCGATGGCTTCAAAAGATCAGATATCGCACGCAAAAACAAGATAGCTCTTGCAAATAGCTTACAGAAAATCAGCTGGTTTGCGCGAAAAAAACGCACGCAGATAGCTTTCGACCTTGCAAACGCGCTGCGCCTGCCATGCACGTGACCGTGTGAAAGCGCTGCGCCTGCCACGACATCTGCGCCTGACCTTGCCAAAGCACTACGCCTGCCACGAAATCTGCACCTGCGCGCCGAACCCGTGCCAGCCAGGCGTCGAGACAGAGGCGCTCGACAGTTCACGATTTCCATTCGCGCGCGTTCATTCTTTCTTCATCTTATCTGCGAAACGCAGATTTCGTGGCAGGCGCAGAACTTTCGCAAGGTCAGGTACGGCTTTCGAGGCAAGCGCAGCACAGATTTCGTGGCAGGCGCAGCACTTTCACAAGGTAGGCGCGTAGGTAGGTAGGCCGGCAAGTAGGTTTATAGAGAGAGAGAGATGGGTAGATAGATAGGACGAGATAGATAGAGACAGGCGGACGGATAGATAGATAGAAGGATGGATGGACAAATAGCGAGAGATAGAGATAGATAGGTCGATAGACAGATAAAAAGACAAAAAGAGAGGGAGAGAGATAGAGGGAGAGAGACAGAGAGATAGATAGAGATAGGTAGATAGATAGGTAGATAGCCAGAAAGAAAGACAGAAAAAAGAAAGAACGAACGATAGGTAGACAAATGGATTGAGAGATGGAGAGATAGAGATGGATAGATAGAGACAGATAGATGGATGGATAGGTGGATGGATAGGTGGGTGGATGGATGGACGGACGGACGGACAGGTGGGTGGGTGGGTAGGTGGATGGCGGAACGGACGGACGCATGAATAGATAGATGGATGGATGGATATATAGATAGATAACAAGGTATAGAAAGAAAAATAAAGAGAAAGAACGAGCGAGAGAGAGAGAGAGAGACAGAGTGAGAGAAAGAGGTTTGTAGCGAGAGAGCAAGAGAAAGAGGTAGGTAGAGAGAAAGAGAAAGAGGAGGGCATGCGTGTAGGCCACCAGCTTTTCCGGCTCTATGTTAGTAGTAGTAATAGTTAGTAGGAGTAGTTGTAGTAGTAGCAGTAATCGTGGTGATAGCAGTAGTAGTGATTGTAGCAGTAGTAACAGCAGCAGCAGTAGTAGTAGTAGCAGAAGAAAGTAGAAGGAGAAGGAGAAGAGGAAGTAGAAGTAGAAGAGGAAGTAGAAGTAGCAGTAGCAGGAGTAGTAGTACTAGTGGTAGTAGTACTAGTGGTAGTAGTAGTAGTAGTAGTACCTGGTGTTGTAAAGGAAGTATGATTCGTGGTCTGGTTCCGGGGTATGATTCGCACAGGTCGAACTTCCATCCTTTACTAAACCTTGGGCACCTTAAGAAACACACACCCATATTCTACGAGACTGAAGCAACAGATTCTCTGCCCACTCCAGCTGCATTCCAACTAGGCGGTACCTCGCATGACGAAACTGAAACAGCTGATCCATTTATGTAGCTAATCACAAATTGATACTTTCTTTGCCTGGCAAACTGGGAGGCCATTTGGATACGTGCATTCCTTGTTTTTGAACGGGCCATTCCATGCAGCAGCGTGTGTCTTTGACCTGGCTTAGCTGACTGCAATAGCTCATGGCAGCGAATTGCCAGCAACGCTAAGCCACTCTCATAGATGGTTCAAGCAATTGCGGCAAGAATGTTTGGGACTACGCAAGAAGCAAACCGGTGAGCCCTTTGCACTGAGACTCACTTTGCAGCTGCGCCAAGGTTATCAGGTTTATCGGAGGCCACAACTCCTTTCGAATGGGAACGTGGTCCCACGCAGTTCCAACCCCTCGCCTGAAACTTCTCTTGCAAAAAGCCAAAGCCCCACTGGGAGGGCTCTTCCTGACACGCAGTGCCGTCCTTGGTGTCGCATGTTGCATTGTGTTTGCGCCGCATATATTTTTTTCACCAGCTGCAGCTCAGCCTCTCCGACTTTGCATGTCTGCTGGGCTGTTGCTTGAATCAACAGCAATGCCTTGGAGTCATGTAAGCTGCTGCTTGTGCATGGCAAGCAATGAATATTTTAAGTCCGCTGCTATGAATCGCATCATTCGGTGAACCTCAGTTGGCATTGTTTGTGCTGACGAATTGGCTGGATATATTTCTTCTCCCTAAGACAATGCACGAACATAGGCCAATCCACTGCAAGATTGCCATTGCTCATTCCCTTCAAGCATGTGCAGCCGTGTCAGCCCAGAGGCAGAGTGTCCTCTCAATTGCCTCAGAAAACCCTCGGGCTGCAATAAACCCAAACATCTTCCGCTTTGCTCGGAGTCCGCCAAGACTGGGATCTTGGTGCGGTCAAGTCACCGAGGAAGTCGTTGTGGTAGGATGTTCCACTTTGAACATAAATGGCACACGAAGGGACTTTCAGCCATTCACTCGCAACACGCACGTCGCGCCCCAAATCCGAAAGAACCACTCCAATGACTGACCTGATTTAAGTTACACCTTATGCGCAAAAAAGAGGGTACCCTTTTCTCTGTTGCTTTCTGCTCCCCTGCTAAAAGTTTAACTTTTAGCGGTTTAATTCGGAAGACCCATTAATTGGCAAAAAGCTAAAGTCCTAACATCCCTTGGCAAAATGCAGCAAAGTTTTGTTGTAAAGGGAAACATAAAGGAAAGTCACAATTTTTGGCACAGCTGTATGGGTCAAAACTAAACCACCAGGAATTGGACCGCAGGTTTTAGTCACGGGTAAGCCATTTACCAGGGCTTGCGCCATTTTGGGGTTAGCCTATTTTTGACTGCCACAGCAAGATATGGGTGTTGATCAAAAGGCCCTAAAACATGGGGTCACTAGAAAAAAACAAAAAGATATCAGTTACCCATGCGCCGATGTGTCCATTCTGGGCATTTGAAAGATAAGTTACCGATGAGAAGCTTATGTTACCCGCAACTTCTGGCGTTTGAAAGATAAGTTACCCATGAGAAGCCTATGTTACCCGCCGCAAATTCTAGGGCCCCATATTGATCACCCTCCAGTCTTCTGTGACCCCGCAAATTTCTGGCCCCTGGAAATCTGGATCACCCCGGCTTCACTCGCCGAGGAGGCGGCCTTTGCCACACCTCGCTCGGAACGGAGCCAGCACTTGATCCATTTCGGGGGGCTCGTCTTCTCCCAAAGAACCCGATCCGAAGAGAAGTCGCCCAAAAAAAGAAAGTCTCTTCCCAAGTGGTGGTGTTTTTCTTCTTTAAAGGAAAGCCAGGGAGTGAGAGTGGTTCCACCCGACAATTCAAAGGGCAAAAGACACTTCCCGTGCGAAAAGAAAAGAGTACGCCTGGCTCGTGCGCGGCTTTCTCCTCTTGCTCGATTTCCTGACAGGCTGCCGCGCATTTAAAGCGAAACCAGGGCTCGCTAAAAGATATGGGTATGGGTCAAAATGAAACTACCAGGGGACTGCAGGTTTTAGTCCATGTTTCCAGTTGCCAGGGTTCCATTTTGGGTACCTATTTTCAGCCATACGTGAGCTGTGTCAACTTCGGTTGAGAGTAAGGTCTCACACTCAAGATCCCCCACAATAACGGGGGGGGTTGATCAATATTCCATGTAGGGCCCCCATTTTGACCATGGGTAACTCTTCCCACCTAGTGGGACATATCATCTTTGTACTGTTGTTCCAATCAATGGTCATTCCATGTATGGGGGACCTTTTGATCAACCCCAATTGGTTTCTTGGACGTCTCCTGTTTCTGTCGCTTCCAACATGTCACTCGTTTGCATACGTCTCACAGAAGACTGCCTTCAGCTGCTTGAAGATCGGCTTCGCCTGGCGAGCTGCAAAGCCTATCTTCACAAGCAAAGTTTTGATCCCGCCGCACCTCCTCCTCCAACTCAGACCTACAAAGCACAACGAAAACATGCGGGTTGATCAAAAGGTCCCAAATACATGGGGTGACCCATTGCTTGGAAACCAGCAACAAAATGTGACTTTCACCTGGGAAAAGTTAGCTATGGTAATTTTGGGCCCTACATGGAATATTGATCAACCCCATAGCAAGAGAGCTGGTGCACCTCTGCCGTCTCAATGCTGACTGTTCAGCATCACGGGACCTCGGCAGCTGCTCAGCTTCTTGGGGCTATCGAACCGCCGAAACGGCTTGGGCTCGAGGCTCCTGTTCCTCTTGGAGCTGTGATTCCTTCGCAGCAACTTCTCCCTTCAACCTAAGCTGCAAGTACAAAGTCCGATGCTCAAGCACAGGTGAAGAAAAAAGCATCTCGACATGTTGTTCCAAGCCAAGTGCGCATCCTCCTTGACCCTCAAGCGTTCGATCTCCTTGGATTGGCGACCAACATTGCGAAAGTATAGCGCAAAATGGCTAGCAGGCCACAACTGAGAAGTCTGCTGCTGCGTGTGCCGCGCTCTTCGCTGCATGGGCTTGAGATGCTGCTGCAATTTTGGCCTTTCAAAAAGTTGAGGATGAGCCTCGCACGAGTCGCATTTCCGGCCTTGAGCTCTGTCATCTCGACTTCTAGTCTCTCTGCTTTCTTGCCTGCACGAGAGTCCAGAACCAGCGCAGAAGCGCAAACCATGTCAGACCATGTCAAACCCGAGGCTAGCAAACTGCGGCCTGTAACGGTTTTGAGCTGATTGGCACGCTGAAGGGCAAGCTTGAGTTGAAGGAGAGCCTTTGTGCCTTGGCGAACGTCGGAACGGCTGATATTCACTTGACCCTTTGAGACTCGGCATCCCCAGAATCAAATGGTCGCTCGCTGGCACTGGTTTCAAATCAATGTCGCTCGCAGAAAAGGCCCCAACGGTCCGAGTTGAAGGCAAGTGTATCATCTGAAAGCCTTTTCTTGCCTCAGTTTCAAGCGAAAAGCATTGGCCCTGTGAATTCAAGAGAGGATCCAAGGATGGCGGCAAATTCACGTGGGCGCCATTTGTGTTCAAACATCTGAAAGCATGTCTGGAAACATCTGAGGCTGTGACTTGCTTCATACTCTTCTTGTAACTTCTGATGCCTCGGGCGTTCTCAGCCCTTTTCTTGCTGGTGCTCAGGGAATGCAGAATGGAATGAACCGTTTTGTTGATTCCTGCTTCCCTGCCTATCGAACCGGCAAGAAACGGAACCCACCCCCACCTTTCACCCAAAAAACGAAAGACCTAATTTAAATTGAACCACATGGCTGGGAACGATAGAAGATTCCCGAATAAAGGAAAACAATTCGGATATGGATGGTTTATATATGTAGGGGTCAACTCATTCCCTGCCTATCGAACCAGTAAGTGATAGTCACTATTGGTTGCGACGGCTCCACTATGAATTCTCATACTGTAGATGGACGCCTTTTTTGCCCAACCGCTTTAGGGAAATCCCTTTAAAGGAAACCAAATGGCTGTGGCTCAAAGCGTGGTACCAAAATGGCACCTTGGCAACTGGAACCAAAGCCTAAAACTTGCTGTTTGCCCTAGCTCTTCAATTTTGAGCCATACCCAACTCAGTTCTGGGCTGCCCTCAGATCCCCCGGTAAAAGTTTAACTTTTAGTGGGTTAAATGAAAACTACCACTAAACACTAAAAAGGCTAAAAAGCAAAGGGGATGCCACCAAGGGTTTAGGGTATAAAGGAAACCAACTCGGACACGGCGGGCATCCTCTCCCGCGCCGATCGCCGGCAAAGGCCCTGGCTCCCTCTGGCCCGCCTCCAGTGCCTGTTGGCGCTCGCTCGCGGGCGCGCGCGCGCGCGCCAGCCGCGGGGGATGTGGTCGTTCTCCCCTGGCCTTTTTGGAGTTGCTCGCCCTTTTTTGGGATTGAAGGGAAACCGAAAGGAGAACTCCACCAGTTTAGGGGCTCCGATTCTAAAAAAAAGCCACACCCAGGTCGCAAGTCGCAAGTCGCCTGCTTTGTCTCCTTCACGCGAGTAGATAAAGTTGGCAGCTCCTGAGGAATCACGCCAAGTCTGCAAGCCAAGCTACTTTACTTCCAATGGCGTGGCCTTAGGGGTACCCTGCACATTCTTTAAGTGCCTGATTGTGTGTTTTTTCGGCTATTTACAAGCGCGGATCGCGCGCGCATCGCAGGTAAGAACTGGAAAAGCCCAACTATGAAGGGCTCAGCCCTTCCTGCTCAGCACCAGCTTGCGAGTCCCTTCAGAACTCGGCTTGAAAATTGGTCTTTGCAATCTTGCTCTCAACTCGCCCTGCAAGGCCGTAGGGTCTCTCACAGCTGAGGAGGGATGTAGGATGAGCGCCCAGAAAGCAGCCTGACACGCATGTTTTCCCAAAGCCTTTACAGCCTTACACGCATGTGAGAAAGCTCATTATTCGAACAAGTGCCAAGTGACCCATCGAAGGAGTTGGCGACACCGACCTCAGAAAGAAGCAAAATGTAGCCAAATAATTTGTCATCATGAGCGCTGCACAGCTGTGTGGTCAGAGCGTGTCACCATCTCTGACTCAGCTATGTCCGCAATCTTGGATCGCTGATCACCTCCAGTGCTGCAAGACATACGCAATGTTGACATGATCACCTGCTTGTCAGCGCAAAGATCCTCTTGGATGCATTCAAGTCTCGTCGCTGCGCCATGATGCGAACCTGATTGGGAAACGAGCTGCAGCGTGGGAGCGTGGGCTGCTGATAGGAACGATGCTTAATTAATCAGAACCATAGAGCTTCCCGTCGTGCAACGGTCGACATTCATTGCGTCCCCCCCAAACAGGGGTAGCGTAGGAGCGTGGGCTGCTGATAGGAACGATGCTTAACCATAGAGCTTCCCGTCGTGCAACGGTCAACATTCATTGCGTCCCCCAAGGACAGGGGTAGCGTGGGAGCGTGGGCTGCTGATAGGAACGATGCTTAATCAGAGCCACAGAGTTTCCCGTCGTGCAACGGTCGACATTCATGGCGTCCCCAAGGACAGGGGTCTTGGCTGTGCATTGGCCATTTCATGTCTCTTGACCGCCCTTACAGCCGCTCTGAGACAGCCGCATCCTCCCGGTGGGCCGCACTGTAGCAGCAGAATGAGCAGCAGCATACCCAGAATAAAAGCCAAAACACCTGGGCTGTCACATCTAACAGATTAAGCCACCACATGCCAGAGTCGCATCGGAGCTTGCTTGGCAAGAATGGAGAGTGTCAAGTTTGAAAGTCGCTCTGATGCCAACAAGCAGCTGGATGTGCTGGTTGATCTGCACCTGATTCCGTGATTCTCTCTGCGAGCCGAAGACATAGGTGCGTGTGCCTGTGTACGTGTTCGTGGGTTTGCTTGTATGTGTGCTTCGGTCTTTGTGTGTCTGAGTGTGATTGGGTGATTGTCAATGGTGTGTGTGTGTGTGCATGTGTGTCTTTGTGTGTTTGGATGTGGTGTTGTGCTTGTGCAAGCTTGCGTTTGCAAGGGTGTTTTGTGACTCTGTTTGTGCCTCTGTCTCTGTGCTTTGGGGTGTTTTTTTCCTGTGCTTCTGCGTTGCGCTTCTATGCTTCCGTGTTTGTGTGCGTGTGTATTTGTGTGTCTGGCTCTGCGCGCGTGTGCAAACGCGTGCGTGTGTGTGGGCATGGCCGTGGGATTGGGCCTAGGCGTGCACGCGTGTGCGACGCGCGTGCGCGTGCGGGTTCGCGCGCGTGGGTCTGCGCGCGTGCGCGTGCGAGTGTTTTTTGCGCGCTTGTGCGCCTGTGGGCGTCTCTGCTGGTGCGATCTTGCGCGCGGCGCGCGCTTGCGCGCATGTGCACTTGCGGGCTTCGGTGCTTGCGCACGCGCGATTCTAAACTTACGCAATCGCACAACTATTTACGCGCGCCAAAGCGCGTACCCACTCGCTTTCGTAGTTATGCACATGCGTGCTTCTACGCGCGCTGCGCGCTTGTGTTGTTGCGCTTTCTGCGTTTGCGAGCGTTTTATCATGGCCATCTACTCTATAGTAACTAGATGCAACTATTTAGCAAGAGAAAATGGCTTTGCCATTAGCTGTTTGCCTGTATTTGTGTGAGATACTCTTGAAAAACCAACCTCCAGAAAAAAGAAGAAGGTCACCCCTGCTGTAATTATGAGTTGGTTTTGCAAGAAAGCCTTTGCTTCTTCTGTCTTGAAACGGTTCTTGGAAGCAAGCCGAACATTCCTTTCACCCAGCTTTGGCCAGGCGTGCCAATCATGACTTTGCGGCTCAACGTGTGAGCTTGCGCGGGGTTGAACTGCCCTTTCATTTGTGCTCATTTTGCAACGCTCTCCTCTACATGTTCCACGCCGCTTGTGTTTTCGCTGGGGCCATCTGCTGAGGCAATCAGCATAGCGCAATGCCCAGAGATGTTTGGGCTTCATGTCACCAGCAAAGCCTGCTGCTACTGCGGCTGCTAAACCGAGCGGTTGCGATCAATTCCAAAAGTGGTGCAGAAGAAGCCTGTTGCAAGAAGGCCAAACTGACCAAATCATCCAAGACTTGCGCCCAAGACAGAATGCTTTGGCCGTCGGCACTGTTCGGCTCCACATTGCGGGCGCGCATGCGCCACTTCCAGAGCAATGCCAAAGCTTCAGAGGCTTCAGCTTTCAAGGTCCTGCTCCTCTAGTTACAGGAGCCGAACAGCGTCTCAAGCTTGGAGCTGATGTAAGCCTTGGGGGAACGCCCAAAGTTCTACCCAATCCCGCTAACTGCCCTCTCTAGCCCGAAGGGGCGAAGGGCGACACAGGGTTCACGCTGAATCCGGCCCAATCAGCTGGGGGCTGCAACGCCCTGCGTCCAGGCCATCTGTCTTTGCTATCCAGCCCTCATCTCCAGCCCCCGCAGCTCAAGTCCCTAGCAGCAAGCCAAGCTCCGCCCCGGATCCCGTCATGTCCAGTCCTGCTCATTCCAGCCTTGGCCGGCCCCCGCCGCTTGAGTTTAAGTTCCTGAGAATTACTTTCAGCCCTGCCCACCCGTCATCATCTACTGAAGCCCGAGCTGCTCTTTGGTTCTTTTGAGCCTGTTTGAAGCGAGCAGCCCGCGGCATTTACAATTATGTTGCCTGTCATCAAGGTTGCTTTGTGGGTTCCTGTACTGATATAGAAGCAAGTTCTTCAAAATGCCCCAACAGGTTGCGGCTAACTCCAACACATTCAAACAGTGACCCAACCTCTTCTTACCCGGCGAAGTGGCACAAGTCAATGGGGCACACTTTGAATTGAGCATGCATCGTGATGTCTTGGCACATCACATGCGTGTGCATGGCAACTAGAGCCTCGCAGAACGCTCTTCCAGCGTGCTGTCACGTTTTGCGTCCTCACACCAATATTTGAATGTGAGGCATTGGCACAACTGGAGCTCCTGTTGTCCGGAAGCTCCACCAAATCGCTGTCCGTCTCTGCCGCAACTTGTGGACTGACCTCAAAATCATGGAGATGTCAATGAGTTCTAATCAAGTGAATGCTGTCAAAGCACAGCTTGCCGACTCGAATCCACCGCTCTAGACCTTGAGTGCAGCTGTGGTTCATGTTGAGACTTTCTAGTGCCACTGCCAGCATTCGGACGAGTCTCGTGTTCGCGATATCGGCCTCGATCTCGGAAACCTGGGACATCTCTGAGGAGCCGTTCACCACGGTGAGGTTGGATGTAGTGGACACATTGTCGGCTGCCGCCAGCAATCCACTGCCTCCAGAGAGGTCAACGCAAACAAAACCAATAGGACCAAAACATGAGCCACAGCATATCCCGGCCGCACAGCACTGCCGGCCAGGCAAGGAAAGCCTCGAAATCTGCAACTCATCAACTCATCAACCGCACAGATGGCTACGACAAGGCTGCCACTCGCATTGGCGAAAAATCTGCGCTGAGTGGAAAATCCGGCTGTGTGAGTCTGTTGTGTGTTTCAAAGTGCTATTTGGAATAGCCGCGCTGACGTGTTCCACGTTTACTCCACGATATATTCCTGTACGGTGTTGAAACCAAATCTTGCGCCTTGAAATCTGGAAGGCAAAAGAGCGATCCAAATCTGTGGGTTTCAGATGCAAACTGCCCTGCGAACTTGGTCATGAAAATATGTGAGCCAAAGCTGAAGCGAAAAGCGAAACGGCGCAAAGCGAAAAGCCAAAGTCAAGTGCCCAAAGTATCCAGGGGCTCCGGCAGCCTGGCCACCCGCTTTTATTATCATTATTAAGTGGAGCCAAGTGGCCTTCAAATAAAATCAAGGCCTCGTGTTTGCCTTGTGCTATTGTTTTTGTTGCTTTTGTTGATGGAGCCAGGTAACCTTCAAACAACATCAAGCCCTCACCCATGGGGTTTCTTGAAATTCACGGAAGCAACCAGCTACACATACGAAGTCCTGGGCCTTCTCTTCCAGCGCTGTCGTCTCGGCCTCGTAGGCAGCAGGAAAGCCCACGGCAGAGTCGCCAAAAAGTAGCTGCAAAGGCGACTAAAAGTCGTTAAAGAGTCGTTAAAGCGTGGTCAAGGAAGCGTTAAGGCCGTTAAACAGTCCGACTGCAAAAAGCAAGTGTATTGACAACGTCTCATATTTGGCTCGCTGAACCACAAGCTCTGAGGGCTTTGTATCTATGAAGCGCTCGGCTGACTCAACGAAGTTGGCAGGCTATGCAAGTGGATATTGAGAAACATTCAGGTAGGGGCAATCGAAATCCCACCAAAAAGCACCGCTTCTGCATGGACGCAAATTGCTACGATGACCTCCAGCAAATCCTCTGTTCAGTGCCATTCTCGAATTAGATCGGTCCCAATGAAAGAACTCACTCGACACATCAAAATACCCTCCAAACGGCTTGCCGCGCCTTCATCTTTTCAAGGTCTGCATTTGTATTTGCTAGCCGGCTGTCCAGCAATTCCTGTCGCCTTTTGCACTCGTCTTTCAGAGCCGCGTTTCTGGCCTCAGTGCACATGGGCTTTCTGGCATATCACGGGTTCATCAGGGATCCTTGCATTGTACAGCTCAACATTGCCGTGTACATGGTGGTTTCCCTGTATTTTGGTGGAAAAAGCCATGGTTCAAATGGTTGCAAAATGTATCTTTTAATTAAGGAGCCCCGTTTAACTTGTGGGCGAAATGGACATTCGACCACCAAGCCCTAAAAAGCTAAAAAGCTAAGGGGATGGCTGGGAGCCGCAGAGAAAACTAGAGTCATTACAGAATTGAGAGAGCCTCCGCGTGTCGGTTTTTTCCCCCTCAGCTCGGGGCGCACTCCTGCTTTTTGCTTTCGAGCTTCGCCTCAATTTCCAGGCTGGCTGCGTCGAGCGCGGCCAGCTCGTCCGAGATGCCATCCTTGAGCCCGGAGAGCTGCCGCATGCTCTGTGCCTGCTGCTGCAAGTGTGCAGTGAGGCGCTGGAGCTTGGAGACTTCTTGCACATATTCATCTCTCCTGGGCTGCCCGTTTTCTGATCCCCCCAAGTGAGTTCAACTTTTAGTGGCTTCAACGCGGAAACCCAACCACTAAACCAACTAAAAGCCTAAAAAAAGGCGCTGAGGGACCGAATGGCTGTGCCACCAAGTCTCATCAAGGCCACCTGAGTCGCAAGCAAAACCGATCGGTACTAAAATGGGTGTGGCGCACACAACCGGAATTCCAAAATGGCGAAAGCCCTGGTAAGTGGAAACATGGACCAAAACCTGCGGTTCGGTTTGCCCCTCCGATCGTTTAATTTTGAGCCACAGCCAAATGGTCGTCCCAGAACCATGCTTCAGGAATTAAGAAGGCGGAGATCCGAAGCCATGTATGGCAAGGGGATCGTCCCTTACTAACCGGATCATCAATCCCCGGTTTTTGAGTGTGGCTCACCTGCTCTCGCTCCGCATCGGCCATGGCCGCGCGGCCGCAGCACGCGGCCACCAGCGCCGCGTCCGCGCCCTCCGGCGCCTTCGCGGCGCTCCGAGCGCGCGCCAGGAGCTGCCTGGCCGCCTGCGCGCGCAGCTCCGAGATCTGCTCGTGCAGCTGGAACTCGGAGTCCCAAACAGCTGCCTCTGGAAGCTCGTGGCCAAAGCTGACCTGGTTGAGACCAACATGCCCTTTTTTCGGCCCCCAGCTTTGGTAACCTTTACTTGGGGGGTGAGACCAATATTCCAACTTCGGGCCCCCCTTTTGATCAACCCCCGCCTGGCTGAATGCGCTTTCAAGCTCTTTGCAACGAGTCTGTGCCTCTGAAAGCCGCTCTTCAACTTCTGGCAACTGGCACAAAGCCTCTTTGGCGCGCTCCTCCTCTGCACAAGCAGCTGCCCTCTGTGCATCTGCACACCCAAGTAGCGCAGCCGCTTCTGCCTCTTTCCAGTCAATGCCTTCAACCCCTTCGATGCCTTGGCAGAGCTGGACTGCCTTCTGCTTCGCAAGATCCACATCTGCATCTGAAATGGTGTACGGTGCTGGCTCAAACCTCAGATGTCGCCACAGGAAAAAGGGGGAAACATCCTTTTAAAAGGAGAACCCTTTCCAAAAAAAGTAAAATAACAGGCACCACTGGGCAACCGGGAAACCGTGCTGGGATTGGTGCAGCTTCCACTTCCAGTCTGCATGGTCGACCGCGCGCTTGCCGTGCGGTGACCAGCAGCCGCGCGAGCTTCGTGGTGTAGTCGCTCTTCTGCTCCAGTCGCTCGCGCTGCAAACGCACCTCGCGCAAGAGGGGCAACAGCTCCGAGACCTCCGCCGCATCCGCCGGCTCCGCCGCATCCGGCAACGGCTCCGGATCTGGCAAGGGCTCCGGCGACGTCTGCGAGAAGTCCAGCGGCTCCGAAAGGACGCGCGCGTCGCGCTCATGTTTGGCCTCCCGCAACTCCAGCTGCATGAGACTTCGCCTGATCGCCTGCGAGTAGAGCAGCAAGTTCGCATCCTTGGCTGCTGTTGTGACCCCTCCAAAAAAGGAACCACCGGGGTCAACTTGTTCTGGGTCCAATTTGGAAAATCCCGCCTGTTGTTTCAACCAAAGAGCTGCTACCAAATGGCTGTGGCTCAAAAAGATGTACAAAATGGCACCTTGGCAAATGGAACCAAAACTACAAACCTGCGGTTTGCCCGATTTTTTCCTTCATTTTGAGCCACAGCCTGAAGTAGCAATCAAGCATCGCTTCCATCGCACTCCATCGCCTCCCTCGCCTGCGCCGCATGCAGTTGCTCCAGCTCCGCGATGAGGCCCGGCACCTCCAGGCCCCAGCGCCGATCCTCCCAAAGCCTCGGCCCCAAACTTCGCAGCGCCGCCTGCAGGCGCCGCCACGTGGTCTCGGAGCGACAAAGCTCCGCCCGCAGGCCGCAGGAGATCTGCTGCTCCTCCTGGAAGACTCGGGTCAAGTCCACCTTCCTTGGCTCTCCACTCTCTTGCTGGTGCCATAGGCAGGGAATGAGAAATGGACTTTGAACCGTTTGGGGATCCCCGAGGAACCACGGGCATCCCAAAGATCTCTTCAAGCCTGAGCCGCACGGAACTAAAAAAAAATCGCCGCCGGGCTTCGACTTCGGCAGCTCCGTCCGGGACAACTCCTCCGCCCTCATCTCCCTGAAACCCTCCGCCCTGAGCTTCAGCTCCGCAGCTCGACTCCGCAGGGCCTCCACTGCAGCAGCCCGCTGGGCCACGGCACGCCGCGCCGTCCACGCCGCCTGGGCGGTTTTGTCTTTTTTTCCTTTTTTGGAGGGGCCCGTTTGGTTGGTAAAGGAACATCAAAAGGAAAACCACCACTTGGTTCCCAAAAACAAGACATCTGGTATTCCAATGGTCGTAGTCCCAGAGCCATGCTTAAAGAATTTTGAACGGCGGATATCCACTTTGTTGGGTCCCCTAAAACAAGACAGACCCACCTCTTCCAGCTGCTCCACCTTCTGCCAGTCGCGAGGCTGCTTTGTCCCCTCAGGCATCTTCGAGTGTGAAGCGAACCGAGCATCTTGGGCCTGCCCAATACACAATGCGGCTGCCATGCGAAAATGGGTTGGCAGCAGATCTGCAAGATCACCTATAGTCTCATCTCTTTGCCACAAAGAACAGACAGTGTCTCTGTCAAACTGCCCAGCGCCTCCCGAAAATCAGCCAGGCACTCTCGCTGTGTGTGGCTCATCTTGCCGGCTACTGCAAGTGCCTCAGCTGCCTGCTGCTGCAGCTGAGCCCGCAAGTTCTGCACCTCCTACGAGTCAACATTCAGAATTTTCGACTGAGCTGAACACAAGTGAGCACCACTTCGCCATACCAGGCTACGTGGGTATGGCTCAATTGTTTATTCACCGCCCAGGAAATGGACAGGGGCATTTCGACTTGCTTCCATTTCGGGCAAGCCGTTTTGGGCAACCAACTATTCTTGACCCCCAAGAAACCCACGTCTCCGTAGACGTGGCCGTTTTTTTTGGGGGGGTTACCAACGACTGGTTTGACCCCCCACCCCACGTCTCGAAGACGCCCGACGTCCGTCCTGCTGAAGCTTCGCAGTCTTGGCCTCGCTGGCCTCTGACTCTGCCAGCGCCACTCTGCATCGAAGCTCTGCCTGGCGAATCGCCAGCGCCACCCATTTTAGGCTTCCTACTTTAGTGGGGATCATGGTACCATTTTGGGGTTTTCGTTGCACCACCCATTTTAGTCTATGAAAAGTGGGGATTGAATCGGATGTTCACTAGGAATCGGAGGCAACATGGCTTGCGGGCTCCCTTGAAATCCAGAAAACAAGGGGTACTCTCCAAGAAAGGACACACCTATGTGGGTATAAGTCAAAATGAAACCACCAGGAATTGGACTGCAGGTTTTAGTCTATGTTTCCATTTACCAGGGTTCTATTTGGGGTACCTATCTTTGACCCATACCCATATGTGCTCTGAGAGGTTGCCTGCCGACGCAAGGAGGCAAAGAGCTCGTTCTTAGCGTCCTGAGCGATGCAGCTCCACCAATCAACGGTTTCGAAACTCGATCTCACAATTCCCCATAAAAACCAAAGGAACATCTATACCAAGCATAGGGAATCCCCCATAGCAATTCAACACCAACTTGGAGAAATTAGAAAAAAGAAAAGAACAAAAACACATGGGATGGAGTGAGCCCATGGGGACGTTGCGCGAGAGCAGAGACACTAAGACCGCAGCTGCTGACCTCATGTCGCATGCTCTTTCGACGCATTCCGAGCGTTGGACGCAGCGCAAGGCCCGGCCTCTGCATCTGCCTACGGGATGAGCTGCCCTCCCTCCCTGAGACTTTCGTCAACGCCCCAACATGGCTTCGGTTGTCCTTTCGGCTTCCCATTGAAGCCAACCCAACACAAGGTTCCCTAAAAAAGAGCACACCCCAAATGGTGGTTGTCCTTTTGGTTTCCCGTTGGCACCAACCCAAAAGGGGTGCCGGGTTCCCCAAAAAACAGACACACCCATAGTCGCGTTCCTTGGCAACAAAAAACAAAAACAAAACACGCCTGCGACCAGCTCACTTTGGCTGGGCCACATGGCCAGGAGCGAACGCAGCGATTTCTGCTAAGCGGCCCTGCAATGAAGGGACCCTGTAGCATTGGCTGAGAAGGGCCCATAGCCCTGCCCATCATGGATATGCTTGCAACTCTCTCCCTGGAAAACTAAACGAATGTAACAAGAACATGCGATGAGCTGTGGCCTGCATGTCGGTTGGATGTGTACAACACTTGCTGGGTCAGCTGTGAAGTGTTGTATCGAGCCAACAATCACAAGCAGCAATCAAGAAGCAACACGGAATCGAGATTGATTCAAGCCTCAGAATGAAAGACGGTCGACGATTTTGCTCGCAGGCAAGTTAGAAGCCCCGCACCATCCTTGCTGTGTGGTCAGTTCCTTCGAGCGGCTGGCTGATACTGCTTGCCTGCCGGCCTGCCTGCCTGCGTGGTTGCTTGCTTGCTTTGCTTGGTCCTCCGCCCAGAATGCTGGCCATTTGGCAGCAGCGCTCGCTGCCCATCGCGGCCTGAAAGCATTCAATTGCTACCAGTGGCAAATTAGCAGCATCCCCCACGCTCACCCTGGGGTTCAACCCCCATTAAAAGAATGGCAAGGACCCAATTTGGATGATGTAATTCTTGAAGGGTGAATAACGGTGGTTATATTCACTCAACTAACTGCAGGCTATTTTCCTTCTTCGGCCAAAAAGGGGCTGTCATGCCCAGTGATTTCATCCGCAACTCAAACATCAGGGCTCCCCCTTCTTTTAAGGGTCTCACCCGGAAAAAGAACCTGCTCAAACCCCTCAGCTCTTCTTGAAGATGGTGTAGCCCACCCACTTGCCCTTCTCGAACTTCTCGCGCCGCCCTTTCCGGGGCGACAGATCCACCCACAGCCCTCCTCCAACGGACCAGGCAATGGTGCGCTTCGTTCCCTCGTAGCCCTCCTTCTCCGTGTCGAAGAGCTTCACGCGCTCCTTCCTGTGGACCTGGATGCCAATCTCTCCGTGGCCAGGAAGGGGCACATCAATCCACTCGTCCCGTGTCCCCTTAGGCGGATGGGACAACATGACCACCGCGCTCTCCTCAAGGTCCTGAAAGAAAGCGCGCCGCATGATCTCCAGCATGTTCTGACTCGAACCGCCCACAACCCTCCGCGAGATCATCTCCTCTCCATGCGTCCTAGGCCGCTTGTTTGCCGCCCCATCAATGCCACCGCCACCACCTCCGGTAGATGCCGATGTCCCTGATCCAAACGCCGAGGAATCCCCTCCCGTGAAACCAGAGGGCCTTGATCCCGCTTCTCCACCCCCTCCGTTCCCAGGAGGTTGTTGCCCCGGACCACTTGAACTCGAGCTCCTCACTCCGGCTTCGGGCCGCCTCAAGACCCTGAAGTTTGAAGACCCCGTCCATGGCGTCCTCCTCTCCCAGTGCTCTTCTTGCCAATTCTCGACCATCCTCTCCCAGGTCATGCCGTTCTCAGCGTCCGGAGCGATCTCGGAGATCCTGATGTAGTCCAAGTCCTCAAAGTTGATGCCGGGTGGAAGCTCTCTAGGCCTCGGAATGTAATCCCAGTAGCGCGGCACCATGTGAATGCGGGAAAGTCTAATCTCATTCTCGCGGAACTCGACCTCCCATTCATCTTCACCAGGTTCATCCTGCGATGGCCTTTCTGTCACCTCCGGAGGACCATCTCCACCACCGGCTGGTGCAACCTTTCGCAGCCGCAACCCCTCACCCACATTCCCAAAGCCTTTCACCTCCGGCGTCATCCAATTCATAGACGGTCTCCCTGACGAAGCACCCGCCTTCTCGACCACCAACGATCTCACCGAAGGACCAACCTCCTCTGTCTGCTTCTTCACAGGCCCGTCTAACTCCTTCACCTCCTTGATCTTGGCCAGGGAAACCTTCTCCAGCACCAATTGCGCTACCGCCTCTTCCGGCTCGATGACGTAGTCCTGGGATCCATGGTTCCTGACCAAAATCCTCACCTCTCCACGGAAGTCGCGCTCAATGACCGCGGATCCCGTTTCAACTCCTCTCAAAGCCAAGCTGGCCACCGTTGTGATCCTCCCGCACGTTCCTCGGGGTAACTGTGCCTTCACGCCCGTCCTCACCAGCGTGTAGCTCTCCGCCGGCACCACCACTCTGTTTACCGCGAAAAGGTTCACCCCGGCTGAGCTCTCCGTTGGCCTTTCCGGCATCACCGCTTCTGCACAGGTTCTCTGGAACCGCAGCTCTTCCTCTTTTCGCAAGCAGTTCCGCAATGCCACCACTCCAAGCTCCTTGACCAGCTTCAGCAAGATGACCACGGCGACGATCACCACCAGCCACCAGTAGCCACCTCCTTCTTCTCCAAGGTCCATCTCCTTCGCCTCCGTCAGCTCCACGCATGTAGAGGCCACCACCAACAATCCCAGGACTTTCTCCAACCTCCTGTCCCGACTGCTTTCCATCTTCTTCACCTTGACAACCTCCACCGGGCTCTCACCGCTCTCCACCGCCCCACCATAGAAGCCCAATGACTCCTTGAAGCGCCCAAACGGTGAGGCCCCAAGCTGTTTCGTGAAGCCGTCCGCGACCAGACTCTGCCCAGGAACATGTTGAAGCTGGACATCACCGAGCTTGACCGCCTCCGAAAGCGCCGCAGCCCGGATCCTCAAATGTCTCGTCCTCCAGCTTCCCGAGCTCCCGTTGACAATGGCCAGGGCCGCACTACTGTCGCTGTAGAGCCTAAGCTCCGCGGGCTTCTCCTCCAATTCCTCCACCAAGCCACCAACTCCCCTCAAAGCCGTCCAGGCTTCAATGAGCGCCGCTAGCTCGCTTTCCGCCGTACTAAGCGCAATACACGCCTGTCGCGTAGTAGCCCAGAAGACGGGGCAGCCGGAGTAGTACACGGCCAATCCCGAGATCGACTTGTGCTCATGGGCTCCAAAAGAAGCATCCGCGTAGGCCTCCACTGCATCTCGTCGACGTTCACGATGCTGTTGATGGTCCGGCCCATAATCTCCAGCACCAAGACGTTGGTACCGCAAACCTTCCCGTGACGTCCTCCACAGGTACTGCCTTCTCTCCAATCCTCGTGACCCCCCGAGGTCTCTTCGTAGTCCACTGCCCCATCACGGCTACCGCATAGGTGATGTCCGGCCTCGTCCTCGAAGAAAGCCACAACAGCTCTCCAGTGATGACTTGCGCCTGCCGCACATCTTCAGGACTCGGGGGCCCTTCCTCCTCCGGAATCCCCACTCCTCCCAGCGTGCCACCCTTGGCGATGTGATGCCGGTCCAGTAGGTCCGCCGTGTAGGACTCCTGATGCATCCGGATCCCTTGCTCATCATGAGAGAATTCGAACCCGCAAAACCGCAGGTCCTCTGTCTCCGACAGCCACTCCGGGTCGCTGGTGTCCCAAACCCCGGATCTTGAGCAGCGTCGCCGCCACAGCCCCGCGATCTCCAGTGATCAACAGGTCGTCGATGTAGACCGCCATGTAGCCCACCGTCTCATCTTGTCCGTGCCGACTGCTCTTGATCCTCCACAGATTCACCTCCTTGGTTTTCTCGAACCAGCAAGCCCATGTGCCCTCGTCATCTTCCATCTCCCAGTTGATCGCGCCCATGGTTTCGTCCCGGTGGTTCGCCCAGTCCTTGGGTGACGTAGTAAGGCCGTAAACGGATCCCTCCACCGCCCAAAGCTCTCCCGGCTCAGTGATCTGGCACTCCTGAAAGATGGTGGGAGGGTTGACCACTACGATGTCCTTGGACCGGCCCGGCGGCACTTGCAAGAACGCCGTCTTCACATCGACCCCCGCAAGAGTCCATCCTCGCTGCGCTCCAGCCGCCACCATCGCCCTCACTTGAGACGCGTCAATGCCTCCAGCGTAGGTGTCCGCCGCAGGCCTCTCCGACATGAAGTTTCCACAGGCGACCCCACGGCATTTCCGTCGTCCTGTAGCAGCTTTCCTCGTGAACACCGCTTTTCCCGGAACCCGGTCGTACGGTATGCCCTTCTCCAGCGCCTCCTTCTTGAGCGCCTCGGCTTCCCGCTGATTGATGGCCCGGATCACGCCCGAGTTCAGCAAAGCCGCCCTCTCTTCGACCATAGAAGGCCTCCACTTCTCCACTTCTTTCCTCACATCTGCCAAGGCGTAGGTCTTGGTCTGAAGAAAGACCTCTTCTTCTGTTGCCTTTCTCGCACAGGTCTCCTCAGAGTCAAGATCCTCAGCCTTCTGCATTGCCGCCAGCCATGCCCCCACTCTAGCGTCCTCCTCCGCCAGCATCCCGACGGTCTTCTTCACCATGTCGTGGTCAGCGCCTTGTTCCTCTTCTAGACGCCATTCCTCCTCCATCATGTGCCTCCCCCGGGCCTGACATTCCATCACCAAGGTTCTCAGGTCCGGCTCCCATTCTCGATCTTCCAGCGCAGGCGGCCTCTTGGATGTAATCCTCCTCCGGGGACCACCTCCTCCGGGCCGTCCATCTTCTGCTCCAGCACCACCAGCAAGTGGCCCTTCCTCTTCAGGCGGTTCCTCCGTCTCAATCACATCCGTGGTGTGGAAGAAGTTCCCATCCTCCCCCTGGACGAAGTACCCTCCCGAAGACGCCGACATAGTGACATCCGGCCCCAAGATGGTCACCTCCTCCCTGGTGGCTTCCCAATCCTTGGACCGGTGATTCCATGCCTTGGTCTTCGCCATTGCCACACTCCCGAACGCCCTCAACGGCTTGACCGGATAGTTCATGGCCTCCAGCTGCGACCTCCATCTTCGTTCCCCAGCATGCCGTGCCGCCAACGGCCATAGATTCTCCTCCACGCCCGAGCCCTTGAGCAGCGTCTTGGTCAGCCTCTTGATGAACCCCACCTCCGCCTCGGCCCGCCCATTCATCTTCCATGAGCTGCCGTCAGTGAACGTCCGCATGATGAGGCGTTCCATAGCCCATTTCTTGGCCCTCTTGGACGTGAACTCGCCTGCTCTATCGCTGTGAAGGCGCCGGACAGGTAGCCCATGATAGCGTAGCTTTGTGGTCATCTTGGCCATGGCCTCCAGAGCTTCTCCTCTCGTCTTCACGATCTCCACCAGCGTGAGCTGCCGGACCTCAAAGTCCTCTTCTTTTTCTATCTTCTTCAGCCACTCTTCCCCATCATGTGGAGATGGCTCCTCCTCCTCCTCAGCTGCTTCATCATCCCCCGCAGGGTCAAGCTCCATGTCCTCCTCCCCACGCGGTCCCTCCAGGTCCCCTTCCTCCTCCTGGTAGTAGAGCACCGTGAAGAGGTTTCGCTGCTTGTCGATCTCCGTCTGCATCGCCTTCTGATCTTCTCCGACCATGTTCTTGGACTCCAAGATCTCATGAGTGTCCAGGTCCACCGAGAGCCTCCACTTTACGAACTTCCATGCCGGTCCGCCTGCTCCCGTGCCCCTCAACTTCTTGACGTCGTAGTCCCGTTTCCTCCACCTCTTCATCTCCTTCACCGCCTCCGGTACGTCTCCTCGACCAGGACCTTCCAGCCACGCCAGATGCTCCGGGGCCAAGTGCATGAGCATTCGTCCCTGCCGGGTCACCGGAACCGTGTAGGTGCCAACGACGATGTATCGTCCCACACCTTCTTGATCTCGTCCAGGTTTGAAGGGCCCCGCCAGGTCAATCGCCAGCGTGTAGCTCTCAGGGCTCACTACCCTTCGGTGGTATCGCGCCTTTCCGGCTCCTTCCAGGCACGTGCGGCATCCCCGATGAAACGGGAGGTGGTCATTCGCCAAGTGCGCCTTCCATTGCTCGGCACTCAGCCCCTTCAGCTTCACCTGCTCCAAGCCCATGCGAACTGCCGTGGCAATCGCCTTCTTCATCCCTGGCGCCCAAGCAGCCCATTTCTTCGAAGCCGCCATCCGCTCCTCCAAGGTCTTTCCCAGCGGACCTTTGTCCGATCCTCCTCCTCGAACACCGTCCAGCTGCTCGAGCATCTCCATGTTGGTGCCTATCGTCGTAGGCTTCGTCTTTGCGTGGCCAAAGGGCCCCTGATCGAAGTGGTACTCCTTCATCTTGTAGGCCTTCTTGAACCGTTTCCACTCGTCCCAAGCCCAGTACGAAGGATACCGCTCCCGAGCTTCTGCGGCTCTTTGACCTCCTTCCACGTAGGACTCCGGATCCTGTGGATTCTCCGCCAGGAAGCCAACCTTGGACGAACTGGCCTCCTCCGCCACCATGTACAGCAGCATCGGCCTCAACCAGAGCACCGTATCTCCATCCACCTTGTCCATCAGCACCTGAGGAAGTCCATGACGCCCAAAGCGCTCTTCTCCATCTCTCGTCCTTAACGGTGGCGGTCCCGGCTGCACAAACCTCATCCTTGAGATAGTCCGACACGGAGGGCCCGCCAAGATCTGCTTCACCTTTCCCGAAGCACACAGCTCCATCAGATAGGCCATCACGCCGTCCTTCCCAACGTCCTGGCCTTCTCCCAGCTCCAGATCAATGCAAAGCACCACTCTGTCTGCTGTCTCCAACTCCTTCTCCCAGAACTTCGCGTCCGGGCCCGAATAAAGGTGGAGGATGACCTCCTTGGCCTTCTGAATCCTCCTCCTGGTCCGCCTATTCCACGGCAAACTTGTCCACTCCGACCTCGGGGGCAGCCGCTCCAGAATGCGTTCCGGCACTTCAGGAAATAGCTCCCTCAGCCTCCGAAGCCATTTGACCATCTCCAGGCCAACCTTCTCCTCCTCCTGCGTCGTCAACGGCTTCCCTCTCAACGCCATCAACCGCATCTGGTGCTTCAGCGCCTCCAGCTCCAACTCCTTGATGAGCTCCAACCCGAGGCTTTCATCTACCGTGGGGCATCCTCCTTCCAAAGCGGTGTCCAGAGTCCGCCCATGCTGATCGGTCAGCTGAAAGCGGTCCTCTTCCCACTTCACCGAGTAGCCCCTCTGCACCAGGTACCCCAGGGGAACGATGGGCTGGACCTCCTCTGTGGTCAGCAACGTCCTCGTCCACGGGATGAGCCGCAAAGAGACCGTCCCCTGCGCCAAATGCACCTCGACCTCCCGAGCCTCCTCCCACTCTTGTGTAGATACACACTGCCTCAGGCTGTGCGTCGCTCCTCCATCCAGCAGCGCCCTCTTGTTCTTAACCTCCAGGGAGCTCACTTGAATCCTCCTCAACTCAGGGCCCCTCAAGCTCTTCAGCAATCCCGCTGCTTCCTGAATGAGTCCCCGCACTGCTTCACCATCACTTCCATCTGACTGTGATGTCTTCCCTGCCCCTGACGCGGGCGATCCTTCTCCTCCACCGGTAGTAGGCGCCGATGCATCCACCTCGACCTTCCTCACGGCCTGGCCCTTCACATCGTTCTCGCTGAAGTTCTTGGCTCCGCCATCTCCATCGCGAGGCTTTCGCACCTTCACCGGGCAGTCCTTGCGGGTATGCGAAGTCCCTCCGCAATTCCAACAGCGTCCACGCTTGTCCCCGTCGAACTCATGCTTGTAGGTGCAATCCGCTCCCTTCTTGCAGCCCCCATCCGTGAGGAAGAACCGGCACACAGGAGCCGCCGAAGCATCCTTGCCCTTGCCTTTCCCTCCTCCTTTTGGGCTGTCCTTCCCCTTTTCCCAACCTCCTCCATCCTTGGTCACCAGCGCCTTGACCTTTGCGGTTGTAGTAGATGAGGTCGAAGCTCCGTGTAGTGCTGCTTCTCCTTCCGCCAGGACGACGTCCGCCAGCTGCGCCACCGCCTCCAAACTGGGAGCCACGTCCACCCGCAGTCCAGCTCGTGCCGCATTCAGTCTGAACATCGCCTGGCCAGAATGCTTCGTGACCATCCCGACGAACCGATCCAGGGCTCCAACCAGCAACGTAGCATCCGGAATCGCCACCTTCAGCTCACGGGTCCGGGCAAGCCACCTTTTCCACGTCCTCACCCCATCCACCACCTCACTCAGCGTCGTTGGCACCCGCGGCTCAACCAAGCCTCTGAGGAGTTGTGATCTCTCCGCCAGCCCTCCTGGCTGGTACCTTGTAAACACCCGGAACAGAATCTCCCAGGCCGTTGCAGCTCGCTCCGCAAGCACCTCCGCTTTCAACCCTGGTGGCAAAGCAGCCACCAACATGGCCTGTGCCCGCTGAGCCACCCGACTCCAACGACCACCTTCATCTTCCACCGCCCGCGGCCTGATGTGAAGCCGCTGCAAAGGATCCGCCTGCAACCACTGCGCGTAGGCCTCTGCCGCCACTGCAAGCACCTGATCCCACCATGCTCCGGAACTGACAGTGAGGTCCTTCATCACCGGGCTGATCAACATCAGCCAATCCCCCACCACCAATGACCCGAGCTCGCCTTCCTTCACCTCCCCCAATGCCGGCAACTCCACCGTGCGAACGGTTTCTCCAGGCGTCCATCCTCCCATCCACGGATTCATGGCCGCCGCACTTCCACCGGGACCTCCGGGTCCACCAGCGCTATAGGGCCACCCTCCATGAAACCCTCCGCCGGGTAGATGCTGATCTGCATGACGACCAGCCGCACCAAACCCACCTCCTTCGTGCCCCGATGGCTGGCCCTCACCCCGAAGACCCGCATCCTGACGTCCAGTGACCCACCCGTTTCCATAGCCAGGTAGTAGCGCTCCTTCAGAAGGATCTCCTGGTCCTTGCCCACCTCCGCGATGCGCACCTCCACGACCAGGTTCTCCCCCTCGAGGTTGTTCAGGATGAAGCCCTCCAGGACCATCATCTGCTCGACGCTCCCGAGGTCCTCCTCCGGGCGGTGCACCACCATAGGCTCCCGCCAGCGCCGTTGGGGTTTGGTACCCGCTCTGATCTCCAGGTCCTCCTTGTCGTGCTCGCAGCACCAAAGGTCCGCCAACGCCACCTCCTCCCGGAAGACCCAACAGATCACCACCTCCCGGAGCAGCACGAGGCGCGTCCACCCCAGGCCCCATCCCAGGACCACGTGGTGCATCCCCCAACTCCTTCATGGCCTTGCTTCCACCGCCTTCACGCACCTGCTCCTTGAGGCTTTTCATCTCTTGCCAGAGCGCCTGGTTCTGCGTGATGACCTGCTTGAAGGCACCGAGGAGCTCATCAAGGCCACCCGCCGGGATCTCCGCGCTGTAGATCGAGCCCACCGGCAGCGCTCCCGGGCTTACCAGCGACCCTTGTTCCTCCTCCACCTCCGGCAGATCCTTCGGGCGAAGCGCCTTGAGCTGCGCTTCCTCCTTGGCCTTTTCTGACCAAAAAGGATTCACCGCCACCGCCGGCCCCAGCGGCACCGCGTCCTCGCGGCTTGGCTGCCACGGCACCATCGCCGTCTCCGGCGAGTCAGCGGTCTGCGCCGACCCAGCCGAGGATGCCATGGCGTGCCCTTAGGAGGGCCTACAGGAAAAACGTTGGGCTCATAACCCACTCAACTAACTGCAGGCTATTTTCCTTCTTCGGCCAAAAAGGGGCTGTCATGCCCAGTGATTTCATCCGCAACTCAAACATCAGGGATATTAACCCCCTTTCATCTAATGCTGGCAACTGAATTGCAGGGTACATGTGTTTATCATCTATTTGTGAGAAAACGCACAGCACAGCCGAATTCGGACCTGCCTTTGGGATTCCTTGCCGGACCTCACGAATACCAGCCAAAAATGCATGAAGTCAACCGAGTCAAATGCATTGCGAGATGTGGGTTTGTCTCTTTTTTTGGGACCCCTTTTGTTAGGTGGTTTTAAAGAGAAACCAAAAAGAAAACCACCATAGGTATATGATATAAGTATCATTATTATTAATATTATTATACGTATGTTAATATATGAATATGTATATATATATATATATACATATATGTCTATGTATATAAATAATATGTATGTGCATATATATATATATGTCTATATGTGTATAATATATATATATATATCGTTTGGGGGGGGTCCCTAAAAAAAGACCCGCCCATGTGCTGCAATGCGTGCTGGCCTCGGCGCGCCCTTTGCCGCGGGCTTCTCGGCAGCAGAGGCCTCCACTCTCCGGCGCTTGGCTTTGTCTGCCTGGCCAAGGACGCGCAGAGGCTCAGAGGGGTCGTTTTGCCACCAAAGGGCTGGGAAAAATGATCGACCCCCAGATAAGTGAAGCATTGCTTGTTGAGGGGGTCGCCAATTTTCTCACAGGTGGCCAAAAAAACGCTTCTGAGGACGCGTGGCGGTGGCTCAAAACATGTACCAAATGGCAGCTTGCCGCGTGGAAACATGGGTCAAAACCGTTTTGGGATCCCATTTTGGGGTTTTCGGTGCACCACCCATCTTAGAACCTATTTTAGAGGGGAATGGGATGTTCACTGGGGGTACGGGGTTTTGACCCATGGCCACATGGAAACAACCCTGAACACATGCGGTTTGCCCTGGTCTTCAATGTTGAGCCACACCCTTCGAGTCGGCAGTCAACATTTGTGAAGCATGGACAGTTCTTGCCTCGTGCCGCTTCTTTGGCGACGCAGATTGCTTCTTGGAGACGTGTTCACCTGAAAGTTCCAAGCAACCCAAGATTCAGCCGTGAACCTAAGAAAGCTCAACTCAAACACTGGTCATTCAAGTCTCTATCTATTCATCCCTTGCTGCTAATTCAGCTGCCGTCTGATTGGTAGTTTGGATTGGTGGTTGCGTGGTTGAGGGGTGGGTTTCCCATTTACTCTAGAAGAATCAGGGGTTCAAATCCCAGACCACCAATCCATACCACCAGTTGAGGGTTACCTGAAGACTTGCAACCGCGGATGGCCGGGGCGCCTCTCACCTTTGACTTGTTCGCCCTGGCTGCCAGCATTTCCTCCAATCGATGCATGAGGAATGGAAGTGATCCACGGAGCGCAAAAAACAACCTAGAAAAGTGATAAACATGATAGCAGCAGGTCAGTTTGCATGTGAATGAACATGGTCATGATCCGTGCAGGGGCGCAGGATCCACAGACACAAAAATCAACTGCCAAGCAATTTAGTAGCTTCCCGATGAATGCGCGATTGGCATTTTTTCCGGAACACATCCCAAGCAGTTGATCTCCTTCAACTTGTTTTCCGGAAATTCTTTCCGGAACACCTCCCATGCAGTTGATCCCATGCCTGGCGGAGCTTCTCCTTCAACTTGTTCTCCTGGCGCAAGCATCGCATCCAAATCTCCTGGAGCTACATAGAATTTCGAGCCTTTCGACGAGCTCGTTCCTCCGCGGTGCAGGCAGAGAAAGGCGATCACAGGTTTTTTGCGACTGATCGGTATGGGCATGGGTCAAAAAAATTCGCCACCAGGAATTGGACCCCACCAGAAAAAAAGCTAGCTTGTATTTTGGGGCTAGCCTTTTTTTTGACCCACGGCTCCACATGTGATCATGCGAACCGGAGAAATGCAGACCTGCTTCTCCAGCTTCTTTGCCTTCTTGCTGTCTTTGTCCTCTCTCTCTGTGACAGATCAAAGGGTTGCAAACAACCATGGGTCTGTAGTTAGCGGCCCATGTCTTGCTCCTTTTTGCGCTCCTTCTTGTCTTTCTCAACTTTGACCTCATCTCACTTGGCGTTTCTTGGTTGTCAGGCTGACATATCTGGAGGCCTCTGGGTCTGTACTCAGCTCGTCTTCGCCGCCCTCGGCCTGTACTGAACCAAGCGTGCAGGCAAAACAAGCACGGAGCCGGCCTCTTGCTCTGCTTGCAGGTTCTTCTCCTCGTGCCCCTGTCTCATGTCTGGAGCCGTCGTCTCAGCTTCTGCCAACACCAGCTGCGCGACCATCGGACTGTCCGTCTTTGGCGCAGGTGGAGATGCCACAACTGGCGCTGCAGCTGATGGAGCCGTCACTGGAGCCACCGAAGCTCGGGCCGGAGCTGCTACCGTAGCTCCTGGAGCTACCGGAGCTGCTGGAGCGACCGAAGCTGCTGGAGCTGCGGGTACCAGAGCAGATGCTGCCTTTAGAGGCATCGCGAAAGTGACCTCCCGCGAGGTGTCCCGAGTCTCGGGAGTTTCTGGCACTCTCGGCGTGGAGGATGTCAGCAAGGACTTGTTGATGTCTTGAGTGACCTCAGACATCTCAGATGGGCCAGGATCCCAAGTCGAACCCGGTTGCCACCGGGCTGCTGATGCGCGTCTACCAGTGCATAACTTCTGGATGTCAATCTTGACCTCAAGCTGACCACTACTAAGCTCTTCAGAAGAGTGAGTATGATTTGGCTCAGCCTCCCGCATTGATCCATTTACCTTCACAGTGCTCCATCCATTGGTTTGAGCTCTTGTCAACCTGCATGTGGCTGTGGGTCCAAAATGAGGTACCCAAAGTGGCTTGCCCTGGTAAATGGAAACAAGGACTAAAACCTGCAGTCCAATTCCTGGTGGCGAAAATTTGCTTGACCCATAGGCACATACCCATGTCAAGAAAAATATTCCTCGCATGCGGGTCCAACACCTTTTTGCTCCTGCCTCAAAGGCAAAGCCGCACCTTCGTCGCAGCTTCAGTGGCGCACGTGTTCAGAGGAGACAAACTGAGTGATGGACAAGCCCCCGCGCTTTGCATTCTCCAGCATATCCTCTCCTGGCACAAAACAAATAATATAACGACCGAGCATGGCCATAGAAAACTTGCTGCCAAACTGGATTTCGGTTTTCCCTTTGGCTTCCCTTTAAAGCCAATCCAAAAAACAGGTCCCCACTCCAAACAAAGGACGAGCCGTCCAGATGTTTTCGCGTCGGATCTGAAGGCCCTGCCTGTCGACTCAGCATCATGCACGCTAATGGCCCACCTTTTCAAGGCCGCCTCGAGCGATGGCGCCGGCCAAGTCAGAGCAAGCCATGCTGGCAACCTGTTGTCTTTTTTTGGGGGGAGGGCTGCCCCTTTCCTGGTGGTGTTCAATAACCCAACTCCGTTTTGGGGGTTCCCTCAAGAAACGAGCGAGCGAGCCATCGGAGCGATCCCAGTGCCTGGTAGTACATGAAGAAGCGTCGACGCTCATCCCAGTAGGTGGCTCGAGAGCCTCGAAGCCGACGATGTGAATCCAAAGATCTCCATGGTCACCCAGCTGTGGTGGTCAAGAAAAGGTATCTAAGAAAGAAACCTGGTAAATAGACATATTTTTCAAATATGGACTCAAAAAATCCTGGGGTCCAATTCCTGGAGGTGACACATTTTGAACCATACCCACCTATCTGCAGAGACGAGTCCAGAAAGTAGACAGCGTTCAGCTCAGGAGTATGGAATCCACCTGCGATGGATTTCTTGAGTCAACTCAACCCCCTGAGCTAAAATGAGGCCTCTGATCTGAACTGTATCCACAGCAAATGCCTGCAAAAAATCGTGGGACAGCTACAGGTTAGCATCTGGCGGTCATTTCGCTTGCAGTCCTGCTTGCTCTGCGGCGGCAAGGTTGAGGGTAAGGTTGAAGGCACCTTGAAGCTAGCGCCAAATCGACCAAAACGCTGAAGGCATCCTTTTGCAGCCACAAAAAACAAACGATCGCAGAGCTTGCTTCTCAAGACTTGGCTGTGCCAACCAAAAAAAAACGGGAATCCAAAAGGGCTTAAGCCATGGGAAGTGGAAACATGGAAACCAAAACCTGCGGTTTGCCCCGATCGTTTAATTTGGAGCCACACCCACTGCTTCAAGAATTTAGAAGGCGGATCTCCGCAGCTCTTTCCGGTTGGGATCGTCCCTTACTAACCGGATCATCAATCCCCGGGTTTTGAGCAAGTGACTCCCTCGCGCCACTCGCGGCTCAGATCCACCCGGCCGAGGTAGCGACTTTGGAAGCGGACGACGCTGGCTTGGAGCTGGCCTCGGCAACAATGGAGATCTTTTAAGGCGCCCTGAAAAAGGGCATCCCTTTTTTTGGGTTGGTTGAGTTTAAAAAGGGGAACCCTTCCCAAAAAAAGATGTGGAAAACAGGTCGCCACTGGGCAACAATGGCAAAAGGCAAAAGGCGCCTTTTCTGGGAGCACATTTGCTAGTCTTGGTAAGGGCAAAGCGCTGGGCCGATCTCTCGCCGGCAGGGGCAGGGCACCTCGCGGATTAAAAGTGGGCTGTCCGTGTTCTCATCCCCTGGGAAGAGTTTTAACTTGTGGGCTACATGGAAACGCGACCAAACCCTAAAAAGCTAACAAGCTAAGGTGGAAACCCAGCCACTAAACCCTAAAAAGCTAAAAAGCCAAGGGGATGGCCGGGAGCCACCGAGAAAACCACAGTGATTAAAGAATTGAGAGAGCCTCCGCATGTCTTTCTGGTATCTCGTCTTCCACAATGCAAAATTGGCTTGATCTCGTCTTGGACTCGTGTAAACTCGTTTTGCAACAAAACCGAAGCAAATCAAGGGTGCCATCTCTACACTGCGGGCGGGCAGGCGGGCGAGCAGGCGGGCGGGCGAGGGCAGGCAGAAGGCCGGCGTGCGGGTCGCGGGGGGCGGGCGGGCTACGCCCGAACATTTAACGAGTGCCGCAACATCTCAAACTGTTAAGATGCCCGGCCATCATCTTGGGATGCTGGGGCGGGCGGGCGGGCGGGCGGGCGGACAGGGGCCGGCGAGCGGGCTACTCTCTGCATCGCAACATCCAAAAATCTTAAGATGCTCGTGCATCATCTTCGGATACTGGGGCAGGTAGCGGGCGGGCGGGCAGGCGTGTGGAACGCAGTATGCCGGATCTTAGATGTAAGCTATTGCGGCATCTAGTCAAGATGTTGGGGTGTTGGATGTGAGGGCATGGTCCCCAGCCTAGTGTCTGCGTGGCCACAATGGCACAAATCAGGCTCTGAAATCAATTCACGTCACAAAAAGTACGCCAAGATAATTGTGTGTGTAACTGTGTATGTATGGAAATTGTTTCTGAACTTCGCATGCACTGCCTGTGCTAGAGTGCTCTTCTGAATCTTTTCACAGCCTTGCCTGCCGTCAAGCTGGTCGCCCGGACAGCGTGCTCCTCAAGGCGAAGAGCCGGGCGCGGAGCCGCTCTTTGCGCCAAGGGCCAGATGCTGAGTCCAGGGCGATCAGAGATTTCACACGCACTTGTGGTGCATCTTTCCAATCCTCGCCGATCAATTCTTGCCAGACATCTCCCAGGTGCCTGGGCGGGGGTCTCCCTCATTTATCTCCGGCGCGAAGCGAAAATCGGCACATCTCTCCGGGCGCACTGAAAGGCACAACCCATCATCACCCCGTTCTGCGCCTAAGGCAAATCTCTTCAAAAACAACTTCAGCAGCGCATGGGAAGTTGAGCTGGCCAAGTTCCGGTCCAGAGACCCCAACACTCAGCTGAGAGCTGCGCTTCAATCAGTCTGTCGCTCCCATGTTGCTTTCTGGGAGATATGACCCATCGCCGGTCCTAGCAAGATGCACTCACTGGGATTCACCACACCTCCCTCCAACTCCTACGGACGCAGCCTGCCTTTTTCCCGGCTTTGTCACACGGAAACGCGCGAGGCTCTGCCAGAAATTGGGCAGAGCGTTGCAGCTTGCAAGCAAGGGTGCTCGAGAGGTCAACATCTATCTTTGCTTCAACTCGTGCATGGGCCACAAGCACATTCCTGCTTGTCATTAACTTCAAATGTTGCTGAGGGGCAAGAAAATGAAAAACCCGCATTGGCAACGCAGTTCGAGAATTCTTGCCCCCCCGCACGAAATATGCTTTGTCTTGGCTGGTCCAAGAAAACCGATTTATTTACTTCGCCGCAGGGCTTACTCAATCGAATCCACGGCCTCAGCTGCATCATGGTGCGAAATTCACTGGGGGGCCTGGTGGACATCTTTTAGGTGGGGATTTGTGTCCACCAACCCTTTAAAAGGGGGCTCCCCATTAAAATTCATAGACATAAACCAAAAACGAAAACCCCAAACTGAGCTTCCCGCCGTGGCAGTGATACCCAGTCTCTTGAGGCCTAAGCAAAGTATGACTCGAAAATGGCCCCCGCCAGCCCATAGAACGGACTTGCTTCTCTGTCTTCCGCTGCATTGGTCCGAGGCTTCCATGTTTGCATACACCCGATTCACGGCAGCCATGATGCCGGCCTTTCTTCATCTTCGCTGCCAAGTCTTTCCATTCTCCGAAATCTATGCCTGCAGCATGCAGGCGTCAAGCTCACTCGAGGCACAGTGGAAGCGCAAGCGCAAGGTTGCTTGAAGATCTGTGCCACAAGCTGAGATGACCACATGTCTATGTGCAAAAAGAGACGCATCCAAGGGGCCCTCTGGCTTGCTTGAGAAACCTCTCGCGTTCCACAAAAATCCCAGCCGCGCCTTGGCCAGGAAGGAGTGCACGGGCGCGGATCTCATCCTTGAAAAGAAAACAGCGCAAGAGTCCGAGCCTATCTCGCCATAGGCGTTAAGCGGAGAGAGGGGTGAACTCGTTCATTCTCGACGCTTGCAAACACGAAAGCCGAGTTTCGCAAAAGACTGCCATGGTCATGAAATGACACTTGGCTTGCGCACTGATTCAGCCTTTGTCAGAGAAAAGGCCACGGCCGACCTGGACCTGAGCCTTTCATGCACTCAGATCAGCGCCGACTGTCTATGCAGCTCCATCCTCGGCAGAAAAGGTCATGAAAAGCTCAGGCAACCAGATCTTGGAATGTCTGAGTGCCCTGCGCTGACTCTGGTGCTACGGCCTGCAATCTGCAATGCAGGCCATGCGCCAAGGCCTGTATTGACGTGACGTGACGTTCACATTGTGCAGAATGGCTTGCGGACGAACTCGTCCCACCTCTTTGGCCGGAATAGGGTCTGGAGTTGTGTCTTTGACAACTGCGACCGCCATCCAGTCCTGACGCGCCAAGATCCGGCAGTGCAGCAAACAGAAAATTGAAAACTGCCTCCACTGGCATGGCAAATTCTTGCCTGACAACGGCCAACTCAAAGCAAGGCCAATGAACAATGATTTTGCCGATCTGAGACAAGCACACGGAAAGCTGCTGCACGCTGTACTTTGGGCTGGTCGCCAACCCTGAGATCGATATACACCGAGCAGGTCACATGGGTGACTGAACCAGAAGTCGATTGGCTAAAAGCACAATACAAGCAGGCAAGAATGCTGGGGCCACATTCAGTAATTCAGGTGAACGTCCACAGGCAGAACGCTATGCCCCCGGAACACAACTTTCAGTTCACTTGAGTGCTAGGCCTTTAACAAGACTGTGAGTGCTGCTCGCCGGCCAAAATGCGCAGTATTTCTGGAGAACAATGTGGGCTGGCGGGGCTTCCGAAAATGGCTCCGACCAAAGAGTTTGCTCCAAATCCTCATGCAAAGCCCATCAAAAAACGGTCAACCCTGATCCTGAGTACAAATTCCTAGCCGAGTCATAATCAAAACTTGGTACAAAAATGGTGCACCCAGAACCATGTAAAGAACTAAGAAGGCGGCCGCAGCTATTTATGGTTGGGATCGTCCCTTACTAACCTTCATCTACCCAGGTGTTGATTGTGGCTCAGCTAAAAATCACCCCAACCCTTGTGAAATTGAGGATGCAATCGCAGCCGTGTTCGTATGCGTGTTGATGACTGGCTCAGCTGGAGCTCATGCTGACTCGTGATTCAAGCGCCGTGGAAAAAAAAAAAAAGCACTCGCCAGAAAACTCTCCACCACTCAACACGTGACTGCCGTGTCTTAGCGACCGGCGCCACAGGAGCAAAGGAGCTCCAGGTTTCAGAACCTCTCCCAACCGACACCAATTGATAGCTTGGTGCGATAGGGAATGAGGGAATCAGGGAATGAACCCAGGCTTTGGTCCCCGAAGAAAGCAAACCACAAGGGAAGGTTTATAGGGGGTCATTCCAACTCATTCCCTACCTATCGCACCAGCCAGAAAACCAAACGCACCGGGTCGCTTCACCGATTCGTCACCTTGCCTGCAAACAATTCGATCTGGGTGTGCCCTCTTTTTAGGGGACCTCCCTCACATTGTGTGTGTGTGTGTGCTTCCTTTTGGTGTCCCTCTAATCACCCACCAAACATGGGGTACCCCCAAAAAAAGGACGAGCCACCCATCTCGATGCGGCTCAATTCTTGGCGCCGGGCATTGTCTGCTATCACCACAGCGCCGGGGCGCAAAAGCCCTGAGCCTGCGGATCAATTCGATCATGTGGCTGGGGTTGTCAAAAATAGGCTAACCCCAAAAATGGGTTGCCCTGGAAATGAAGCCAAGAGCTAAAAACTGCGGTCCAATTCCTGGTGGTTTAATCTTGACCCATACCCATGTGTGTCTGTGTGTGTGTGTGTGTTTGTTTGTTTAGGTCCAAAATGGTGGTACTGTGGATGGTGGCAAAATCCGGAAAACCATGGAGCTGAAACCATAAGGAGCTGAAACCAATGAAACCATGGAGCTGAGTTGGTAAGAAAACCAATGAAACCATGGAGCTGAAACCAGGGGGGGTTTGTTGGTATTTACGTTGGGGGAATCGAAGCCTTCCCTTGGGTTTCTGAAACGGTGGTGCGTTGGATGGATTTCGTCCACCCACAGTATTCGTCGTGGTGTCCCTTGAAGCCTCAAAAAAACACCCGCATGTGTGGTCCCAATGGGTACATGATGTCTCGTCTTACCCTGCATTTAAGCCAGGCACGCTCCAAGTTGTGCAAATCTTCGTGGTAAAGCCTGGGTAAGCTGAAGAAGCGAAACAGGGCCCATAGTTACGCAGAAAGCCCAGACAAACTGCCACTCCACTCTTCCACTCAAGTCAACACCGAGCTTGCTCGATAAGGCGCTGGCGAGCCGCGCTGGTCCATGAAAACTGCGCCAAAGGCGCTGCTCCTGCACATATGCGTGTGTGTCTTTGGACCCCTTTTTGTTTGTGGTGTTTAAAGGAACGCCAGAGGAAAACCGCCATTTTGGGGGGTCACCTCAAACAAGGCGGATCCACATGGCTGTGGATCAGAACCAAGGGGATCCCATTTTGGGGTAGGTGCACCACCCATTTTAGAACCTACTTTAGTGGTTGGATTGGGATGTTCACTGGGGGCTAACCGATTCGGATTTCGAAAAGCCCATGCCCAAATGGCTATGAATTTTAGTAGGGAACCCCCTCCAAAGTGGTTGGACATGGATTTTCGCCGAATTGTGGTGTCCACCACTTGGCCCCTACTTAAAATTCAGACCCAAAGCGGACATGGGATGGTCTGTCTTGGCCTGGATGTTGACCTACGGTGTGGGAATGAATCGGAAGGCATTTCCCAGAAAGGAAACCAACTCGGAAATGGATGGTTTATTTCTTGAGGGGTCATTCCATTTCTCGCTCCATGCTGCAATTTGTGCGACGGCCGAACCCTCTGGCCTGGTACTGTTACTGCACAAGCGCATCAGCCTCTCGCTGAGCTTACGGCTCGCGTGTCTGCGTGTCCAAAGGGTCACAGGAGATGTGGCTCATGGCTGTGGGTGTCAAACATAGGGTAACCCCAAAATGGAATCCTGGTAAATGGAAACATGGACCAAAACCTGCGGCCCCATTCCTGGTTTAATTTTGACCCGTACTCACATCATCACACTGGGTGAGCTGCACAGCAGTGCTGTGCCTTGGCACCAAGGCAGGGAGAGCTTTGCTCCGTTCGCGCAGCCAGCTGCACACACGTAATGATTGTAGGCGAGGCACCCCGTCCAAACCACAACTTGTGGTGGCTCCAAGCCTGCCAGGCTGCAAGGCTGGTCGTTGCGAAGTCAACAAGACCTGCCTGCAAACGCAATCACATTTCTCGCGATCAGCACGTGCGCGGGATCCTTGGGATCCGTCGCTGGAGAAAGCAAATCTGAATCGAGTCCAAGGGTTCTCCCAATCCCGGGGAGTATGCCCTCGGAATCACCCGATGTTTGCCTATTGCCAGATAAGTTCCGGCCACGTTGGCTTATTTGGGACTCTTTGGTGCAAATAGCAACAAACAATGGTTTCCCGTGGTTTCAAAGTGGTGCAGGATTTCGTCCATCCGCAGGAATCCTTCGGCTGAGGCTGCAACCACATCCACACTAACAATCCTTGCTTTCGGCAGTGCCACGGCCAGCTGCAGTGCAGAGTAGCCTGGGATTTGATTCGAATGCCAACATGCACTGCGTCATCGCCCTCATGTCGGTGTGTCTTTTATTTGATGGTACCCTTGTTGGTTGGAACCAAGAGAGAAACCACACGGAAAACCTATTTATCCTTCCTTCTTTTTTTTTGGGGGGGGGTCCCAGAAAAAAGACACCCCAGATCAGGGAATGCGTGAGAAAGGAACATTTTGGTGTCCCCCGCAAATAAAGACCGCAATGATTTGGCCATGGGTCAAAAGCCCGTACCCCCTTGTGAACATTCCAATCCCCACTAAAATAGACTAAAATGAGTGGTGCACCTACGCCAAAATGGTACCATTCGTTTTGAACCATGGCCATTTGTGCTTCTCGTCACTGAGCTGAGCGGCCGCAGTACGTGCCAATTTCCAGGACCTGAATCCGATGATTTTTTTTTTCTGAGCCGCTCGAGTGCGGTCCGGGTCCGGCCAGGAGACGCTTAACAGATTTGCTTTCGGCTTGAAAAATCTAGGGTTTGATTCCCCATTCTTTTCAACCATGTTCTGTTCACAAGCCAGCTGTTTCCCCTGGTTTCTTTGCTGGTTTCCCGAAAAAAACATGGACTCCTGGAAAGAATCCAAAACTGGAAGCTTCCCCCAGATGAAAAACCTTCACAAAAAACCGGAGGCGCCAACGCAACAAAAGCCGCCGCCGCCGGCTCAGGAGCCAGCCCTGGAGTTCGGAACTGCACCTTTGGCTGCGCAGGTAAGGATCGAGGCCTGCGCGCAACGATCGAAACCGCTCCCCTCGGTCGCTCGGCAAAAAATGCGAAATGGAAGGAACCGTTTCGGGGGATTCCCGAAGAAAGGAAACTTGAAAGGGGATGGTTTTTTTTTTTTTTTGCGGGGCATTCCATTTCTCATTCCCTACTGAGCACCAGCAAGACAAAAAAAAATGGGGTTGATCAAGGTCCTTTACACGGGATGACCATGAGAGAAAACCACCACAGAGATTCTATGTCCCACTAAACTGGAAAAGCTACCCATGGTCATTTGCGGGCCGAAGGGAATATTGATCAACCCCCATTTCCCCTTCTCACAACTCGACTCCTCACTCGCGAACCAAAGTTGCCTTGGAACTTCCAGCCACCTTCAGCCAGGCTCGTGCCTTGCCCAGCCTCGGACGCAAGCGAAGCCACGTGTCTGCCGGTCCTCGCCTCTCTTTTCCGCTTGGATGCGGACACCTGGCTTCCGAAGCTCTCGATGCTGCTACATACCGAGCTCGGGCTGCCAGCTTCTGCCGTCTGAAGGACCTGGGAAGTGCAAAACGGCCCTTTCCCAAGAAGAAAGTAGTCTTTCTACAGGGGTCTGTGCACTTCCATGTTAGCTGGTGGGAGGGTAGCTTTTTCAAGTGGTGGTTTGGCTCCTAAGTGGTTTGGAAGTTAGAGGGCTTGGAAACCCCATGTACCTTCAGCAAGAACCAGGCATTCAAATGGCTAAATCGCAAACCATCCAAACCGCCAAGGTACCCGAAATTCCAGCTTCCGTTCTGGGTCCCCGCCTTGCCTGAGTCCCTGAGTCGGGACCCGAGGCTGGCACGTGCAGCAGCAACCCCAGCTCTTTGGCATATGGTGCTGTCGCAAAGCCTGCAAACATGAAATGAGTCACTTGCTCAAAACCCGGTAGTAAAATGGTCGTAATCCCAGAACCATGCTTCAAGAATTAAGAAGGCGGATATCCGCGGCTATTTATGGCAGGGGGATTGGCCCTTACTAACCTTCATCTACCCGGTTTTGATTGTGGCTCAAATATCTTCTCCCCCCCGCCTCTCGCACATCGATTACACCAGTAACCCTTCAGCTCTCTGCAAGCACCAAAGGAAACTAATGAACCACCCTGCAAATAAACAGGACCCAAAACAAAACAGAAGGGGCAACCATGGGGGCCTGCGTTTTTTGAGCAGTAAAATCATGGAAAACCAGAAAAGCAACAATCTGGCAGACAAAAGCCCAGGCAAGCCATCTCCTTTTCGCCGCCCTGGGGAAGCAAAATCATTGAATCCCGAAAGGCCTGCACTACTCGCGGCTCCGACAAGCCCTGCCGGTCTCCTGAGCCAAAACCACATGGGTGGGGCTCAAAATTACATGACTGGGGCAGACCGCAGGTGCTAGACTTTGGTTCCATGAACCAAGGTGCCATGTTGGTCTCCAAAATTTTTGGACCCACAGCCACATGGCAGTGGCTCAAAATTAAACGATCGGGGCAAGCCGCAGGTGGTCCATGTTTTCACCTACCAGGGCTTGCGCCATGTTGGAATTCCGGTTTTTGCGAGACCCACGGCCACATGGATGCGCCCAAGGTCAGCCCGTCCTGGAAACCCGGAACCTGGGCCTGGGCCTCACGGCCGGGAGGCTGACCTCGCGCAGCTTCGCCTGACTGGGTGGGAACTTGAACCGGCGTGGGCCAAAACCGTTGTGGGATCCCATGGGCTGGGTGCATTCGCCACCCATGTTAGGCTTCCTATTTGAGTGGGGCTAGTGGCCGATTTTAGTGGTTGGATTGGGATGTTCACTGGGGGCTAACCGATTTGGATTTCGAGCCATGGCCAACTGTTTGGGGATTCCAGAAGAAAGGAAACCACCAGTTGGATGGTTTTTCTCGGGGTCATTCCAACTCGTTCTGCCGAGCACAGGCATGTTTTCTCTCAAACTCTCCCCCCTGCCTGCCACTGCCCTGACTCGGGTTGTGCCGGCAGCAGTGCCAGGATATCTCCCTGCGCCTCGACAAACACGCGAGCCGAGAGCGAGCCGGCAGCCGCGGCAGAGGCGCCCAAGGCGCGCAGCTAAGGCGGCAGCCCAAAGCCAGCCGGACTTCAGCTCCGCCTTAAGGACTCCCAAGGAACGTAGGTGGCCTTTTGGAAAAATCGATGGGTTTCCCTGGTACATGGGGCCTAAACCCCATCTGAAACAGGAATCGCCCTCGGTTCTTTTTCAAGCAAGCCAACCAAAAAGGACACCTATGCCAAGGAATCCCCCCCCCCCCCCCCCGACTCTCTCGATCGAAACTCGCATTTTCAGCCCAGCCACCAAAAGCTGCTCCTCGGCACCTGCGCCGCTCTCTGAAAGCCCCAGCTGTTTTACTGCCAGCGGCCAAGCCTCGATCGCCCGTCTGCTCGCATTCCGTCAGCAGCCTGTCTGGCAAGCTGAGAGTCGGTGGAGGCTCAAATCAGGCAGCTTCGGCTGCCACACGGCTCGAGACCCTCTGAATTCAACTGGGCAGCCGAGAGCAGCTGTTGACAGCTCGAGGCCTCAAGCACGAGTGGCCAAACGTGGTCTCAAACATCTGAAACGGACCCAAGATGGTGAGTTTCCTGTTGGTTTCCCTGAACAACCACACCAAAAACGGGTACCCTCAAACCCCCCCCAACAAATCAAAACACAAAAAATGCGGTTGTCCTTTTGGCTTCCCTTTCAAACCTGCAGAATCCTGCCAGAAAGGAACCTCAATGTCCTGATCAATCAAAGCTGTTGCCTATGGCTACATTCCTTTGTTCCAGCACCCTCACATAAAGCACTGAGGATCGCGGCCCATCAGCAAACTGGTTCCAGAGCTGCAACCCCGCCTGCCTCACGCATCTCACACGCCCAAAAATACACTCCCACTAGAAATCCTTCACCAGGGAGTGGAAAGCTTTTGGGCAAACATGCAGCAAATGCTGGCATTGGGCCTCTCTTTCTCTCCTCCTCTCAGTTTCGATCTTGACAATATGAGAAACTCGGAATTTTGCAGGCAGTAAGGGCCCGTCAAATTGCTGCACCGAGCGCTTGCTTGGATGGCCGCATTGAAGCCAGGCGTCAAGCCTGCCCAAAGACTTCTGGCAAGTGAGATGCTTTTGAACATCTGGTCTCCCGACGTGTTAAGGCGAGGCTTTGCATTGAGGGTCTGGACTACGAGCAGCGTGTGAAAACAAACCTGCGGACCCGTTGCCAGAGAGAGAGAGAGAGACAGAACAGAGAGAGAGAGAGAGAGAGATAGAGATAGAAACAGAGAGAGAGAGAGAGAAGAGAAGCGAGCGCGCAGAACACACGAGTCCGTTCGATACCATTGGCCCACACAGTACGTAGCCACATATTTGGAGGAATGCAGAAAGTGCACGCCCAGGCAGTCATATGTTCATTTCATGGCTTCAGTGGACACGGCCAGTTGCGTTCATGGATACACATGCATCATATACATTATTGGAAAGCAGCAACATGCTCAGCAGTCTCGGCTGTTTAGAAACGGACCCAACAGTGACATGTCCCGACAAAATCAAGTCTAAGTCGGCAGCCCCCACCTTGGTCTTGCGTATCCTCGCTTTGCCTTGCGCTCTCCCGGGCCTTAACTTCAAACAAGCTGAACAGGTGAGTCATAAACGAAGCCGATCGGTACTAAAATGCCCGATCCCTAGAACCATGCTTCAAGAATTATTCCAAGCGATCACCATCGCTTGGGAGTGTCCCTTAACCTTCATCTACCAAGGTTTTCTTGCTGGTGCGATAGGCAGGGAATGAGAAATGGAATGACCATTTCTAAACCATCCCCTTATGGTCTCCTTTTGGGGCATCTCCGAAACGGATCCTTCCATGTCTCCTTCCCTCTCGCACCTTTCAGACGCAAAATCTTGAGCCAGTGGCTCAGGTCTCTCAGCTGAGGCCTCCGGCGAGGCCCAGGAGGTGGAAGCATCTCTGCCACTGGTCGCCTCGCTGCGCAGCGGTTTCGCACGCGGCTTCAAAGCGAGGCCTGGAAGCCACGCCGCCCAGCGGCCCCCCGTTTTTTGAAAGCCGCGCCTCCGTTTTTTTGTTTGCCCTTTTCGGCGGTTGGGACTCGGAGGCAGGTTCTGCGGATGCAGGGTTTCCATCCAACGCACCCTTCCGAAGCCCGAGGAAGTCCCCAACGCAAATACCAACCAATGGCTTCAGGGCTCCTTTGGCCCGAGCCAAAGAGCGGCTGCCCACTTCGACGCTCGCACATGAGATCTTAAGCAAGGCTTGGCTCCGCGAATGATTGGTACGGAATTTCTGCACTGGCGTCAGTGCGCTGAGGAAGTGGGTACTCCTGGCTGCGTCAAGTCGGAGAAAGCAAAGCAAACGTTTGGGAACCTAACTGATTCAGGCTGAATCTGTAGAAGTATCCCACCATCCTTGAACTTTTGGAGAATGATCTTGGTGCCATTGATGACGTTGCACCCTGCATGCCACGTCCTGATCACGGCAGAGCGACTGGCACCTGCGCTTCAAGAGCGCACGTCTCTTGGCATGTCCTGAAGCTCCGGCTGTCCGAGGGGAACAGCAGAGCAGATCCCGGTTGTGGCTGGAAGGCGAGCCCGTTCTCACCGCGGCAGCCTCAAGTGATACTCAAAACCGATATGTGTGTTGAAATGGCCTACCCAGAACCATGTAAAGGATTAGAAAGGCGGAGAGGGCATCCATGTATGGTTGGGATTCTTCCGTACTAACCTTCATCCGGGATTGATTGTGGCTCGATTGAGGCTTGAAGCTGGCGAATGAAGACTCAGAGATTGAGTTCAGGACCCTCCTCAATGAGGTCCATGAAGGGATGATCAGACTTCACATCAAACAATGCTTGGCGCGAGTAGTTCTTCCTCGCACCGCCAAATAGCTCCTAACGAAGCATATTAACGTTGTACAATGAGGCACAGAGATGCTTGGGCATGCTAGGGTTGTTGCGTGAGCAGCTGGCAAACTGTCTTGCCTTCTGCATCGAAAGAAACTGTTTGATCTCGCTTTGGACTCGTTGAGAACAGCTTTCCAACAAATCGAGGCACGACAGGGGGGACGATCTCGTTTGGCAGCACTGTGTGTTTCTACACTTGCAAGCTCACAAATCGCACCTTTTCCAAAATTCGGTACAAGTACAGTGCGCAAAGTGCATTTTGGCAGGTACAGCTCAGAATTGTAGCTCATGGACTCGCTTTGGATTTGCTGGGTAGCTTTTCGCGCGGCCCGAAGCCGGCTGCAAGCACAACAAGCCACTGCATCATCGTGGTGATCTAGTTTCATCTCGGCTGGCACGGTTTTCTACAACACTATCTGGTTCTGATCGAGTTTACTTGCTGGGATCATCTCGTTTCACTGCAAAAATTAAGCTTCCGGGGTATTGGGGTATTCTGACCCTATCAATACACATTCAATTGTCGGACAATCGGTCGGTCGCTCATATGACCCCCCCCTCTCTCCCCCTCCCCCATTGAACAGTGCAAACAGTAATTCTGACCCTGTTCACTCTGGAAATTTGGTTGGTCTTGGGCTGGGCCTGGCAATACTAAACTGAGCATCGCAATACTAAGTTTAGTGCCAACGCTTAACCTGTTGGTGCTCAGTAAAGAATGAGAAATGGAATGACCCAAACCTGCCATCCGACTGGTGGCTTCCTTTCTTCGGGAATCCCCGAAACGGGTCATGCCCCCAACAAGCGGAAACTCGCCAAGTCATTCCCTTTCGATCACCAGCAAGAAACGAGACACACCCATGATATGGGACTCAAACCGCCATTAAGTCCACGAGGGGTGAATATAACCATGATTTGCCCTTCAGACAATTTGTCATCCAAGTTTACTCCCATGGGAAACCAAAAGGAAAACCCTTGCGCCATTGGGTCAACCAGCAATGCTTAAAACCTCAGAGTGCAATGCTCAGATTCTCAGGCTCCTGAAGGGCAGAGGCAAACTCTCGATGCCGTTGGTCACTTTGGTGCCCAGCCAATGGGAAGATCGTCCGGCCACCCGTTTCAGGCGCTTGCAAGTAGACGATCACCGTCCTGCTCTCGATCTCTCGATCTCTTTCTCGTGCTCAGGGAATGAGAAATGGAATGACCCCCAGAAGAACCATCCAACTGGTGGTTTCCTTGGGGTTTATTGAACATCCCCAAAGCCCCGGTTGATTTCCTACTGAGAACCAGCAAGTTATCTTCCCTCTCTCTCTCTCTCTTCAGGTGGGCATGCACCAGGAAACCAAAAAGGAGCACTTTCCTTGAGCTTTTCCCGGTAAGGCACGCTCTTTAAACCCTGAACCCCACTCTCTCGTGCTAAAAACCTGTCCAAGCTTCCAAGCTCGATGAGGGCGCTCGTGCGAATCGTGATGCAGGCCATAAGGCGGGAAATAGCCGTCGCGCGGACTCACGCCATGTGACGTGAGGCGCGACAGAGATACAATGTCTTCATGTGGATGCACCGGGATTCCTGCGGAGTTTCTGAAGGCTTGCACACACCACATGGTGACTGTACCAAGGTCTGCCGGAAGAAAGAAAATGGGGCAAAACAACAAACAAAACGTGCGTCCGCGCCTGTACAGTTTGCAATCCGTTGCTCCACTCGGGCAAACACCGGATCTTTCCTCGCGGCTGCAATATAGCCTTCGGGTGGAAGGTCCATGTGCTTCATGATTCCACTTGGCGCCCAGCCGCCCAAGTTCTCAACAAATTTCAGCAAATACCTGGGCTCGCGATTCGAATGTCGGCGGCGACGAAACAAAAAATGTGCAGCAATTCGGATGGGTCGTTCCTTCAAGAAGGTGGTCCCCTAAACAAGACACACCCATTCTGACAAGAGCAACAAAGAGCGCAGGAATCCAGAATTGAGCCCGACAATGCATCCAGTTCATCCGAAAAGCTCGATCTCTTCAGCAGACAGGAAGTTAGGCCTGTGCAAAATCCTTGTGTCATTGTCCACCTGGGCCAGACTCAGGCAGGTCTCGCTCCACAACGGTGCAATCCTACCCTGCAAAAGGTGAGCCACAATCAAAACCCGGTATGAAACTGGTCTACCCAGAACCAGTTTAAGGACTAAAAAGGCCGTCTTCGCGGCCCCCATTTACGGCTGGGAGTGTCCCTTACCAGCCTCCAATTACCCGAGTTTTTGAGCAAGTGGCTCAGGGCGTCTTCCAAAAAAAGGCAAGTTTTCTTCACCCGAGTTCGTTGGACTCGCCTCTTTCAACTGATACCCAAACAAAAACTCTGGTCTAGGCCATGACGAGCACTTGTGCTTTTCCACGGGTGTCATCCAAAGTGCCGTGGTGAAAAATCGCCCTGGGCTTCACAGAATCTCGCTTCCCGAGGGAATCAACCCCCGAGGGCCAAGCTTTCAGTCTGCCAAAAACACCTTCCCAACAGCACTAAGTCCAAGCAATGCAGAAATGAGCTCGCCAACCTTGGACCAGTCGGAATCACGTCTCCAAATCCCTCCCGCCAATGGGTGCAATCCCCTTTCTCTGGTGCTGTTCATTCTTTCTTCAGATGGGAACCAACCAGAAACCATGGGTAGAAACCCTCCCAGCTTTTTCGCTCACGGAACCTGACCTTCGGGGGTGTTCCTTCAGGAGGAAACAAGAACCACCAACCAGAAACCATGAACACGATACTTGGTTCCCAACCTGCCCGCTTCAAACATCACCGCATCTCGTCTCCCGAAAACTCAAGCAATCAAAGGACCTTGGTTGCTGTTGGCCCCCCTGCAAAAAGTCTAACCTTTTTTTTTGCGGGGGGGGGGGGGTTAGTGGAACACCCCTTGATTTCCCAAAAAGTTAAAGTCTGAAGATCCGAGTCCGCTCTTGTCTGAGGGCCGTGCGGCTACAAACGGGGAGTCTACAGGCTCCGCGATATGGCTGACATCAGGCTGGTCATTTCTCCTCAGTGCCAAGCATCATGGGTATGTCGCTTTTGGAGGGTACTCGTTTTGCTGGTGTTTTAAGGAAAACCAAAGGAACAACTTCCATTGTGGGGGCGTTCTTCAAAAAGACACAGGCGCATCAAGTCTCGACTGCCCTCCAGGAAGCCCAATTTTCACGCCAAGCAAAACACGTCGACGAACTTGTGCTGAGGTTGTTCTAATTCTAGGGGTTGATTCCCCATTATTTTCAGCCATCGTTCTTTTCAGCCATCGTTTTTTTCCAAAACCGATCGCCATTTCCCCAGGTTTTGTTTGGTGGTTTTCTCTAGAAAGTGCTCTCAAAACCGATCGCCATTTCCCCAGTGTTTTGGGTGGTTTTTTAAGAAAGCTCCGGATCCCTGGAGAAAACAAAAAAAAGGGGAAGTTATAGCCCTCGAATGCAAGCACAGCTCCACTGGATGTAGGCGGCCACTGCAATGCCCGCGCCTGAGGGTGCGGGAGAAGGCACGGCGCGTGGCTTGGATTGCCACGGCGCTTCAGCTGATAAGACCCTGACACTCTTCAGCAAAATACATGGCTATGGCTCAAAAAACCGGTACCAAAATGGACCCTGGTAGGTGGAAACATGGACCAAAACCTGCGTAAACCCCACCCACCCACCCACCCACCCACCCACCCACCCACCCACCCACCCACCCACCCACCCACCCACCCACCCACCCACCCTCCTGTTTAATTTTGAGCCACACCCATATGTGCTTGTTGTGCCTTCTATGACTCTAGGTTCTTTGCAGAGGACAATGTGTGTAGCATCGGAAAGGAACCCATTTGAGTATGGGTCCAAATAAAAGCAAACCGCAGGTTTTAGTCTTTGGTTCCATTGAGTTCCATGTTGTGTACGCGTTTCTGACCCATAGCCAAATGGGAGCCTCGTCTTTTTGGAAAGGAACCCCCGGTTTGGTTGGTTTGGGGAGGAAACCGTCAGGAAACCGGAACGCATCTTGGGGCTCCGGGGGGGAAAAAAACAACAACCACAAAAAACTTTGCAGAAGGAGGCACCGACCCGAAGAAGAGACTTGGCAACGCTGCGGGGCCTGAGCGCAACAAGCGATATGCTTGGCTCGTCTTTCTTTAGGGGACCCCCCAAAATGCTGATGTTCCTTACAGGAAAGGGGTACCCCAACAAAAGACGCCCCCCCCCCCCTTATGCGTCTAGCACATGTGCATGCTTTCTTTGCGCATCTATGCCTATGTTCACACAGGGAGCCGCACGTGGTTCGCTGCCGGTCAGCTGGAACGTTTGCCGCATTGCCTCGTTAGCCGTGCTCTTCAAAGATAGTGAATTCAGCCGCCCGCCAGTGGTAAGACAAAAGAGCAATTTGAATACGAGCAAAACCTTTGCGCAAGCACCTCGGCGATAGATACAAGTTGCCTTGAGCACGTCCGAAAAGCACTTTGGACAGCGTGAACATTGAAATCCTCCAATCAGCGCGAGGCGTCCATGGCGAAGATAAAGACTACTCCTTGCTTTTGACTTGAAGCTGACATACCAAGCTTTGCCCAGCGTTGTGTTCAGCTTCATGTGGTGCTCGACCGAACAAATGTGACGGGGACGAATGGATATATATATATATATAGTTATGTTTGTATGATAATATATGATCATTGCTGAAGCTTCATACTGCTGCACTCGAAGTCTGCATCTGCGTTGACTTTTGCCTAGTATCGTTATGACCTTTGCCAAAGCTGCGAAGAATTGCGGATGAGCCCAAGATCGGCCGTCTTTTCTTTGCGGAACCTACGTGCGCATCTGGCAAATCCCGCCTTTGCTGCAGGCGCTAGTTGCAGCATTGAACGCCATTGTGGGCGGCTCCTGCGGGGCAGTCCAGTCAGCTAAGCAGAAATCAGCTGGACATGCCACTGCATCACATTGGGGCAGGCAGTAGAAAGCTGGGCCATCGTCTTCGTTCCTCGCTGAACGCCTGTAGCATCTCCAGCACGTGGCAAGCCTGTCATTTTCGGGGCAAGACCATGCAAAAGTGCGGCTGTAGGGTGCCTCTCTCCAGGCATCGCAGCAAGCACTTATGGCCGTGCTGTAGGTGTAGGCATCAGCCCTCACTCGGCGCACCTCAGCTCAGCGAATTTCCGGAGCCCCACTTGGCCATGGGTCAAAATCCAAATCGGTTGGCCCCCAGTGAACATCCCAAATCCAACCACTAAAATAGGCTCTAAAATGGGTGGTGAATTCACCTACCGCAAAATGGTACCATTGGTTTTGATCCACGGCCACTTCAGAGCCTTCAGAGCCCGCAGCCTGGAGATGCTCGAGCTGAAGCACCGCAGCAAGCCATTGCACGCCTCAGATCGGGTCGACGGCGTCGACGGCTTTGGGTCACTAAGTCCCAACCTTTGGCCACAGCTGCAAGCAGCGCGTTGTGAGTGGTTCCATCTCTTGATGCCTCAGCAACCAAACTCTGCCAGGCTGGCAGCAGAAAAAAAGGTCTCCTGCGGCTGGATACTTGTCGAGCAGGTTCAGGGCAGAGTCCCAGTGCTGGCCTCCAGAAATGGCGACTCCATGCTTCGGTTGCCTGGCCGAAGCAAAGACCTCTGCCGAGAACTGCCATACCTCAGCATAACACTAGACACGAGCAATGGGACCTCTGAAACAAGCTTTGAGCGGGGGGGGTGGATTGCAGCGAGCCCATTGCTGTGACATGATTACATATCAGGTGGGACACAATTTGAGGTGTAGAATGTACCTAAACGTGTCAGAACCTGCTCCAATGCTCGAAGCCAGATCTTTCATTGCAAGCTGCCCACATTCACTTGCCGCGCATCAACCTCCAGCAGCCGCCCGGCCAAGTTCCTTGTGCAAATGGCTCACGCATCACTCCGCGCTCCAACCAACTCCGTGCGGCCGAAGCGCCGCATCAGCTGGAGGGCGGGTCTCCAAAGATGACCCGCCGCTGCGGCGCCTCGGGCTCACGTGGGCGAATTCCCATGGCTTTCTTTCCGAAGCTCTTGGAGGCCTGATTTTCTGATATGGCCATGGGTCAAAATCCGAATCGGTTAGCCCCAGTCAACATCCCAAATCCAACCACTAAAAAAAAAGCCTAAAATGGGTGGTGAGTTCACCTACCGCAAAATGGTACCATTGGTTGTGACCCACGGCCATATGCCTGATCTGTCCGAGTCCTGGACTTGCAGCGGTGGACGCGGCGATGGAGTCCAAGCGCAGGGAATCGTCCAGGAGTTGGTGGTAGAGATTGACTGCCTCAGTCATTGCCTATGGCCTCGCTAAGCTTAAGATTGCGGCTCTACAAGGATCCGCTGCACCATCCCAAGTCCCGCGCTCTGTGCCAGCGTCCATCTTGATAAGCCAAACCTTGGGTCGGCTAGCAAGTGTCCGGGAGCACGTGGCTCTCTTTGCTCGCGCTTGCATTGCAAAGCAAAAGTCTTGGTCTGCTGCTCATGGAGTGGCTTGCGGTGATGATGTCCAACTCAAGCAGCCTGTCTGCAAGTCCAACCCGTCACTTCGCTCCCTTGCCACCTAAAAGCTGTCTGCCTTCTTCGCATAAGCTGCAGCACCTCTTGAGGCTCCTTCTTGCTTTGTTCCTGAGCACATCTCAAAGGCAGAGACTACTGTATCAGCGTGTCTCTTGCACAAAGCAAACCGTCGTCAATTGAACTGGTGTGTCTTTGTTGAAATGGTGTTTTTCCTGCGGTTTCCCTTTAGAACCAACCAAAAGAGGTTCCCCCGAAAGAAAAAAAGAAAAGAAAAAGAAACGACAAAAAACAAAAAAAAACACTCCCATACCAGGACTACATGTCCTGTACTGCTATAGACCGGCTTGAACCAACCATGCACGGCGCCGGCATGTTGAGCGCCTTGCCATTGCAGCCAAGAGCGTACCAAACACTGCCACGCCCATCTCCAAACCTGCAGCGTACCCGAAAAATCCTGGAAGAAAAAAAACGGATTTCTCAACTTCAAAGCAACCTCTCGGAAACTTTCGCACCAAAAACAACTAGTTCAGTTACTTACTTATTTTCAAAAAAAAAGAAAGGTGGTGCCCCTGAGCGTGTGTTTCGTGGTGCCCCTGTCTGCACCCTCCATACCCGCGGCTCACGTCTCAAATTCTCCGCCGGATCAGTTTTGAGCCCCCGGCGAGCCTCCAGACCTTCAGACAGCAGCTGGAAGCCCAGAGCCTCGCTGGCCCGTTTGGACGCCCGGGGTGGCTCGAGTCCGCGTTTTTGTCGTTGTTTGTTTTTTTGTTTTCGTTTTTTGTTTTTTTGTTTTTTTGTTTTTTTGTTTTTTTTGTTTTTTGTTTTTTGTTTTTTGTTTTTTGTTTTCCGGGAGTTGGTACCAACTTATTTGGGCGACTGTTCAAGGGAAACCAACAGGGGGGCGGGGTTGGGGCCCCTTTTGGGGGAGTTGGTACCAACCTGTTTGGGCGACTTTTCAAGGGAAACCAAGAGGAAAACCAACACATGTATTTTTTTTGGGGGGTCCCTAAGAAGAGACACGCCTCTCTGCAACTGCGGAACGGGTCACGCGCATTCAAGCCATCGGTTTGTCCTTTTTGGAGTTGCCAGCACACGTTTTCTGGACATGGGGTGCAGACCCATTTGTGCCCTCGAGCACAGGCTGAGATCACAGCAGCATAACCTGCGGTGCTCATTCGAAGTCATCGGCCGAATGAAAATGAAGACATGCTGAGCCAGCCGCCTGCTGCATCCACCTGAAATTCCACCCGGCTGCGCCTGGGTTGCAAAACAACTGCGATGTGCCAGGTCGTCCATGGATTCCAAGAATTCCATGCCGCGCCATGATGTTGACTTCGGACTAATCCCAAGAAAAGGGTGAAGGGCCCCCTCCAAAAGTGGTCTGAATCCCCACGTTCTGCTTGCGCCTCGCGTTCCCTGCAACTTTCTGAGACGTGCAGCTCCATGGCGAGTAAAAGCTATTGAACAAGGCCACGCCCTTATGGACCTATCACTTGGGTCACGCCATCACCGCGAGACCTTCGAGTCTGGACAAAGCCACTTGACCAGCAAGCGCCCTGCGCCACTGGTAGCAGGTTGGCTGCTAGCATTGCTTTGCCTTTCGCCATGCATTTTGCCACATCTCTGGTGAATTGGCGCATGTTCTGCTCTCACCCTGATCTCATGCAGGATGTTCCACTCTTGCCCAAGTTGGCGCTTGATACTCATCGCTCGTGCTCTTCCGCCGCCTTATGCCATGCAGCAAATGCTATCATGTGGCCATGGGTCAAAATCCCCTACCCCCAGTGAACATCCCAATCCCCACAAATATAGACTAAAATGGGTGGTGCACCGAAAACCCCAAAATGGGATCCCAAAACGGTTTTGACAACCACAGCCATGTGTACATTCATGTTCGATTGGGAACACTTTGCTGGTCGCTGGCAACCGCGCCGAGCAACACAATCTCCACGGTTGGCCAGAACTCGAAATCTGGCCTGGTAGAGATTCGACGGACAAATAACATCGTTCATGGGCCGCCCCTTTTTTGGGCCATGGTTCGTGTGGGGCCCGCCGGAAAATAAATTTAGAAAAATGGGAGACCGAATATGTTTGAGAACCCCCCGACTTGGTCAAACTGCAAGATGCGAAAGCACAGAATTGCATGCGTTATGTGCGCTGCGTACGAGGCAGGCCTGAGAGCACGCACTGACAGCCTGCCCTCGGCATCCATCACGTGGCAACGCAGCCATTCACAGCCACTCAGCTTTCCTGAGTGGATGATCTCCAGCAGCCTCTCCTTGGCGCATAGCTAGCAGCTCTCAGCTCATGAAAAAGAAATTGCATTGAGAAAACCACGGTTCGTTCCAGTGTACCCAGGCTTGTTGCCTGAACAGGCAACCCATGCAAAGCCATGCTTCGATGCTGGGAGTAGCTTCATTGTTCAACTGCACCAGCCAGCCCAGATTTCCTGCGAGACATCAAACAAGGGCCGTGATGAACTTTGCCAAACTTACAAGATCAAGTCGCCAAGCTTTCTCTGGGTGTAAGTGCTGCCAGGGCCACACCATGCATCAATAATACTAAGAGTGCGGCGCATAGCGCGACTATCCGCAAAGCTGAAAGTGTCAGCAGGCGAGCCAGGATAGACATACCTTGATTGCATTGGCACGGCCAATCTTCTTGGGGTTGATTCCCCCTTCTTTTCAACCATCGTTCTTTTCCAAAGCCAGCTGTTTCCCCAGAGTTTGGGGTGGTTTTGTAGAAAGAAGGATGCCTGGAAAGAATGGGGAAAGTACCCCTAGAAATCTTCCTTACTTCAACATCCATGTTCTCTTTTCGTGATTGGGAGTTCCCACATCCTGACGTCCATGCTGACCCACAAACAGCTATGAAGGCGAAGTGGCCAGAAGTAGAGACCCTTAGTGCAAGAACTGTGCATGCGCATATGCGGCGTGCTTCAACCTGCTTGCAAGTAGTACTGCTTTGCAAAACTTGAGGCGCCCACTTGGCCAGGCTTGGTAAATTGCAACGTCGGACCTCCTCGCTCTGCTACTGCTCTGGGCGTCGGACGAAGAACCACACCGTTAAAAACCTCGTGGCATGTTTTCTCGATTCGGGCAAACGTCTCGGTTCACAGCACCCAAACATTCACAGCATCTTGAGGCAGGTTGCAACGATGTGTTCGGTGCCGTCGGAGTGAAGCAAGGTGGGCGTCAAATCCAGATCAACCGGTTGTCTTGATCTTTGCACTCGCCAGCACATGCTGCTGACGCTGCTTCCCGCGTCTGGTCCGTGGCACTTCCGCATTTCCCGCTCAACTTCCTGTCGCGTCAGGGCTACGGAAAATGCCTCAATGCTTTAATTCCTGGAACAGCTAGATTGCATGTGACATTCAACACACCTGCAGGAGGTCTTGAATTAGGACAAAATTCAGAGTTCGCCCACGTACACTCCTTCATATCCTACACGCAAAACACAAATGTTGATTCACGACAAATGGTGTGCAGCACTTAACATACCTACATTGCGTACATACATAACATACCATAGCATAACGTAACATGACAATCATAACATAACACAGAGTAACACTCACTGGTCACTGGCACTGCATTGCATTGCGGCTATCACATGCATGAATACATAGACGTACAGTGTTAGTAATATGGCTGTGGGTCAAACATAGGTACCCCAAATGGAACCCTAGTAAGTGGAAACATGGACCAAAACCTGCGGTCCAATTCCTGGTGGCTTAATTTTGACCCACACATATGAATGTCAAACTTCCCTTCAACCAAAAAGCAGTGCACAAGTCATGGTTGACGTCTACTGGAGCAAATCCATTAAGCGGATCTACAGCTTGGCCTCAGCGATTATAGACAAGTGAGTCATAATCAAAACCCGGGACAAAAATGGTCGACCCAGAACCATGTAAAGAACTAAGAAGGCGGCCGCAGCTATTTATGGCTGGAATCGTCCCTTACTAACCTTCACTTACCCGGGTGTTGATTGTGCTCAAGTAGCGTTGAGTTCCTTGAAAGAATCACCACCCAGTCTTAACCAATGCCACAACTACACTCAACGGAAGCTTAACAAATGCTTGTCAAGAGAATTCAAGTGCTAGACATGGGAGCTCGCTTGCTTTCTGCTCCCCTGCTAAAAGTTAAAACAAAAAATGGAAAACCCATTAGTTGGCAAAAAGTCAAAGTCCTAACATCCAAGCAAAATGCAACAAAGGGAGTATCTTCCACAACGAGCCAATAGGTCCGTTCATCTGAGCGTCATGAGGCTTGGTGACCGGCTTGCTGTTGATGCTCAGCAGCAAGTCACCCTCCAGGAGAATGCCATCACATCCACCACCTGGCTTCATGGCAGCATCAAAGCAACCGGAACCTATCCAACTGGCTGTGGGTTAAAAATAGGTACCCGCAATGGAACCCTGGTAGGTGGAGAAGTAGACTAAAAACCTGCGGTCCCCGGGTGTTTTAATTTTGACCAATGCTCAACAGTTTGAAGCTTGGCTTTGCACGAGTGAGCCATACTTCAAGTACTTGGCGAGCCTGAGGTGATGCGTCCCACTCTCAGGATTTGTCGACGTCCTCCGGAGCTGCAAGCAGCCAACGCCCTGGCATTCTCCAAGGGAACGCCATCTTCTCGCCGAGCTTTTGCCAGCGAAACCTGCACAAATTTGTGGCCAAGCCCACGTAGACGAAAAATGTGCCAAGGGTCTCGACTGCAACACTTCCGGGAACCTCCTCGAACTCGCATTCCAGCGCGGCCACGGACAACTTTGGATCCTTACGCTTACGCAGTGGCTGGCTACGAAGTTTGCCGACGCAGGGAACCGGGCTGTCCAATCCGATCCCAAAAGTTTTAGACTTTTGCAGGTGAAATTGCAAAAAAAAACACTAAACCAACTAGATGGAAAAACCCCACTAAGCCAACCTTTTTGGAAACCCCGCAAACCACCAACCAAAAAAGATCCGAACAGCTCGTTCAGTGCCACCCCTGAACCCCTGAGGCCGGCTCGATGGGTCTGCCCAGCTTCGCTGCCCACTTGGGCCGAAGCCCCAGGGACGAGAGCACTGCCGAGAAGACCTGAAGAGGCAGCGGCGGTCCAAAAAACCGGGTCTCGATTTTGGAACCCCAGTAAATGGAACCAGGTGGTGGTCAAAAAACCGGTGGGTAACTGGAACCAAGGACTCTCTCAACCTGCGGTCCAATTCCGAATTCCTGTTGGTCTAATTTTGACCCCTACCCAAATGGCGTAAGCGCCATTTGGTAGATCGAAGGGACCCGGTATTAGAATGGGCGTAATCCCAGAACCATGGAAAGAATTGAGAAGGCGGCCGCAACTATTTCCGGCTGGGACTGGCCCTTACTCACCTTCATCTACCCGAGTTTTGCTTGTGGCTCGAAAGGACTACCCTCCTCTCCACTAACAGGAAGACTGTGTTCCTTTCACAGGGACTCTTTGGTGAGTGTGTCAAAAATGGCTGTGGTGGTCAACAATGGAACAGTGATCAACACCCCCATTATTGTGGGGCTTAGATATGGCTGAAAACAGGTACGCAAAATGGCTTGCCCTGGTAAATAGAACTAAGGACGAACACCTGCAGTCCCAAGGTGGTGTGAATTTGAACCATACCCACATGGCCATGGGTCAAAATCCAAATCGGTTAGCCCCCAGTGAACATCCCCACTGCCCCACTAAAATAGGCTCTAAAATGGGTGGTGCACCTGCCCCAGGAAGGTACCATTGGTTTTGACTCACAGCCAAATAGG